TTTTATTTTTATGAAAAAATACTGGTGTAAATGTGTGTTTAAGACACCTTTCTTGTCCATTACTATCATATTCAATTGGATAACTAAACTAACTAGCATATTAATCAGAATATAGTATATAAGGGTGTATTTGCCAGAACTAAGTATGTGGACCGGAGGCAGTTGGTTATCTATGAATTGCCTACACTTCCCAGCTTCCACCATTAGCCCACTAACTTTTTGTTTTTATGCACCCAGATTGATTGATCAGGAGGGCATATTGTTTTAGGTCTGGTTGTGTGTTACAAAACTTTAACTTTTAAGACAGTATAGTAGAAGTCCTTCCATCTGCAGCCTCCAAAGGTCACAAGTACATGGACCATGATGAGCTCTACTCGCCTGTCCTACTTATAGGTCACAGGGTCAGAGATTAAGGTCCCCACCACAAACCATAGCTTTAGATATGAAAACCTTACATTACATCGTAATCACTGTACAGATTTTGATGAAACAGCTCATAGTTCTGATTTGCATTAACATAAATTGAAATTCTTTCAAAATTTATCCTAGGCTGGTCTTTCATTATACCCCGGCACAGTTGTAGAGGGAGGTATACTCTAATCAGCTCGTCCGTCCGACCGGCTGTCCATTCGTCCCCCGTCCGTCGGTTTTTCCTTGTCTGCCCAATAACTTAAGATTCCTTTGATCCACAATCTTCATATTTGGCATGAATGTTAGGTATGATTAGTAGATGATCCATATTGATTTTGAGGTCACCTGGTCAAAGGTCAAGGCTACATGGCCTAATGACTAAAAATTAACCTTGTTAGCCCAATAACTTAAGATTCCTATGACTCACAGTCTTCATATTTGGCATGGAGGTTAGTCATGATTAGTAGATGACCCCTATCAATTTAAAGGTCACTGGGTCAAATGTCAAGGTCACAGGGGCCTTGACTAAAAAAGCTTGTCCGCCCAATAACTTAACATTCCTTTGACCCACAGTAGGGACCTTGACTAAAAAAGCTTGTCCGCCCAATAACTTAAGATTCCTTTGACCCAAAGTCTTCATATTTTGCATGGAGGTTAGTCATTATTAGTGGATGATCCCTATTGATTTTGAGGTCACTGGGTCAAAGATCAAGGTCACAGGGGCATTGACTCAAAAAGCTTGTTTGCCCAATTACTTAAGATTCCTTTGACCCACAGTCTCCATTTTTGGCATGGAGGTTGATCTTGACCATTAGGTGACCCTATTGATTTTGAGGTCACTTGGTCAAAGGTGAAGTTCACAGGGGCCATGACTAAAAAAGCTTTTCCATAATGCTTTGGTCATCAGTCTTCATATTTGGTATTGAGGTTGTTTATGACTAGAAGATGACCCCTATTGATTTTAGGTGACTGTGATAAAGGTTAAGTCACAGGAATGTTTTTCTATAATAAGCTTATCTACTCAAATGCTTAAGAATGCCTGTCCGCATTGTATTGATTTCGACATTTTCACATTTGAAGCATGTAGAATACATAACTTAGCAATGCACTGGCTTAGTCACTCAGATTTGGCAGGGAGGTTGTCCTTGAGCTCTAAATGGCCACTTTTGATTCTGACAAAGTGGTATGCAGGGGTGTCCAGGCCATGAAAGTGGCAGTTCTAGTTGATCAAGCAACATTATTTATTGTTATAGTGTCAACTGATTATTTAAATCTATAAATATTTAAAAAATCAAATGGGAAACCCAATATGTTAATATTACATGACTGCAGAAATGAAGAGCAAAAGTAGATAGCTATAAAATGATATAAAATCTTTGACAACCATAATGTTATTTTTAGAAGAATATTGTGTTTATAGTTTTTTGATACAACTGAATAACTTCTTTTTTTTTGTATATAATAATATAATTATAACACTCATAGTTCTGAAATCTATAAATGGGCCTTGCTATAGATATATAAATAAATCTTCATTCATGTACATTCACATAATAAATGCTGTAAAAGTTAGATTTCTTTTCATTTAGTTTAATTATCTGGACTCATTTTAAGTGAAAGAATAAAGTAAGAACATCACCTTTTAAAGATATGTTTTAACAATTTTTATTTTTATGAAAGATACTGGTGTAAATGTGTGTTTAAGACACCTTTCTTGTCCATTACTATCATATTCAATTTGTTTACTAAACCAAGTAACATATAAATTAGAATACAGTATATAGGGAAGTATTAACCTGAGTTAAGTATGTGGTCCAGAGGCAGTTGGTTATCTATGAATTGCCTACACTTCCCAGCTTCCACCATTAGCCCACTAACTTTTTGGGGTTTTTTTATGCTCCCAGCAGGGCTCATTCAAAAGGGCGATTCAGGTGAAAACTTTGCCATGTATACATTTATTCCCATTTCGCCCTTCTGATAGATCAAAGAGAAGTCAACTTCGCCGAAAAATCTTAATTCCCAAAGAGTAATTACACGGCGATGTAAAGTGCAGGGATTGTATCCGCCCATATGCCTACTGCTAATTATCATTATCCAATCAGAGCATCGCTTTATACAACGCTTATACCTGTTTGCGAAGCGATAGACCGCCTTCTCTAAATGCATCGGCCCGAGACAGGTGTGACAGTTTTACAAGTTTAATACAAGAATGCATACATTTTAGCGGGAGATTCCCACTTTCTGCAGTCATATTTTCAAAGAATTTTCTTAAAATAAGGGGTATTTTCACAAATTAAAGAGATCTCCCTCTTTTTGGTGTCAGAATTTCCTTCTATGTTTATTGCAAATTCTAAAACCTCTTTTTGAAGAAAAATCTCCCTCTTGATTATCCAAAAAAGTTTTTTTCGATTATCTAAACACGTGCGATCTTCCCTAATTGATAATATACAATGCACTTCGATGGCGGTGTTTAACCCGAGTAACGGCGAGGTGCAATGGAATTTTTACGACGATAAAAAACAATTATTTTTTTTTGAGGCCCAGACATGGTAACCTCGTTTATTCACCCCATAATAGGTATGAGAGGGTTGGGGTCATCCCCCTCATACCTTTGGTTAGTTATCCAGCTAGGTAGATTGACCACCGATATAATGACCAAAAAAAGAAATTGTGAAAATCAGCATAAAAACCAGAAAAATAAACAGACTTTTAGCATTTAACATAAATTTTCATCATAAAATCCCCAATATTGCTAACAAGTCTCACTGTTTCAAAATAAGATAAGGGTGTTATAAATGTGATCTTGAATGTTTTCACAGTTGAAAATTATTGTCTAATATCTTTATCAAAAATGTACCCACTATCACTCGGTTATCAGTATTCTAAAAATAGGACATTTAAACTAGTCATATAAATATAGATTTATATTCTGTGAATTTATAATTTAATTTGTTTCATTTGCCTCAAATTTTTAAAAACAATATCAATAATTATAAGTAACTGCATATATACAATAAATTTTGTTCAAGAAAGAAATCATCTTTTCTCGTTTAACAAAGATTTGAATGTGTGTTAAAATACAATAATTTTAAGGTGTTATGTCTTATTCAATTCATAAACTTATGAAACTGAGGTACAAATTAAAATATAGTATATAGGGATGTATTTGTTAGTGTCAAGTATGTGGACCGGAGGTAGCTGGTTATCTATGAATTGCGTACACTTCCCAGCTTCCATCATTAGCCCACTGTAATTTTGTTATATTTTTGTCTCTTTTTGCTATTGATATTTACAAGATATAGTAGAAATATTTTAGAGAAATGTACATGTATTTATTTCTCTTTTTTTCTGGTCTTTATTTAAGCCATCACTTTGTTTATCATAAAATTTAGTGATTCTTTTTACATTCATGTTTAAAACAACATACATGTATAAATATTATAATTGAAATATTGAGAAAATTTGCAAAACATACAGTCACTATTTTCAAGAAATAAAACACATAATATAAAAATAATACATACTGATTTCTCAAAAATTAATAGTGGTATGTGCTTAAAAAAAACGTTTGTGAACTTCAATATTATCTTAGGATTTTTAAAAAGTTTTTTCCAATTGGAAAATGGCCCTTATTCGGCATCTGTTTAATGCAAAGAAAACAAACAAAAACAACACTTATTGAATCCATAATGATGAGTCAGATCTGAAGTTAAAGATATAAAAATATGCTCATCCTTTAGTAAAATATTTTTATCATAGAAATTTATTGAAATCTGTGAAATTTTTATTCAATATGTCTAATTTGGATAAAAGAATGAATAAACTATGAATGGGAAGCTGCGTTTCCTATTACAGGTCAAGTTAAGTTAGTCTTTTCTTAAAAAAACTGCCAGTTGTTTTTTTTGACACTATATATTCTTATTATGACCACCTATACACTAGAGTTTAAAATGTAGCATATCTACTTTATATGAATTCAAAACATGTTTATTTTATATTTATAATGAGACTGTGTATCCATTGTCAATATTTTCTTATATCAAATTTGAGCATAGTACATCTTTAACTCTTTACCTGTGTAGTGTTGTTAGAATTTGTGTGATGGAATAGCCTAGCTTTGAATTTGGATTAGTCCATTGAAAGAATAAGGGATTTCGATATCAGATACAATAACTGAGCTCCCAACAGTACAAAAAGTATTAAATGTGTGATGGAATAGCCCAGATTGAAATTTGGAGTAGTACATTGAAAGTTTAAGGATACAAAAATCAATCTATGTGGTCTGCACAGGTGTCCAAGGTGGCCTGGCTTGTAAATAAAAGTAAATAAATTATACGCAAGTGTCTTTACAGCAAAAGTGTAATTTATATGACAAAAAAACAAGGAAACACAGTATATACTATATTCATTGATTTAATCATGCCTATACAAACAAAATGCGATTAAACCTATCTCCAGTCGGACCATTTTACATACGTTTTATACAGTGAGATACATGATCGATAATCTTTACATAAGAATAGCCTGTCGTCTGCTAGTTCGGAAACTGTCAATCCGTGTATTGAGTTATAATTTTCCTCAAAACCAAAAGAGGAAGTAAAAGTTAAAAAATTTCCACCTACCTGGTGAAACGGAAAGAAATCTTTTATCTTGATTATTTTCATGAAATATTGTTCCATCCAACATTAAAAAAGTAAGTTTTAAACTTTATTCTAATTACAAAATTTCTCATTTAAATAGAATGAATTGTGTAAAAAAAATGTTTCATGGAATATTTCTGTGAGTGTTCATCTTAAAAATAACATATTTGTTTTAATAAATTTTATATTTAAATTAAATAGAAATATTTCGAAAAAGAAAAGTTTATAATATCATGTATTTTGGTGATACTTAAATAGAGGATATTGAATGAGTGTAAGTTCAATACTGAATTTATTTAAACGAGTTGAATAAATTATATAGAGTCGAGCATGATATTATTTTATTCAACAAAATCAATAAATTCAGTACTTACATATTTTAATATTCTATTTATCACATACCAAATCGAGGGGTGAAAGCGAAAGAGGTCTAAGTGACATTTTTTCAGAAAATCACTTTTTTATATAAATGTGTTTGAAATCTGTATATACATCTTCTGTGAAAAAATCTTGAACACAACACATTCATTTTTATATATATTTAAAAAATACGAAAAAAGGCTAAGTGAAATATGAAAAACAGTCAATGCGAAAAAGGTCTAAGTGAACCTTGTCACTTAGACTTTTTTCGCAATCATTTTATAAAAAAATGTGATGGTCTAAGTGACAAAAATTATAAGCAGTATTTCATTTTCAGTTTTAAAGTATGTTTTATAATGATAACTGTTGATAAAAGTAGTACTGATAATAAGATAATATCATTTTTGCATATTTTCATGTATTTTTTTCACTTAGACTTTTTTCGCATTCAGTGCTGAAACTGTGTATACTATAGTAACTGAATGCGAAAAAAGTCTAAGTGAAAAAATGTTTGCCTATTGACAAAAATATTAAAAACATGAATGATATGATTGTTATTTCATGTTATAAAGTCAATGTTCATTACTTTTGGAAAAGAATAACCCTTCATAATAAGTTATTCTAAAGTCAGTTTAAGCAGTATTTTAAAATGTATAAGATGGTTCTATCAAATAATTTGATATATTGTTCCAACCATATTGCATAATCGAGCTAATAAAAGTAGAAAAATGTAAACAAAGTAGTAGTTTGACTTCCAAACAAATTCACTGTAACTGCATATACAATGTACCTATAGTTAAAGAACAGATGAACTTAAAAGTTATTTCTTGCAATGCAGATCTGATTGCCACCGTATTTGTTTTACCTTCATTTTGATTTGTATTTTCCGGGGAATGCTTATGCCATGCAATCAAAACATCCTTTACAGATAGGTATTAGACAAAGTATCTCTGTCTTTACAGTTTATTTGCTTTAAATGAAAATAAAACAAATTGTTCATTTTTTTACGAAATAACAAATTGTTCATTTTTGTTGGAAAAAAACAAAATGATTGAAGTATTATTTGAAAATAACTATGCAAAATTGTTTTGCCTGTTTACCTGCCGGCAATATAGACATTGCCTTGTCTGTCCTAGAAATAATCAAAACTGTAACCTACTCTATATTGGTTTTCAAGCCATTAAATTAAGAAACTGCTTCACTTTCAAAATTGTGAAAGCTTACCAATGAATGGCAGTTTAAAGGTTTACGAGACTGAAGGGACCTCCTGTTAGTATGTGCCTGTCAGATCTTTAGTGTAATTAGGGGCAGATTCAAGTAACATAGTAAACAGTAGCAATTAATGCAAGATTACCAGAAGGATGTTTGTTTATATACACATATAATAGAACATTTTGGGTTTTTAACAAAATACAATTTGAGAGACTAATAAACGATCATACTAGAAAAAATTGTTAATTTTACATCGTATTTAAAATCAGTGACAATGTTTATGATTATCATTATTTTACTTTTATAACTAAAGTGCATAATGATAATAATAGTTCATGATCCTGAACTTAGATTGGTACCCAAAATACACATTTATAATCAAATAGAAGCATTCTTTAATCTATCTCATGGCACAATTAGTCCCAAATAACACAGAAGTAATGTAAGGCGTGCACATACTATAGCATCCTAGCCTTCTTTAAGGCACATCCTTACATTTTTATCAGCACATATTATGAATTACTGCAGATTTGCTTTTAACAATCAGCTAATTGTAAAAGGAAATCAGCCTTAGTCAACTTCATAAAGCTGCGGTCTCACTTACTCCCGGCAGAGCCCAGGATCATCCCGGTAAGTTACCGGCACGATCCGGGGTGAAATTATTGTTGCGGTCACACTTATCCCGGCAGCACTACGGTAGTTCCCAACTAACCACCCAGGATGTGCTCTGGATCATCCATGAGCCCCGGCAGAGCCCAGGACGATCCAGGCAGAGCCCCGGTAGAACCCCGGTGGATTGAAAACGCCCGAAAATGATAACATTGATACATTATTAATTTTTTATTTAATATAATATTTATTGTTCCAGAATAGTAATTCATAATAATTTTCTGAAAAATCCTTATGCCATACCTGATAGAAGGAAATGGGAAGGGTTTTAATACAAACAAGTGCAATTATCCCAAATTGTTGTTATTCTTTTGAAATGATCCGGGCTTGCCGGGGCTCTACTGGGATCAACCGTAGCTTTACCTTTATCCTCCGGGGCTCTGCCTGAAGTTACCGGGGCTCTGCCGGCATATACAGGGGCTCTACCGTAGCTCTACTGGCAATATCATACCCCGGATCATCCCCGGTTTGTGCCGGCAGAGCTTATACTAACAGTGCTTCCCCGATATAACCCTGGTCGTTCTCGGCAGAGCTAAGGATGAAGCCGGCAAAGCTATTCCTTCCTAGATCATCCCGGACCACCCGGGTCATATTAAATATTTTACTCCATCCCGGGTCGATTGCCGGATGTTCCCGGCTCATCCAGATGTTGCCGGCAGAGTTACCCGGTCGTTCCCGGATCACCTCGAACGTCTATCGGGGGCTCTGCTGGGATGTAAGTGAGACTGTAGCTTAATGTGCCTCTTACACATTTTTATGTATAATGTACAATAACAAATCATTTTTGGTTTCGTTCAGAAGAAGAAATATTATGCAAGTAACTGCCCAATGATAAAATGATTTTGAAATTTCTATATTTGAAAAATTGTTGGCTAATTTTATGTTATCAACATTAAAGGCCCATTTTGCCTCAGAAATGCTTTTATTTTTATTTCTCAAAAGCTTTTTTAATTTTGATGTACTTTTATAGGATCCAAACATTACTCATTGGCCGAACCATCTTTTTCATCTGTTGATTTTGGGCAATTATAAGGTACATGCAGTTCACAATGAATTTGTATGGAAGTCAAACTTTGTTTATACTTTTATAACAAATTATTTCACGTTTATCACTACTTTCTTCAGGTTACATCTTCTAAAATTCTCTAAAACCATTATTTTATCATTTGACCTTTCTAAAGATGCTTCTGAGGCATAATGTGCCTTTAAAGCAAATAAGCTGTATTGTATTATATTATATTGATAATATTGCAACATTAATAGGGCCATGAGCTTTTCAGGCATGAAAATTTGTGCACAAAGGATCCTATATTTTAGTGATATTTTATTTAAATAAGTAATAGAAATAAAAAAAAGTTGGAACCTTGATGAATTCTTATAATGATGGTCAGTTAAAGAAAATTTAAGTACTAATCTAGTGCTTTTTTATGACAATGCCACAGGAAATGCTTGTTCAGAAAGCAAATGTAAACCAGGGGCCCCTCCAAAACTGGCATAACCGTTTGTGTCAAACATACAGGGTGTTGTTTCTTGACAGCTCACAATAAGATGCATATCACATTCTTTAGTTCATTTTGTCAGATGATTATCATATTTTATTTTATCACTGTCATTAAGCATCATCCTCATCAACAGAGTTGAAAATGGTTTGTTATAGATGTAACTGCCACTAATTCTTATTTTTTGTACTTAAGCTGCAGCTTAAAGCTGTTATAACTATTGCAGGGATTTGTGTGGTATGAATTTAGTGTAACTAGAGATAACTGTATACCACTATAGTAATGGTAATGTTTGTGATGACAGAATTATAATATCTGTCATATTTTGCGGTTCAGATTGGAATATTTGTCCCTACAGGACCTGCCCATGGGTGTATTCCCGAAGGACAGATATTCTGATCCTTCAACCTAAAACATGTGTCAGTTATTTTTTCTTGCATAATCTACCATATTCAATCATATTTTAAATACTTTATCTTAATAAAACAACTTTCCACGGAAATTAATGTCATTACACCCGTAACTACTTTCTTACAACTGCGTATGAAATTACAACTTCATTCCTTTCGGCAAAGTCATATCATCCTAAGAATGCCATTGTATAGCATGTGACTTATCTGGCACCCCCCATGATAGATGAAATTTCAGGAATGGGTAAAATAGTAGTCTTAGTAGTCACTTTCACTATCATTGCTACATAATCTTCAGTTAATACTACTACTATGTGATAATAAACTGAAGATAGTCTGTAGCTAAGTATAGGAAGCTATGTGGTTGACTATTAGCTGAAGATACTGTAGCAGCAATAGTGATTGTAGTGGTAATTATTGATTTTTTAGTGATTGTAGTACAAAAGCTGTGATAGTGATACAAATGTCAGTAATAAAAGTGAAACCAAAGAAGTAGATTTCATGTTTGTTTGTTTGTTAGTTTCAATTTACGCCTTTCCCAACAGTATTTCAGTCAACTAGGCGGGTAGTTTTCTAACCATCGTTCCTGGAGAGTTACACCAGTACTAGACTACCTTCCTCCGCGCTAAACTACCAAAGCATCTCCCGGGAATCGAACCCACGCCAGAGAGGTAACTGGATTAGAAGTCATCGACTCTAACCCCTCGACTACGGAGGCGGTATAGATTTCATGTAGTTTGCTGTTCATACTATAGCAGTTATATTGATAGTATTGAGAGACTAGTGGAAATGTTAGCTGTGACTACTTCAGCATTGATAGTTTGGATTGTTTGTTTTGTCACCTGGACACTGTAAAGGTTACATGGCAACTTTCCAGCGTAAAATGGTAAAGGAAGACCATCATGCACTATTTCAGGCACATTTTGGACACCTAAGTAGAACCACCATCCTAGTTGTAAACTTTCTCAAATGAAAGAATATAAAGTTCCTTATGTAAATTGAACCCACAGTAGTGAGGTTGAAGTGTCTTGAAGCTGGCCATCTTAAACAATTGACTATGATGTCCCATAGAAGTGATAATAATAGTAGTGTTACACTTGTGTTAGCTGTTGATACTTAAGCAATGACAGTTATTGTAGAGTTAGACTTGTGGAATTGTTAGCTGTTGATACTGTAGCTGTGACAGTGATTGTAGAGTTGGACTTGTGGACTTGTTAGCTGAAATTGTTGCAGTGACATTGATTGTAGAGTTGGACTTGTGGAATTGTTAGCTGTAGATACTGTAGCAGTGACAGTGATTGTAGAGTTGGATTTGTGTAATTGTTAGCTGTTGATACTGTAGCACTGGCAGTGATTGTAGAGTTGGACATCTGGCATTGTTTAACAGTTAGCTGTTGAAAATGTAGCAGTGACAGTGATTGTAGAGTTGGACTTGTGGAATAGTTGCATGTTGATACTGTAGCAGTGACAATGATTGTAAAGTTAGACTTGTGGAATTGTTAGCTGTTGATACTGTAGCGGTGGCAGTGATTGTAGATTTGGAATTGTGGAATTGTTAGCTGTTGATACTGTAGCACTGGCAGTGATTGTAGAGTTGGACTTGTGGAATAAGAGCATGTTGATACTGTACCAGTGGCAGTGATTGTAGAGTTGAACTTGTGGAATAGTTGCATGTTGATTCTGTAGCAGTGGCAGTGATTGTAGAGTTGAACTTGTGGAATTGTTAACTGTTGATTCTGTAGCAGTGGCAGTGATTGTAGAGTTGAACTTGTGGCTTTGTTAACTGTTGATTCTGTAGCAGTGGCAGTGATTGTAGAGTTGAACTTGTGGAATAGTTGCATGTTGATTCTGTAGCAGTGGCAGTGATTGTAGAGTTGAACTTGTGGAATTGTTAACTGTTGATTCTGTAGCAGTGGCAGTGATTGTAGAGTTGAACTTGTGAAATAGTTAACTGTTGATTCTATAGCAGTGGCAGTGATTGTAGAGTTGAACTTGTGGAATTGTTAACTGTTGATTCTGTAGCAGTGGCAGTGATTGTAGAGTAGAACTTTTGAAATTGTTAGCTGTTGATAATGTAGCAGTGACAGGTATTGTAGAGTTGGACTTGTGGAATTGTTGCATGTTGATTCTGTAGCAGTGACAGTGTTTGTAGAGTTGAACTTTTGAAATTGTTAGCTGTTGATAATGTAGCAGTGACTGTGATTGTAGAGTTGGGCTTGTGGAATTGTTGCATGTTGATTCTGTAGCAGTGGCAGTGTTTGTAGAGTTGAACTTTTGAAATTGTTAGCTGTTGATAATGTAGCAGTGACTGTGATTGTAGAGTTGGGCTTGCGGAATTGTTAGCTGTTGATGCTGAAGCAGTGAGAGTCATTGTAGAGTTGAACTTGTGGAACTGTTAGCTGTTGATTCTGTAGCAGTGGCAGTGGTTGTAGAGTTGAACTTTTGAAATTGTTAGCTGTTGATAATGTAGCAGTGACAGTGATTGTAGAGTTGGACTTGTGGAATTGTTAGCTGTTGATACTGTAGCAGTGGCAGTGATTGTAGAGATGAACTTTTGAAATTGTTAGCTGTTGATAATGTAGCAGTGACAGTGATTGTAGAGTTGGACTTGTGGAATTGTTGCATGTTGGTTCTGTAGCAGCGACAGTGTTTGTAGAGTTGAACTTTTGAAATTGTTAGCTGTTGATAATGTAGCAGTGACTGTGATTGTAGAGTTGGGCTTGTGGAATTTGTTGCATGTTGATTCTGTAGCAGTGCAGTGATTGTAGAGTTGAACTTGTGGAATTGTTAGCTGTTGAAACTGTAGCAGTGACAGTGATTGTAGAGTTGGACTTGTGGACTTGTCAGCTGTTGATATTGTAGCAGTGACTTTTAGAGTTGTAAGTCATTGATACTGTAGAAGTGACAGTGATTGTAGTCTTAGACTTATATCATTACCACAACTCACATGGCTATTGCCACTTACATCAATACTACCATTACTACAAGCACCACTACTATTACCAATACTTTTACTTATTCAATATTTACATATTTTTGAAATTTGACAATCATAGTCAGTGTGATATCAGAATAGTCATCTTAAAATTGCAAGAAACAATTTCTTGTTTAAATTTAATGCAATTTATAAATCATCAAATAATTCATCAACAAGTTTCAGACTTTTTTGTAAATTCTAATTTGTTGTGGACAAATATTATACACCCTGTACAAAATTTGCATAGATGTAAAAGTGATGTCTATCAGGTCTTGCCAAGAAATAATTGACAACATCCTTTGTTGATTTTGAAGAATCATTATGTGTCAAATTATGAAGAATTATGTACTTTTTGGTGATGAATTGTGCAGAATGTAAAACTGCAACAAGTGTGCTGTATTTTCTGTAAATATTATCATCAAAAAATCTTTTTTATTACTAATCTTAGATTACTTAGTCTTCGCCCTTGTTTTATGTCCAGTGCGAGTGCCTAAATCTGAAATGTCCATTTTATGTAAACTGTCTTCAATAGCTTTTATTAAACCATTCATTTAAATATTGCATTTTTATGGTTAACACTAAGTGTATTACATTGTATTATAGTTGTTTATATGTGTTGACCATGTTGTTATTTGGTTTTACATTAGAATTGAAGAACAAAATTTTTCCAGTATCTGTTTTAGCGATTATCTTATGGAAATCAACTAAAACTTTTGTTTATGATCACAATTAGACAAAAAATGCCATTATTTTAGAAACTGAATGCAATAATAAATATGTAGAAACTTAAATTAGTCCTAGAATCTTATAAACTTTAATATTATTTTCCTTTAAGATGAAAGTATCTGGTTAATTTGGTCGAATGTCACTTATTTATCAGGCAAGTTTTAAATGACCATTTACTGCGAAAAAGGTCCAAGTGAATTTTTTTTTTTTTAATTTATATTATTTTCTTTCCAATTCTATATTCAGAATAGTAAGTTATGATAAAACTTATTCTATATTTAGCATTTCTGTCTAAATAGGGTTTTTTTTTTCTGTTTTCCGTCCCTTAGACTTTTTTCCCTTTTTCCAGATTTGTGATATTTTGACAAATATTGAGTGCGAAAAAAGTCTAAGTACATTTTTACAAATATAACCTTTTTCTTTCATTTTTTTTTCAAGTAATTTTTTTTAAATGTACAATATAACTGATTTTTATTTGAGAGTACACAAATGATAATTATATATATAACCTGAAAAAAACAGGACAGTTTTTTGTCTCTCCTGAAAAATTTACAGATATGCACTTAGACTTCTTTCGCTTTTACCCCTCGAAATGTAAAGACCGTTTAAATGAAAAAGCCTCATACAGCGCGTCTTTACACTATGTTTGTATAACACAAATGACGTCACATCAAAATATATGCACATCCCTGCAATACCATTTTTACAGAGTCACAAATCGGCACGGGTGTGTGATAAATCTTAAAGGGAAATAATTCAATTCTTTTTCATACTAACCATAAAGAAGAGGAAGTGAGTTACTTCCCTTTACATTCAAAACCAAAAGAGGAAATAAAAATTGAAAAATTCCACCTACCTGGTCAAATAAAAGAAATATTTTCTCTTGGTTATTTTCATGAAACATATTTTTCACATTTATATTGAATGAATTATGTAAGAAAATGTTGCATAATTATTTGAATGAGTGTTTAAATCTTATATCAAAATATAAGAAAACAAATATTCAAATTTACTTGATAGAGTAACACTCATGTGTTGCTCTATGTAACTACAGTTAATAAAGTGTTGTTCTGTTCTGGAAAGAAAAATACCACAACCAAATGGAGGAAAAAAAGCAAAATTCTTGAGCAATTGATAACTTAACCTCAACTTATTTATCTTATGTTTCATAATGTCTGGGTCGGTTCTCCTATTCTGTTCTGTTCTAGGACATATAGGAAAAATAATTTAGTTACAAGTAGAAGTATGTTATAGAATTTATTTGATAGTTGACTGAAACAGTTTTTCTCCTTTACTAATATATTACAGAATGTTTCAAGAACTTGACTCCAGAGAAAACCTATCATTGATGTTATCAGAGGTTTTAGATGACATTGGTGTCAATGAAAGAATAGTGATGAGAAGGAGAAGAAATTGCATGCTGCTAGAGACTATGATTAATACCAACTGGACATTTACTGATAGAAATCAGACGGCCTATTATCTAGGAAGTCAGAGTGAAGGTACAACTACTAAAGGACTTCAGTCAGACTATGATAAACTAGTCTGTGCGCACAATGTCAATATAATGCAGGACCGGTTAGAGTGGAAAAAAGGCAAGTCAAACTTCCTTATGATACAGGATGAGAACACTACCCCTGGTTATTGTTTCTTACAAAAGTTCGAAACATATGAACATCTTCCTGCATCTGATATTCCTTGTACACATTATAGTACTGATAGAGAAGGGAGAATATTGCTTAAAAACACAATTAAAAATTATAGGCTTAGGAGTGGAGGGCAGCAGCATGGACCAGCTATTGCTAGGAGAGACCCTGGATGCTATGATATTGACGAAGTGATTGGTTTTCCATGTAAATCATGGCCTCAATCAGCATCAGGTTGGTTAGAAAGACAGGGCATTGGCAGATGGCCAACACAAAAGATGAGAAGATCTGAAGCCTGTAATGGGTGTTTTGTTGTTGGAACTGAAAGTAAGGTCAGTAAATATCCTGAAGTGGAATGGAGAATATCTACATCACTGGCAGAAAGGAATCTTATGTTTAGTCTTAATTTCACACAAATAAGGTGTTATGTACTACTGAAAATGATTCTTAAGTCCTTCCTTAATCCTAAAAATGAAATCAATATATCAAGTTTCATGTGTAAAACAGTTCTATTACATTGTATAGAAAAAACAGACCCAAGTGCATGGAAAGATAACAATTTATTAACATGTTTAACACACTGCTTATTGGAATTACACAGTTACATACAGAATGGCTTTTGTCCACATTTCATTATACTGAAAAATAATTTGATGGCAGGACAATTTACAGCTGAGTCAAAACATGAACTTTCCAAAAATACTTGTGAATTTTTACAGAATGATAGACTAAGGTTACTTAGTATTGGTATTGATGATCTTGGTCATAGACTTCTAGTTAAATTGAACATTGTACCACATGGTGTTTACACTTTTGATTCTTCTCTTGAAATGTATGAACAAGTTCTGACCTTGGGATATATACTCACTGCAATGGAGATAAGTGAAAGCCATAAGGATTTTTTAGAATGTTCTCAAAATAAAAACATTAAAACAATAAAGCAATCTGTAGGTAAAGTAATGACCTTCAGTGATAATGGTAATACATTAGAACATGTTGCAATCAAGTTACTTGCACCTTTTTATTTTACCACATATGGATCTATCCTAGCATCATCCAGCATTGGAGAAAAAAAACAAATGTCATGTCAAGCATTTGTCTGGCTATCAGACGGTTTAAACTCTGACATCTCATCAAGCAGACTTAAATTGGCTTCAGTGTTCTACTGTACAAGAGATATGGAGAAAGCTGAAAAACTTCTGAGACACACTGAACAACAATATAACTCTAATCCTGTTTTACCTTTCTGTAGATGCTGGAATTATCCTCGAGAAGCAATACCAGTAGATTTCAAGAGGGTATGTAATGAGGAAAGTGAGGACTGTATCAAAAAAATTACAGCATTTTGCGTCAGGTTTATACAGAAAGAGATTAACTGTGTTCCTCATGAACTACAATATGAAATGTTCAGATCTACACAAGATGACATGATACACAGAGATGAATTATTTGACTTTTGGATGGACTGGGCTGTAGTTGATTCTCTCCCTTTCCTGTACTTCCTACAATACAAGATCTATGGTCATCTACAAAAGCATCAAGATCAACAACAAGCACTTAGTAAACTTGAAAGAACAATAGAAACTGATAAAAATCTTGGACATAAAGAAACAGCTCTTAACGTTTTAGGACAATGTATGGAACAAGAAAACAGACATCAACAAGCATTAAAATGCTACCTGCTTTCTCTTCAACAAAGGGCAAGAAACAATGTAGCAATCATACATATATGTAAACTCCTTTCAAGGGTATTGGCTAGGCAATGAAATGACAGTATTAAGTATCATTGTCAATGATCATGTACTGATTGAATCAAACAGATTCAAATGTCAAAATATAGACCAGTTATCATTCTTGAAAACACATAATATTTTGAAGTAACTTGAAACAGATTAAACTGAAAGAATGAATCCAGCTTCAATGATTTTGAATATTTTATTTACATTTGAGAGTCAAGAGCCTCTTCGGAAGAGGACCAGTATTGTTCATGAAAATGAATGTCAAAATTTTTAGTTAATGAGATGAGTTTTTTCTAAGTATTTTTATACAGTCAACTGTTTTATCTGTCACATATATATATATATATATATGTTTGCTGACAAAAATTATTAATTAAAAGTCTTATATATGTACCATGTGTTGTTCTTATTTAATTTATGTAACCTGTATATAACATGACCCTGCTTAATGCAGTCAGCAGCCCCCATGGCCATCATGGCCCTATATAGCTCAGCTAATATCCATTTCTAGAAAAGGTCACAATTCTTAAATACTAAAGTGGGTCATTAGGTGGGACCAGAATCAGAAAATAAAGCCCTAGGTACTGTTCTGTATCTGTGTCCATTCATATGCCAAAATACTTATTTTAATCATAATAACTGTTTACCTCGAAATAATTTAAATAGAAATACTAAATACACTGGCCTACTATAACATACATTTGACTACATGTTTAATTAAACTTTGATGAAGCTTTTGCTATCATCATTTGAGCCACCCCAGCACCTTGCAAATCACATGTCTCTATAGCCTTATTTAACTTAGCACTGCCTTCTTTCAGCAAACCTTCAGATATAAGGACCTTTCCCTGCAGTTCTGATTCTTTCTTCAGAAGCTCCTTTTCCATGTCAAGCACAGATGCTGTCTTTGTGACTTCTACTTATCTTTCTCTGTTTTTCCTTTACAGCTTTGGTTTTTCCTGTTGTTTTTTTTCCAACTGCCTCTCTTTTCTTCTTTCTCATAATCTAGTCTTTGTCTGTCAGTACTGTATGCCATTTTGGCACTCCTGAGAATCTCCCTTGTCAGAGAAACTTTGTGGGGTTGATGATTTGGTCATGAACCTTTACTGTATCTTTAACTGTTCTGATGGCACATATTGTTCTTTCACCAATTGCTGGTCTATCTTCTGTAACAACACTTGTATTAACAGAAAACTTCTTTCCACATCAGCATTCCCATTTGGAAGAACCAGTGCAATTTTCATGAGGTCAGGGAGACATTTATATTTTATCTTGAAGATGGATCTCCAATAGTGATCTTTCTTTTTGTAACTCTTGTAAATTCACTATTTTCACATTTGAGTTCTGTTTTACAAAGGGTAACACTATGATCTGAACTACTTTTAACACACCATGTATGTAACTTTTATCCATTTGAATCTACTTTAGTAAAGTACTGTTCTTGAAAATTTGTTTTAAAAATTCTTTTACAAAACCCAAAGAGCTAGAGCCCCAGGTGTCTTTAATTTTCCTTATATGAATATAGTACAATCTGATTAGAATCAGCTCTTAGCGCTTCGCTTTTAGATCTGAACGTGACCAAATATGAAATAATTTCTGATGACCTTTTACACAGGCAATCATAGGCAAGCTTTCATAATTTTGAAAGCAATGCAGTTTCTAATTTAAACCCTGAGAAAACCAATACAGAGTAGGTATTTTTCACAATTTCAAGAACAAACATGGTGTTGTCCATATAACCGACAGGTAAACTGGCAAAACAATCTTGCCCATTAAAAATTTACTCTATTATTTCAAGTTAACTTGTAAAAAATTACGTCAAACGTTTTTGTCTAACAAAAATCAACAATTTGTTTAACTTCCTTGGATAATGGTATTTTGATACTTCTTCTTATGCCTATGTAAAATCTGGCTTAAAATAGCTTTCTTGGGAAATAGTAATTATAAAGGGGAAATATATGGTCATCGTCAGATCTTCTTAAAAGAAATAATTAGATCTAAACTTTAGTCAGATTGGTATATAGTAAAAACTTAAAAAATCTTGTTACAATCCGAAAGTGCTAGAACTTAGATCTTTGGCATGAAACACTTTCTAGTGTATGTCTTCCAAGTTTGTTCAAATAAAATCCCATGAATCATAATTGGGATGTTTCTATACACTAACGTGAAGTTTCATTGAAATCCCGCCAGCAGTTAGACCTGTGAAAGCGGGACAAAATTTTTCTATAATGTCTTGGGGCTTTTTGTGGCAAGTGAAGTGAAACGTAGGAATGTTGCTGGCAAATTATGCAACGCAACTAGGGAATAGTATTCTTGATCACTCCTGTAAGTTTTTGGGTTTTTTTTGACCAGCCATTTGACCTGTAAAAGCTGAATGAGGATGGACAGACAAACAGCGAAAGCAATATGTCTCAAAAAATTTTTTGGATACATGATGATACATGATTTTTAGAATTAAATGCTATGCTTAAATTTATTTTCAGTTACTCAGATCACTGGACTACTCAGGATGTTTCTAATGAGAATAAATTTCTGGCAGGGATTTTGGCCGAGACCAGTTTTTTCCATTAGTCTGGCTTCTTGATTTTACACCATTTCAACATTTCCCAATCAGAAGATACGCCGATGTTATCGTGAGTATTTTTAGTTCTTCACATAAATTATGATTACTGCATTTATTTATACCGGCTGTCCGGGACAAACCCATATGGGCAAGAATATCTGTGCCTTGCTGGTCAATCTAAGAACTTTACTTTTTGACATTGATTTGTGATGATAGTTATTGCATTATTTATACTCACCACCATGAAAAACCCAAATGGGTAAGAGTAATTTCTGTTCCTTGCTGGTAAATATCAGTAAGACATTGGCAGCACTCTGGCAAGCTGTTATTGCTTTTAATGTCAGGTTGACAGAATTCTGTCCTCTACCAATGAAAAGTAGATATATGAGCTTGTAGCTGCAGATGGTAACTAAAATTCTACCCATGTGACTAGTGCAGGCTAAGATCAGAAGGCACTATTCATTCAGTGCTCAGTTTGAAAATTTTCCTAAAAAAAAAGACATATTGAAAGATGGACATGTCCATTTAAGATACATGGTTGCAAGTTAAAAATATTAAAAAAGTGGAAAACTTCTACACAAAGAGATATTAAGTGTGGTAAGGATTAACATCACATGTATGTAAAATTATTTCAGGTTCACAGGCAGCTTCTAGAGGCAGTTAAGAAGGAGAGAACAACTTCCTTACCAACATGTACACAACTGGAGGAGTTGAGTCAGCATATTAATAAGAAACATAGGGTAAAATTATATCATAATTTAATTATTGCACTAAATGGAAATGTTTGCCAGGAACATATAGAGATATAGTTTGCAAGTTTCTTTGAATATGACATTATAAACTAAATAATCTTTGTGTAAGTTTTTATTTAGAGTGACATTCTCATTTTCCACTGTCAAGTTGAGCTGAGTTAGCTATATATTTAAAGCTACATTAAATAAATATGTAAAATATTTTTGCCGTCGGACTAAAAACCAAGCATTCTACAGATTAATTAACCTTTTTAACAGTCTTTTGTAAATCTCAACAAATATTGTTTCATAGATATGGATTTTAAACGGAAAACCCCCCACGGTAACACAAAAGTTCGTTATTATACGAATTTTAACAATTGCTAATGAAGATTATAATCAGCTTGTGTATGCGCTACGTCACAAGTGTTATAGCTGCTATCAGGGACACAAACAAATATGAGATTTTCTAGTACAAACAACATTTTTAACCGTTTAACTAGGCCTGAGGTTCAGTAAAAAGTAATCATCTCATAAAAAAAGAATTAAATTTGTATGAAAACATCCGTTACAATGCGGAAATATACCGTTAAATTAGGACTGCTACTTATAGTCATGTTTGTTGATTTAATATTGATGTACGGATGATCTGAAGGCTGAGTTTGTCATGCAAACAGATATTGTACTTCCGATTTCGCCACAATGAGGTTGTCCATTTTTTATGCTTATAAAACTCATATTGGTTGTCTGGACACCAAAATAAGATCTGGAGTCGATATAAAACCCAATTTATTAATGAAATGTCGCTATTTCTGTTTTTATGAAATTTATTAAATGTAACTTTAAAGATCCTGTAACACAATTTTTTCATGGTTTTATTTCATAAATATGATGCACAAATGAAGATTTGTCAATATTGTAAGTTCCAATAAGCATTATTTATAAAGACATTTCATGTAAATAAAGGGAGGTTTAATTTATTTTCTATAAATTCTAAGTCAAATTTTCCAATAAGAAATGAATGCATGTAATTTATTGATTAAATATAATATGCACAAATATTTGCAGTACACATTTTACATATTCTTCGATGTTTGAAAATCGTTTTATTTGCATAATTATATACATATATAATTTTTTGCAAGTGTGGTATACACACAGTAACAATATCAATCACAAAACATACAGGATCTTTAAATACTTGTCAATTATAATGAAAGGATTATGATGATTGACCTTTAATTGTTACAAATTGAATAAAAGATATAAAAACTGCCTAAATTTAATATATTGCTCCACTCTTTATTTGTCAATACATTAAGAGTAAATTCCAAAGAACAAAGTGGGAGTTTCCATTACCCTGTGTTTAACATATTTAACCTTTAGCTTACTGGTGGCAACTGAAACTATGCCTGTGACCAATGCATTGGTAAGGCTTAAAGAAAATTAGAAATTATGAACAGAACATTTTTTTTTTTATTTCCTAGTCATCACAGTATGCCCAGCGAGAATCTCAGGAGCTGTTTCAGTGTTTGTATTTCCGAGGACGAGGGACGGAAGATGAGAACTGTATCGTAGATGCCGTTATCTTTCAACTACGAGCCAATGGCTTGTTTGTCTTTGTTCCAAGGTATGTGTACTTAAAACTATCGGTAAGCTTTTATCAATGTTAATACTGGAACATAAAAAGAACAATCTATGCCACCAGTATATAGTCGGGCTGTGGTGCACAATAGTGTCTATTTGCTGACCAAGAGCAGCAATATTCCCTAATTGATAATCAACATTTCCACAAAAAAGTAAAATTTCAGCAAGTCCATTTAAGTGATTTAGCAAGATAAGGGTTTTATCTGTGAGGATTTGACACTAGTGCTTGGTACTGTTGCATAACTCTGTACTTTCTATACAGATTTTGCAGTATAAATGTGTATTGGTACCATGACCAAAGCTTTGACCAGAGCCGAGCTTGTCTTCTTTTGTTTGCTTTAAAATGCTTTATCTACTGTTTGATACTTTTTGCAAGTTTACCATGATTAAATGGTTGAAAGAATTAGAAATTGATGTTAAGTAAGTTTAAAAATTGCTTTTTTGGTTCTTTCGTTAATACAGGTTTCTCTATTAAAGCAGTAGAGATTGGTTGTAATGAATTATACATCATAATTCGTATGCTGTTGTTTTTCTCTTTGATTCAGATATGGTATAAAAGGTCCAGTTTATTTGAAGAGTAAAGAGGGCCAGGTGTTGTACGTGACAGACACAGACGAGGTGGAATGGACGGGCGGCAGTGTCACAAAACATGACACATACTTTGTAGTGGATAGTGTACTTGGTCAACAAAAATATCATCTTTTAGATCATATAACTGTAATTATTTTTAGAATTTTTTGAAGTTTATGAAGTGTTCAATTGCTGAGAATGTCTAATAATACTCAAACCAGTGAATGGGAGGACTGGCCTAGTGGTTAAGGTACCTACCCCTCAGTGGCTGTGGCGCCTAGCCTAGCCTCTTCATGCCAGGTGGCACATAAGGCTGAAGTGGCTGTGGTGGTATTAGTAATCTTTACTCCAGATCATGGCAGTATCACTGTATGCCACATTGAATTTACCAGAGCACAGTTCAGCCACCGCATTGTTCCTAGGTAGGCTGTCAAGTTGTTGCCTTCACTTTCACAAGGAACTGATTACATCTGTACATACCAGAGGAAGGTACAGTGGGAATGACCATAGAAAGGATTTCATGATCAATCACAATGAAAGTGACCTGCACCATCCAGGAATCGAACCTAGGTAGCCCAGTCCATTGAGCTAACCCGACAGCCCTAACCATCAGTCCTGGGATTGTAGGTTTATATTGAGGATGGTCAACACAAAAAATATTAGACTTTTTTTAAAACCAAATAAGGCCCCTTGGTTATAAAGATCTATCTTGGATCACAGATTTTCATTGGTCAGTGCACATTCTGTGTTTATAGATTTTTTAACATTTAATGGAAAGCTCTTGGATTTTTGATGATGTTACACGAGTTGTGAATTTGTTAAAGAAATTTTTTAGATAAGATTCCCATTTTAATGCCAAAGAATCATTGGGTGTGATGGTTATTTGTCCTGCAACACTGCTCACAACTTTAATGTCAACATCTTTATTCTGTAAACTAGTCTACATGCTTGGACACAACATACTTCCATGTTAAAGATGTCTCATAATGTATTGGAATGAAATTAAGGTCAAAAATGCAATGTTAAGGACAATGTTGAAGTTTGTGTTACAGGAACAAACCTTTCCTAATTGTTTATCATATTTCAGGTAAAACTAAGTTTAAATGATTCCTGGGCCCATGCTTCATCACTCAGACTAGAACTCTTGTCTAATAAACCACATAAAAAGCCTCTCACTGACATGGAGGATGTTGCTAAGCAACAGAAAGCATCTATCATACAGGTATGTAAAAAATCTTTCATAATTACAATATTCGTAAAATCTTGTGTTCAATTTTTTCAAAATAAAAGGTATATTGGAAATTCAGTACTTTGTAGCAGATTTGCTTATCAACATTATTGTAAGAATGGTCAATGCAGTTAGATAAAAAGTTGACATTTTATCCCAGATTATGCACGTCTTCAGCTTTAATGTAGACAAAGTAAGTCCATTACGGCAAGTTTTGTCAAATTAAGATGTTACTTTTAAGCCACATTGTGATTTAACAGCTATAGCTGTATTTAATAATTTTACAAGTTTCATTTCAGCTTGATTGTAAAATCCATCCATGTCAAATTATGACATCATCATTGATGCAAGATGTTAGGAGATTTAATTGTACATTATTCTTTGCATTTCTATAGAAATTATTTTATACATGCTTATCACACAAAAATGGATAAAATTAATTTCACGTTATAATTTTTCGCAGGAGGTTTCTTCAGAAGCTGTTGAAAAACGTTTACAGCTAGAGTCGTATGACCTTGGTGAAAATTTCCCGCAGCTCAAAAGTCAGTATGGCCAATCAGATGACAGCATGTATCACCTGTTTACATCATTGAAGGCGACTGCTTTAAACTGTGACATATAAGTGACAAGTTGTGTAGTGTGCAAGGCCAAGTTTTAAATAGAAGGCAGTGATGTTTCAAATGTTGACCCTCTGTGATTGTAGATAGACTAGTGTGCAAGCCAAAGTTAGGAAAACAGTGACATATAAGTGACAAGTTGTGTAGTGTGCAAGGCCAAGTTTTAAATAGAAGGCAGTGATGTTTCAAATGTTGACACATCATGTGATTGTAGATAGACTAGTGTGCAAGCCAAAGTTAGGAAAACTGTGACATATAAGTGACAAGTTGTGTAGTGTGCAAGGCCAAGTTTTAAACAGAAGGCAGTGATGTTTCAAATGTTGACACATCATGTGATTGTAGATTGTGCAAGCCAAAGTTAGGAAAACTGTGACGTTAAAAATGTGTCATTATAAGTACTTAGTACAATAATCAATAATAGTGCTCAGCATTGTTCCAGGCAAATTTAGAAACAGAAAACTGTAGAGTTTAACGAGTCACAATAGTATAAATTTGATACAATTATTTTGAGTATGATCTTTGAGTGACATCACTTAAGATAAAGGACCATGCAAATTTAGGTCTTAACGATAAAACACAGGCATACATATTGCATGGAATGTATGACCATGGTTTAGATACCAGTGGTGTGTGAAACCGAAGATACTTGTTTCATTTATCATGAAGCATGTTTTGTAATGTGAAATTACATGCTATATATAGTACACAAAGATTTGTTACAGTTAAGAATATATTGTGCATATTTTATAGATCTCAGTGCCCTACATATTGTACATGTAAACTTACATCAAATAAGTTGAAATAATTTATTGCCTCAAATTTGAATGAAATTGAAACCTGTAATTGACAATAAAAGATTATTTTTATCTTTTGGCTTATTATTTAAAATTGTGAAGGATAGCAAATGATCTTAAATAGGTCCTGACATACTGACTGAATTCTATGCTTAATGAGGGTCCATCTGCCAACAAGTGCACAAAAACAGCTTTCGCTGTGGAGTTCAGACCTATTGTCACCAGTCATTCCAAGGTTAATTTTGAAGCACAAAGTAGTGATAATTTACCTCCATGCAGTGTCCACATAGTAAAAGTCAAAGATATGAATTTTTAGCCAGAAGTAGATCAATGTACAGTGGCCAATGAGAACCTAATTTACACAAAACAGAGAAAATATGAAACAGAGGTAGCCCTGAAAGGGTTGTTATGCGGAAAGGACCTGCCTTTCAAGTCATCACTATGTGTGCAAGGAACTCACGCACACATTTTCCTCATTCTCTGTGCCTTCTTTGAAGGGCCACTCCCACGGCTTTAGTTAGGGCATCGGCAGCCGAGTTGTAGGTTGCTATAGAATCTTAACTCCCCAGCAACCAAGAGGTACTTTAGTCTCCAGGACCTTCAATACGAGTGCTTATGTCTTAACAAGTCAGCATTGTTGATCTTATTCACACATCTGCATGGTATGATTCCGATGTTTAAAGAATGCAAGTAAAAATCAAGATTCTATACGAAAAATACCAGTTCTGCTTTTTTTGACGGGAACTTATTGCATGCCAGTACATAAAGATAAAAATTTGGAGTTGATAAAGTCTGTCAGACAACATGGGAGGTATGCCAGCCTGAATCGAAAATGGTGGCAAAGTGTTTATTACTTTTGAATTCAGCACTCCCAGCAGGTTAAGCCATAACTTTTTATCTATAATTATTGGGGCATTGAGCAATTAATTTGATGTGGACAACTTAACCTGCTAAATTTAACCAAAAGACTAGACCAGCTTTCATTTTTATATGCCCAAAAGAATTTCGGGCATATAATGTTATACCCCCTGGCGTCCGTCCGTTAGCAATTTAGTTTCCAGAGCATAACTCGAGTTCCATACAGCCCACAGTATTCAAACTTCATAGGATGATTGCCCATATTGGGTAGAAGACCCCTATTGATTTTTGGGTCACAAGGTCAAAGGTCACTATTACCCTAAAACTGAAAATGGTTTCCGGAGCATAACTTAAGTTCCATTTGGCCCACAGTATTCAAACTTCATAGGATGATTGCCCATATTGGGTAGAAGACCCCTATTGATTTTGGGATCACAAAGTCAAAGGTCAAGGTCACTATTACCCTAAAACTGAAGATGGTTTCCGCATCATAACTGAAGTTCCATTTGGCCCACAGTATTCAAACTTCATTGGATGATTGCCCATATTGGGTAGAAGACCCCTATTGATTTTGGGGTCACAAGGTCACTATTAGCTTATTACTGAAAATGGTTTCTGGAGCATAACTAAAGTTCCATTTGGCCCACAATATTCAAACTTCATAGGATGATTGTCCATATTGGGTAAAAGACCCCTATTGATTTTGGGGTCACAAGGTCAAAGATCAAGGTTACTATCACCTTTAAACTGGAAACAATTTTCGCTCAATAACTAAAGCATTAATCAACCTACAGCTGTAAAATTTTATAGGATTAACAGCTTTATACCCACGATGTCTTTTTGTCCATCCGTTGTAGCATTTTTACTTACAAGATAACAACTTAATGGTGGTGCTTTAAAAACAGCAACTGTATATATACATGAATGTTCTTCAGCTATAAAGGAGGATTGCTTTTTGAAGGAGGTAATACTGTATTTAATTCCCATGTCTTACAAATGCTTCATCCTTACTAAAAGAAAAAGTACTTTCGGGCATATAATGCTCTGCCTAGCGGTGCTCTTGTTGTAACTGTCAGAGACTTCCATTATTAATTTTATGGATATCAAGATGAAAATCGAAAAATTTGGTCAGCCAATAGTATTGAACCTTGTCAGACTGCACAGATGTACACACTGGCCTGGTACTATACTGGTGGCAAATGCAATAATCTCTTTTAGTTCCAACAGGGTAATGGTTAAGTAAGGCAGGGTGGAATGAGTTTTCTAACTATCAACAGATACAAAAACACATTAACTATTACAATATGATTTATTTGTAAAACAAACCTTATGAAAAATTACAATTCTGCATCACACTTTAACCACAATAATTATTTTATGTTCCATTCTTTATCTGTTATTTAAATAGTCATGAATTATAATGTTTTTTATAAATAGTCCTGAAAAAACCAGCCTATAAAAGGTAACTTTTGTTTGGTTTAAAAGTGTCTTCCATTTTTCTATATAAACAATCTGAAAAGACAAAAAAACAAAACAATTATAAATAAACTTCTTACAGTGCACTAAACAATTCAGATTGAATAAAGACAAAATAAAAGGCCAATTATGGTAGGGTCTTTCTATCTGAATGACCCTTTTATATTGGTCTAAAACTGAATATAATATGAATATATACAAATGAATAAGGAAAACTCAACAAGAACTGCCAGTCAGACATCTTTACAAGAATAAAGAACATTATTAATGCACTGTTTATCTTGAAATAACAGAGACCACTTTGTTTTGCTATTTTGTTACTTTTACTTATTTGTTCCAACATATATTTCCAATTACACACAATTCCTCTTGTTAAAAACATTACATTATCATATATTCAATACTTGAACACTTGTTTGACCTGCATGGACAATTTTACACAGTATCATTTTATTATAAAAACTTCACTAAGGTCCAAATCCTAAAAAGATAAAAATTTCAAATTCATGAATAGATCAACTGGGGCATTTAAAACAGAAGTATATGTAAAGGATAATAAAGAAATATACTCAGAAATAAATTAAAAATTGTATTTTTGTGCTATTCTTAGGGCTTCCATTAATGAAAGTTTGGAAGCATTTACTCGTTGATTTTGACTTGTGACTTCAAAAATTTAATGCTTCTTTACCTATATAATGTGACTTCCAATATCAAAGATTTTTCAGTCTCTGACTTCCAAATTTTGAAACTTAATGGAAGCCCTGTATTCTTAGTCCAATAAGAGTGAAAAGCATTGCAACGATCTGCATTTTTATTCATTTTTCGCAAATAGAATAATTATTCTTGAACAACAGAATGAGCAGATGATCTGAAATTTTGCACACAAGTTTAGTTATTGGTCTAGATATGTTACATCCAATGAAACATTTATCTTGAAAAATAAATGCCAGTCCAGTCATGTAAAAAACCTCAGTGGAGTCCCTTTAATATATTCTAATATTTCTATAAGATTCTCAGGCAGCTTACCTTTAAATTACTCATGTATATCAAAAACATTTTTCAAATACAGCTCTGGTTTGTCATATCCCATCTGTTCGAGGGAAAGGATTCCTAATTCATCTAAAGTTGGTCGAATAGCTTGAATCAGACTGCCAAACAACTTCTCATCTTGGTTACACTTAAACTGAAAACAAATACATCATAATGTTATAAGTATTACAAATATCAAACTGTAATAACTATAGAAATAGTTATTATACTATAAAACACCAAAGAAATAAGTATACAAAATAAGTACTAAAAGCATCTGTCCAAAAAAGCTGGGCTCAGTACTTTAACTTTACAAGAAGGCATGGTTACTATAGAAGAATATTACAATAATAAAGAAACATGAACAAACACTATCTTATATTCTCAATGGGCCCAATAATTGCAAAAAGTACCATGAATTGAAAAAGTATGATCTCAAGCAACCACTTATGTACTATTTTGTAATAACAAACAAGTATAATCTTCACTTTTCTGGCTCACGACAAACTTTCTTAATGTGCCTCAAATTTATGCTTGTACTCCCATGAATGATGGAACTGACTAGCCAGCATGATCATCAATGTACATTTTAAATTATTACCTTTTAAGCAGGGCTCTCAGTAGGGTCAGAATTTCACGAGTCAAAGACTCTTTGGCCAAAATTTTCATGAGTCAAATAATTTTCTTCTAGTGTCATTTGACTACATGAATCATTTTTATGTTACAAAAAAGACTGTATTGGAGGTCATTTTTGGAGATTCCAAAGTCTAAATTGACAGAAAAAATCCATAATTACAAATGTCTCTACCCCCCCACCCCCTGCTCCACCTAAAAAAAACAACAAATAAAACCAAAAAATGAATTGCTGTGAAAGAATAAAATAAGCAGCAGCTTTTCTGATTAAATGTATAAAATATAAAAAGAATTATCTTTACTGGTATGCTATATCAATTATCATATTAATTTTAAATACCAAAATGTATCTTGGAATATTTAATGGAAAAAGAAATAACAAATGCACCGGTACTCCAAGTAAATCAAAGACGTATTACATGTATAAACCTTTAAAAGCAATCAATAATTGACACCTCAAGTATGTAATTCTTATCAGTTGTGTAGAGCTATTTTTAGCACTGTCAAATTGCAGCCACTGAATTGTCGCGCTTCAGTGCACAGGGTATAAACAATTGCCGTGTGTAAAGCATTTTATACACGGCTTATATTGCCTGTTGGCATTTTTAATGAGTGAGATTTGACAGATGTAGGATTTGATAGGTAATTAGGGGTGGATTAAAGGTAATTATTATTGCATAGCTGAAAATCCCATGTGGCAAATTGACTCTTGAGCAGATTTTATCACGTGTCAAATTTGTGCATTTCCCGATTTTCACGAGTCAAAACCCGGATCCCCGTGTCAATCGAGAGCCCTGTTTTAAGTCTATGCTACCTTGACTTTGACCTACAAACTAGGGGTGTTCCATGAGACACATTGTCCCAGTGTACATGTAATACACATTTATGGACTCATTGGACGACACAAAAAACAGAACCTCGGACCATTCAAAGTTGTAAATGGCGTCAAAAAAAATCTCCTTAGCATCATAAAAGTGTTAAACGGTAAAATGAATGAAGAAAATTAGGTCATACCCTGACACCCTCCAGAATGCGGATCGCTAGAGCGTAATCATTGTTTCTTCGGCATGCATGCATGAAGGCATCTAGAGTTGGTGGGCCTGGTATAAAGTCCATGCCCTGTAAACAACATGAAGTAAAACATAAATATACTGTTTACCATTAAAATACAGAAGAAAAAAAAAGAATCCCTGAAGAATGCTCAAAATGGCAAAATTAAAAATGTAGGGTTTTTTTAATTAAACTTAATCATTATTTCTAATGATGACCTCATTTTAAACAATCTTCAATTTTAATTACATGTAGCACTGTTGGATCCAGATGCTTCATAGAATTATCATTTTTGCCAAACCATATCAAAGTAAGATCAAATTAAATTAATTTAATAAAAGATAACATGACTTTCTCAGATACTGCACTAGCAAGGTAACAGTGCACAATACTTACCTGAATTTCATTCATAACTGCTCGTATTTCATACCCTGTAGTCTTTTCTAATTTTAGAAAGTCCACTAACTCTTTTTCAAACTCATCACCTGTTTCAGCAGGTACACTGTAGTTGCATCTTTGTACTCCAGTCACTGGAAGGAAAAAACATGATTATTAAATATCTAATTGAGAGTTTGAGACCAAACTTTAAAAAGATTAGCTAATACTTAAAGTATCTATTTATAAATGGATTGTCATCATACTTGGATACAACAATCCTTTGAACAAGACCTTTAAGTAATGACCTTCACTTATCAATGACCTTGACCTTGAAGTCAAGATCAAATTATTGAATTTTGCTTAATCTTTGCTATAATTAGCTAATAAATTGCTTTGTTATTTTTAAAATGGATTATCTTCATACTTGAATACAAATACCTAGAGGACAATCATTTTATCTCAAATACCTAGAGGACAATCATTTTTTTCTTCATACTTGATTACAAATACCTAGAGGACAATCATTTTATCTCAAATACCTAGAGGACAATCATTTTTTCTCAAATACCTAGAGGACAATCATTTTTTCTTCATACTGGAATACAAATACCTAGAGGACAATCATTTTATCTTCATACTGGAATACAAATACCTAGAGGACAATCATTTTATCTTCATACTGGAATACAAATACCTAAAGGACAATCATTTTATCTTCATACTGGAATACAAATACCTAGAGGACAATCATTTTATCTTCATACTTGAATACAAATACCTAGAGGACAATCGTTTTATCTTCATACTTGAATACAAATACTTAGAGGACAATCATTTTATCTCAAATACCTAGAGGACAATCATTTTTTCTTCATACTGGAATACAAATACCTAGAGGACAATCATTTTATCTTCATACTGGAATACAAATACCTAGAGGACAATCATTTTATCTTCATACTGGAATACAAATACCTAGAGGACAATCATTTTATCTTCATACTGGAATACAAATACCTAGAGGACAATCATTTTATCTTCATACTTGAATACAAATACCTAGAGGACAATCATGTCTTTCAGAAAATCCAACTCCGCCTCCATTTGATCTTGAATTGTGAAAGACCTCAACATTGAAAGTCAAATTATTGTCATTTCACAGTTCTTTTCCTATAAGTAATTGGCTATTACATTTTAATTAATAAACTGAAGGGATTGTCTTCAAACCTGGGCACAACAATCCATTGGACAAAACATGAAAGGAAGATTTAATTGAAGTTGACCTTGATCTACAATGTATATATGACCTTGACTGTCAAGTTTCATACACAATACTTATACAAAAGAACCCTTCAAGCCTTATGACAAAACTCAATTGTTAAATAATTCAAATAAGACCTTTACCTTTTGACCTTAACCATCAAGTTTAAAATATGGAAATTTCCTTAAATTATCTTTGTTATTTATTTACTGAGTTAATTTACATTTGGAAAAAAGAACACATATGACAAAACAGACATGGAACAGTCAGTGATTTTTCCCCTTTATCTTACATCCGAAAAAGGCTGTTTCCCCTAGCCCAAAATAGGTATATTTTCCCCATTTTCGCTTTAATACCCTAATAATAGCAGCTGACTCAGTCATATCAGCTAACTGATAAATTTGTCTGCAAGACAGAAAACTTTCCTATAGGTAGCCTCTGCTAAGTACCATGCATGTTAAATTGAATTGAAATTTTAATAAAATGTGTGGGTAAATTCCATTCTCAGTTGTTAGAATTTGAGCTTTCCCCCTCTCTGATTTATTGTGCTATATTTTCCCCTTCAGAAAGCCACAGGTTGTTTTCGAATTAAAAAAAAATGAATGTTGGCTTATAAATCTTATTTGACCTTGATATTTCTCAAGTAGCTGACCACAAACTTGCAGACCAAGTTAAAATGGTATGGGACAGAGCGAAAACTAGGGCTGTCATTGATGGAAAATTTTGTATCGATATATCAAGAGAAAAATATCGACGATATAGCGATATATCAACAGTAGATACAATGATAAATATTTAAATATGTGTTATAAATTGGGATCATTTTGCTATGCAGGATTCTATTAGACATAACAAATAGTAATACTACAAACAAACAGAAAGTTTGTTTTTTCTGTTACTATTGTCACTGACATTTGAAAACCGAGTTTAAAGTTCAACTTAGCCAAGAAAAACTGGAAAAAAATGACTTCTCTTCTCTTATTAGGCAAAACAGAGAGGTATATTCACAAACAGAAATAAATACATTTTAGCTTGTATCGATATTTGAAAGTGTGTATCGATATTGTATCAGATGATGAATACCGATCACTATTGTGATCTTCAATGACAGCCCTAGCAAAAACACGCTAATTATCAGGACTTGGGGCAAAAAGTCAATATTTAATTGTTAAACACAAGGGCTCCCAAATTATTAACGCGGCCCGCTAATCATTGTGTTCTCCCTCTGCGATGCCACTGTTTTATACATTCAATAAACCTCATTTCAAGCCCCTGCTAATTAGAATATTTGGGGTCGCGAACAAAAGCATGCTTATAGTTATAAGCACCCTACAACAATAAATATTTCACCTTGCCGCCCCACTATATTACAATCTTGACTTTTTGCCATGCGCCACCCCTAATAAGCATGTTTTCACTCTGCGCCCTGCCAATTTTACTTGTTTATTGATGTCTTTTTTGCTTGGCAGGGTCGTCATGGTCGTGGGGCTAAGCATGAAACACAAAATGGCACAAATCAGCCAGCTTAAAAAACACACTGCTGAATGCCAGGAACTAATATTGCATGGGCAAATGGGATTCAATATCAATATAATTATTCTCTTTTGTCATAAAGATAAATTATATGCTGCAATTTCAGTCCAAATTATGACAACAGAAAAGATGATTTTGAATCGATTGGGACTTGATGGTAAATGGAATTTTTAAACAAAATAGGTGTAAAGGGAATAAGAATGAGACAGAACGGAGAGTTAACAATGGATGAGCAAGGTAGTTTCTCGGTCTGACCCTCCGAGTGTTTGTACGTGACGACTGTTCATAATCTTTTGTACCCCACCCACCATTACGTCAATGTAAGTCGATTAAATATGCTGTCAGTGTACTTTTATAATATATATACCTGTAAGGCTTTTTAACAATTGAGTTTTTGACGCCGTTCGACTCACTGAAACAACTTTTGATGCAAAAGACCGTAACATTTTGCTATAAGTTTCTAACTTGAACCAAGGTCTTTCCCACTGCGCACGCGCGACAATTCTGGGTTCAGATTTTAAACCCGAAAAGAGCAAAAAATATTTAAAACGGAAGTGTCTCCAACTTCAAGCATGTCTCAAACAAAAATGTTCTGTAATCTATGAAAATTCTGAAAACCATGAAATCAAATCAAGCACAATAAGCGACACCTTAAAATAAGTGAAGAAAGATAAATTTTTCTAACCAGTTGCTAACCAACTGTTCATAATAAATGAATTTTAATGACGACTCGGACAAATTAAGTCTATTCACAAAAAAAATACAGTTTTCAGTAGATATCGAAATAATATTTTGATAATTTCACAATGAAATGATAAGCATATAATTTCACCGTAGCCAGAGATGTAAGCTATCACTCATGTCTATCAAAAAGCGAAATATTAGGCATTTTGTAGCAAGTAAATCTTAATGGATGTACATTTGATCATTTTATATTATATACCATTTGAAAGTTAAATCTTTTATCTATTGCTGCATGTTAAAATATTGGTAATTTTCACTTAAAAAAACATAGCAGAACATACCCACTGAGCCATAGACAAATGCATAAGCTATCAGAAAATGTTTTATTTTACTGAGTTTTATATCTGGTAAATAAGATTTACTTAATTGCTACAATTTTATAGTTTAGCAAGAACACGTGATATCTTAACTGGCTAGGAAGTTGTAGTGATTATTCTAGACTTGAAAAAGGGGCAGGGAGGCATCAAAAAGGGGCAGGGTGGAACATGTGTCAATACATGATTTTTAAAGACTCAGAATTTTTAGATGATAGGTATATAGCACAGACAAAGACAAAGCAAAAGAACACTTTTATTTCAAATCATTTTTAAATACATGTATTTAACAACTCATAGCATCACAATTGACCAAAATAATATGACAGTCACATAAAACATTTTTAAGGATGAATAAAAATAATATCTGGTTAGGTGGAATATAAAATTTTATGTAGTCCTGACACAAATATATTTCTTCTTTCACTAATAAAAGTAATATGTAATTTCTATGAACTGTAAATAAAAGGTTTAAGAAAAATTTAACATGAATCTTGTACAGAATGCATAAAATATGACATCTGGTGTTGTGCTATATAAATGGTGCCCTGCAATAAATTCATTGACATAAATATATACAGTCATTATATTAAGAATTTATTTCTTAAAAATACTCCTGTTATAAAAGTTTTTAACATGAAACCTTAAAATATACATAAAATGTGACAATGTAAATGTAGCCCTGCAATAGTCATTGATACAAATATATACAGACAGTACAATTCTTTCATTGAAATATAATTTCCATGAGCTTTAAATCTATAAAAATAGACAAAATAGGACAGTCATGAGAAAAGTGAACATAAAACCTTCAAAAATACACATGAACAAACAAATATGACATTTTCTTTAAAATTGTTCACAACATTTTTAGCACACACAGAATTAAGCTGTTCATTGTAACACAATTAAATATATAATTGTTTAATCACTTTTTTGCCAGGGTGGCATACAGAACTATTCACCTTCTTGAGGTACATACAGCTATTATTTCAGTCACAAACAGTTCTTAGTTTATCCGTCTTGGTTTTAAGCTGTGCCACTTTTTAACAGTTCTCTCAATGTCAAGGTATTTATCATTTCTGTGAATCATAAGAAGCTGATGCACACTATTGACACTCAACCTGTTTCTGATTTCAGTCTTTGTTCTAGCTACATCTGAAAACACCCTTTCAACCTCAGCAGTACTAATAGGTAGAACTGCTGCAGTTGCACACAGTTTTTCAATGTGTGGGCAGTAATTTCCCGTCACATGTTTAACAGAGTTCAAGATTTTAATCATGTTCATTGCACCAGCAATGTCTTTGGACTCAATATTGGCTAGAGAACTTTTTACAGTTTCCCATTCTTGCAAAGTTTCATCTACATCCATTCTGAAATGTTCAGCCAAATACATGATCTCATTATTACCATAGAATGTAGACTGATCTGCCATATTAAAAACACTCATACAATCTACAACCTCTGATGAATCTAGTCTTCTCTCAATGTGGTCAACCAAATTATCAATGAACAAATGTTCTGCTTTCTTAACAGACTCAATCTGCTGCTCTGTAACATTTATGTTATGTTCACTTACAATTTTTGCTGCTCTTTTTGTGCTTAGCCCTTCACTCTGCTTAAAATAAATTATTGTTATAAAACAATTTCAAGTTATTGAAATTACTTCAGTCATCTTTTATATTTCACAATAACAGTCACATTTAGCTAAAATCAAGGTATGTGTAAATTTATCATGTACTGTACTCTGTAGAGATGTTCAAAGAAAAACCAACGATTTTATCTTTATAAAGTAAATCTAATTTCGAATCGATTGAAATTGATTACAAATTGTCATTATCTTGCAATTTATTATGATATTTCACATATGATTTTACAGGTAACTAATAGATTTTAACTGTAGGGGGCGTGGACGGTAACTTGCACTTTCCAGTACCGTCCATGAACAGGCTCAATCAAACCGAGCCTGCAACATTTTCAATTTTGCCGTGTTGTGCTTTCTTTAGGGATTCTGTATTTATATATTCTAACTGTAGTTGTTACGTACGGTACCATTTCATAAAAAAAAATCAAAAAAAAAAATCTCCCGACTTTCAACCGCAGAAAAACGGTTAATCTGTAGATTAATAATTCATTCAATTCATTAAAATGTTGCCTACATGTATCTCTGTTATCTATGTCTCTGCTGTAGCCCAGAAGATAATAAAGAGCTATATAAAGTGCATCTCTGATTGTGTTATACCCAAACTTTATTTGAATGTGGATGAAAAAAATATAAATCATAAATGAATGGAAATTTTGTCACAAATTTACTCCATCGTAAGTAAAATGTGCATGCTCACGAGAAGCATTTATATATTTGCTCACAGTTTGTTAAAAATGTAACAAATCTTAGATATTTTACAGAATTATTTTTTTAACATGAATACTTTGGCGTCATTATCTGGTCACATCACTTACACTCGCTAAAAGAACATGAAATTAATAGGACGTTAATTTGTTTGTATTGCATGACAGATCAAGTTTTATGAAATGCTTTTCGGTAGAAAGTGAAATTGTAAATGTATTTGATTATTTCACTGTGAAATTATCAAAAAAACATGTATACTTTCACTTTATCAAAACTATATGGATGTGGATGAAAGAACTATATCATAAATGAATAATTTTCTAAGGAATGCAATCTGTCATAGGTAAAATGTGATTTATAACGGCACACACATATTTGCACACATCATGCTAAAAAATTAACACAATTCGGGGAGTTCTACAAATGAAAACTGAGACGACATGATTGGGCAACATCAAGAAATTGAGCGTATGGTGATGGTGTGCAGATTTTATCTTAATCATTGTATCAAATCAACATAATTTATAATATTTATTATAAACTAATGCCCATAATTATGACAACTGTATGCAAAAGAACTTGGAAGACCCTTACGTTTTTATTTAAGTGTAATCAAGTTATTTTTCCTTTGAAATTTCAATTCAATGGTGTTATATTATAATTTAATTTCAAATTAAGTATACGATAAATTTTGACCCCCGATTCTTTAGCATGCACAGCTACACGTACATGTATGAAGTACCTATCCATATAATTTCGGTTAAAAGGGTCGTCTGAAGACTTCGTGATTATAGTTGGAGCAGTGGGTTGCAGAATTATACTCAGACAGTGGTGTATTTGGACCATGTGCCCGCTCTTTTAAATTGTTTCTTAGCATCTATGAATGTAACTTTAAATTTGATAGAGAACAATCCGCCCTTTCGGTCACTGTATATCATATAACACACAGGCATGTCCTGAAAGAGTTGGACATGTAGGAATTAAGGTCCAAAATTACAGCAGACATAAAATTTTCAATTGTGCAGCGGTGTTTAACATTGAAGATTTGTTGGGAGCTAAGGGAAAAACACAAGTAAAACTCGCATACTACATGTAGGTATTTATTTTAATTGCCCGGTGACTAACATGATAAGCAACACTGCTAGATCCTGTTTTTAATAAGAAAAAGAAACATTATTGTTCCATGTTAATCGTGACTTTACAGCATATAAAATAACATCGCTCTCCCAAGTCAGTTTAAAAGTCAACTGTCGAAAAATTATCATAGATTTACAGTTTCAATGACATAAAAACATTTTATACAAATTATATGTAGAAATATTTGAGTTAATTTTCAATAAGGATGGTTATGATTTATATTCAGATTTTTACATAGGGATTTAAAAGATTTAAAGTCTACCAAAAAGGTTTTTAACTAAATGGAAGATAAAAGATTACACGGGAGTTACTTTGTAACCAACCATTGAAATCGTTTTTTCCAAACAAGGGTTTGCATTTATTTATGAATGGTAATTGTAATTGTGGTCATAATTATTGCCAATAGCTAACACCAACTTAAAATTAGTCCTTTTCATCGATAGAACAGGTGGATAAAATGTATTTCATAGTTTAACGTTTTGTTGTTGTTGTTTTGTGTTGTTTTTTTTTTGTCATTGGAATCACTTTGAATCTTTGTCTTGTTCATACATGGAGGAAAAAAACAGAATCCATAATGAACGCCCAACACTGCAAAATTTGTAACTTATAACTTCGTATTTTTGACATTTCTTTCTTCATGTATTCTTTATTTTCATGGTTAGCTACTTAATGTCAAATACTTCAAACGGTATTTATATATACATAAATTATTGTCCTTTTAAATACCTTTTTTGATTACAAATGTGAATGACAAACTGTATTATCAAGCAATTTTTGATACAGTTTTATGCATTCAATTTATTTTTTTCACTTAAGGCTGTGTAAGAAAATGACCATTTCCGTGAACATGATATGTCATGATATATTACCAATCGCCAATGCTAGATACAACAGACATTAGATATTAAACTTATTTATACACTCTCCGTTCCGTTCCTTTCATAAAACCGTATGTTAATTCTACCGGCTGATCAGACGAGATATAGACAATTTCTCGCCAAACATCGGGTATTTCCGTATAACTCCGTATTCAAAATCGAGACAATCCGATTAATGAACTTTGTACTTTCAGTTTAGGTTGGTTTACCAACGGAGGCACAATGGCAAAATTCGCGCATTTCGTTCAAGTAATTTTAGCAAATATAATAGGATATTTTATTGCAACTCTTCTTTTGTGTAGAACTTTTTTGTTGTTTTTACGTTCACCAATAAAATTTGTAAAGGGAACATTTTTTAATAAAAGAAAGGTTATGCCAACATGTTTGAACGATCCTAGCCTTGGAAATCATGGATTTATCCACTTAGAGGTGCGTATTTAAGTAAAATCTCAGAGTAGTTAAGTTGATATAAAATTTGATTATCTTATAAAATTTAGAAAAAAAACCCTTTAATATTGTGCAGCAGTAAATACAGTAATGTAGTAAATTATAAACTTTATAAAGGCAAAGTTCTTTTTTGTTCTCTATGTCCATGTACAGTAGAGTATATCTTTAATATAGAGAATAATATTTTCTTATCTTTCTATATACAATGTGTCCCTTAGGCTATTAAACTTTACTGATATGATTTATAATAATATTGTGCATAGCGTAGCATGAAAGATTGGTTTTTGCTTTTAAATAGCCTGTTGCCATACATCAAATTAAAGCAATATATCCCCACATTTTCATAGTTTACCAGTTTTACTAAGTGTAAGACATATTAAGAATATGTTTAATGTCAAAACTTATAAACAAATATTTAAAATAATAATAATAATAATAAATAAATTTGCTAGAAATTCCAAAATAAATGGCAATCTCCTGGATTAGACCCCTATATATTTTTCAGTAGTAAAACTTGTATATAATACACTAAAGAAAACGGAATGAACCTAATACATGTATATACTTCTGGTTTAGACCCCGGGGGTCTAATCCAGGATATAGCCAAATAAATTTATTAAGTGCAAGGGTCTACTGTTACTACTCAGTACTATACAACTTACTTACTGGTAATGGTTGTTTTGTCTGGTTTCTAATTAACTTTAAATTGTTTAAAATGCATACATCTACAAATATTTTTTTTCTCACAGATACTTGTAGCCCATGACCTCAAATTTAGTGGAACGTAATGCAACAGTGGAAGAAAAACTTTATGTCAATTGAAATTTAAGGGAAAACTGCTTGATTTATACTGTAAAGACGTCTAAAACCATATGGGAAGCATCCCATAAATGGCACAGTCTTTAGAAGAAAAAAATCCTGATCTAATTGTAAATTAATAAAGTTGTAATAATTAATTGATACATGTATTTTAATTAATGCACAAATTTAATTGCAATTCAAGCTATGTTTGATATAATTAGCTCTATCATGAATATGTCAAATTGGTTTTAGATTTAACCAGTCCCTTGCTGTATATTTCATTGGATGACCCTAGCTGTGACTTTAACTTTATTATATATTTTATATGATAAAAACAGAGCTTTTTTTTTTGTTCTCTACAGACACGTGTATAAGTGGAAAAATCAATGACTAAGAAAAACAACTGATATTCTTCCATTGTGCAAGTGATTATGGTTCTTCAGCTCATAAATTTCTTTTTAAGACTGGCTTAATCCTCATGGTAATTTATCTGTCAAATTTTATGATGCTCTTAAAACAGTTATCGAGTTTTCTATTTATTAAAGGCACCACATTAGCAATTATTTGTATTATATTACTAATATTGAACCCCATATCCATCCTCCCTCTCTGAAAATTACAGATAGTTTAAGTACTTCTATGTGTAATTCAGGGAAAATTTAGGAAACTGTATTTAAAACAGGGGATTTAATGCAAGAAACATTGTTATACTGTAGTGTTTATTTTATCAGATAATTCCAGAAGCCCATCTTTCTGGTATTTGTTTAAACTAGATGGAAACTGTTTATAGATGTCATTTCAACAGCTTTATCTTATTCCAGGGAAAGATTTAATTAAATTTCTAAAATAAATGTTGAAAGTATTAAACATCTGGTATGAAAGATTTGTAACTAACAGCTAGACTAGATGAACTTTTACAATTTTCTATGAGAAAAAAATCAAAATTCATAACATGGTTACAACCGTTACATAGATGACAACATTTTAATGATTTATCATTTTAAGACATCTTCATGGCCAGGTAGTTCACTAGTTTAGAACTATATGCCCCTCACAGTTATGCCTACTCGTGGATGAAATGGCATGAATTGAAGCTTGACCTTGAGAATTAATTATTAATAATAAATTATTTGTGTCAGATGCATTTAGAATATAGCACAAAAATTTAGTGAGCTTAAAGTACTATGAATACTTTGAATCAATGACACATATATTTTTTGTCCTTTTGTCTTTATTGAATCATTTATCTGTAATATTTTATATCTGTCCTCAGTAAAAATTTACATGTTCAATTTTTTTTACCATGCAAGAAAACAATACTGTTGCATGGATTATCATAAAACAATTTAAAAATGATGTGTATAAAATTTGTTCTGGCACATGTTAACATTGTAAACTAAGATATATGAAAGAAGCAAACACATTTAACAAGTGTTTAAATTGTGTACAATTTTAATTTATGTACCGTATTACAAAAAAAACAACAACAATTTAAAGTAATTTGTGTAAAAACTTTTTCAGCTAATGAAAGACGGCTGAGTACACTTTAGTTACAGCGGCTGTCAAGCTCATGACAGACCATTGTAGCGTAGAATAATAAACTATTAACTTATAATATGATATTGTATAAACTATGTGATGTGGTTAGTTCGCACTGCTTACATTGTACTGTTTACATAAACTCGTACAGATTCTTTGGTTACTGCAGCCACTGGTTTACAATAGCAATATATAGGATAATGAAGAAAATATTATCAGAAAATTATTATTGTTATTAGCACATGATAGGTATATAATGTTGGCCGCTGTTTCCATGATTTGTAGGTAATTTGTCCATGCTGAAATCGTAATTGATGATTTATGTGTACTGGCCAATGTTTTATGCTAGTCATGTATGTAAGTATGATTATTTACATACCTTAACTTAGGCTAAATTAGCACAAATATTCAAACTATTAGATTTTGGAATACTTATGCTTAGCTTTAGCTTAAGTATGTAAATTGTATTTTTCAAGAATAAATAGGAATTTATACTCTATATTTTATTAAATGTACAAATTCCTATTTATTTTCGTAAAATCATTAGAAACCAGTGAGGGAAGTTGGATGGATAAAATAATCGCTGTACTTCATGTGCATAAATGACAGGTTATTAAAATTGGACTAAAACTGAAACTGACGAAAAGTCATTAAAATTGTATGATATTTCTGATATTGTTCATGGCGATTATGCTCTATGAAGAGTGAGGTGATTACGGAAGATAATGAGGATGATTGTATGATGAAATGGTTATAATATAATATTGAAAGATATTGCCTTCCACAGCCCACTTTGATAATGTTGCTTTTTCTGTTGCTCTGTTTGTTATATTTTGGAAAAAATAATGGACTTCTTAAACCAAAGATATGTAAAGAAAGGCCCATGCACTTTTAAAAGAAAGAGACATACACAGTGTATAATTATACTCTTACCTAGTCCTAGTTTATTTTTGTATAGTGGTCACCTTATAGTACTACTTTTTTGTTGTTCTAATTTGAAACTTACTGATAGCTGTACAAAACCAAGGTTTCATGTTTGCTTCATGATACACTCCTGTTGTTTTTAAATGCAAATCATGAGCGCACTTTAATAGAGGTACAAAGTCTATTGAATGAATTGAAATATATAGCATTTGAGATAAAGTAACAACCTTGAACTTAAGGCTGTTACTGATAAGCTGCTGAATGGCCACGTTTTTTTCTTTATTATCCCATTAACCTTGATTGATTGACAACACAGACCCAAACATTTAGATAACCCAGTGACTAGATTAACCAGACATTAGGATCTCAATTGATCCATCACATACCTACAATACTTCTTCTGCTTGATTAAGACAAAAAAGTAGTCTGATTAGTTAAATTTTAGAACGCCAGTTGTAAAATAAGTTTAAGATGGAGGCCTCATTCAGAGCGAAGTTTATCTTAAAATTATTTATTTAAACTTGATTGTAAAGAAACCACCCAAGTCTTTTGTTAAAAGGTCACAGAACTAGGACAAACTGGCACACACTTAGAGGGGAGAAGTGGCCTAGTGATTAAGTTGTCCCTGCCTTTTAACACGTGGATCGTGGGCCCCAGTCATTCTAGGGTCACAACCTTGTTTCCTCCTAATAATTATGACACCAGTACTGGTTATTTTTAGTAAGAGACTCAAGTCACTTAGTTGAGTGTTTTCTTTTTTCACAATCAAGTGTTTAAATGAATAATGTTTAAGATAAACTTCGCTCAGAATGAGGTCTTAAACTTATTTTACAACTGGCGTTCTAAAATTTAACTTCTGTCAACTTTTTAGCCTAAATCGATCAGAAGCATTACAATGTGCATGTATTGCGGGAAATGCATAAGTTTTAAGCTGCAAACTGTTTAATTATTTACAAAATGTTTATGTTGACAGTATTTTTGATTGATAAATTGGGTTTGTATATATAAGTGGTTCATATATAAGCATAATATACTTTTAAACCTCAGTTATTTTCTTAACCTAAAAATGTCATTTTTGTCGGTCAATGTATACAGTATTTAACGATTCATGTATAACAAACTACTTCATCAGGTGTTTTTCAATACATGTAAATAAAATTTTAATACAAATTTAGTTATTTCTATTTGACTGATTTAATAGAATGTTTAAAGTTATAAAAATTTTGACAGAACTATGCAATTGTAAATATTTAAGAATTTCTCATTATATCTATACATCAATTCTCTATCATCGCCCCTATCACTGCTTTAGATTTTAACTCCCTTTTTGTGCTATCCAGCTATTTTATAAAATACAACCGTTAGTGGTTCTACTCTGGTGCCTGCTTGTGCCTGAAATAATGTGTGGACAGTCACCTGAGGTCTACCCCCTTCAGTATAGCTGGTGTATATAGCCATATGACATGTACTGTGTGTGTTGGTGTTACGTAAAACTGAATGGTTGGGGCAAAGTGGAGCTCATTTGGGTAAAAGAACCCTCTCAGCATTTGTAGATCTTTAAATTGTTGCTGAAAATAATGTATTTATTTGGTTAGAAGTTTATGTGCATTTTATTTTTCAAATATCTTTTCACATTGAAAGCTTTAAACTGATTGAATGCTTTTCTGTCACTTCAATGACTGTGCTTGTATCTTTGATTGATTTTCACTTGTCACTGCTTAGCATCTTAAGCACTTTAATTTATAACCTAAAATTCTATTCCATATTTTACTTCTTTTGGCACTGATTGCATGCACTCAGGAATATAGGATAACTGACATGGGGTTCATGATCTATCTACTTTCAGGAGATGGAAGTTGTTCTATATATGTTTGCTTTCTTTTATAAGTTAATGGTTTATATGTTTATTGTTTATATGTTTTTGGTTTATATGCTTATTGTTCTTTTACAGGGGAAGAAGTTTTTAAATATGAAGAATATGATTTGCTTATTGGATGAGAAGTTTAATTGTTCTATGAACATTGTGGTTTATTTACTTGAGAGGAAGTTGTTTTATGTACATGTACAAATTTATATGGTTTATTTATTGGAGTGGAAGTTGTTGTGTGTTTATATAATTTATTTACAGAAAGTTCATTTGCATTATATATGGTAAACTCACAGGAGGTGAAATTGAACCATATGTAGTTTACATACAGGTGTGGAAGTTGTTCTTTGTAAATGGTTTATTTACAGGAGGTTAAGTTTTTTTATGTGAATGCCTAATGGTTCACTTACAGGGGGAGATTGCACTATATGTAATTTATATACAGAAGGAGAAGTATTTCTGTGTAAATGGTTTATTTACATGAGGGGAAGTTGTTCAATGTATATGATTTATTTACATGAGGTGAAGTTGTTCACTGTATATGGTTTATTTACAGAGGGTGAAGTTGTTATATGTATATGAGTTATTTGCAGGAGGTGAAGTTGTTCTATGTATATAGTTTATTTACAGGAGGTGAAGTTGTTCCATATAAATGGTTTATTTGCAGGAGATGAAGTTGTTCTATGTATACGGTTTATTTACAGGAGGTGAAGTTGCACTATATAGCATGTGGAGATGAAAGTAAGCCTCTAATGTTATGTCTGCATGGGTTTCCAGAGTTTTGGTACTCATGGCGGTACCAAATCAGAGAATTCAGTAAAGATTACAGGTAAATAAAATCAGATATGATAAATTCATCAGAAAAATCTTCAGAACCATATATTCTTTAATATTAACCATCTCCCAGAATAAATGCCTCTCTCCTCTACCCTTTTTGGAAAAAAAAATGACTAACAAAGAAGATAACAGGTTGTAATAAATCCAAGAAATTTAACAATAATTTTAACACAGCACTGCGCCTCCAGTACATGTACATAAAGAATAGAAAAAAAACAGAGTCCTAAAAGAACACACAAAACAACAAAATTGAAAATTGTTGTGGACTTAGTTATAATCCTCAAGAAATAACACAAAAATAGTTTGTTTACGTTAGATTGGTAATTCAGTTGCCACTTTCAATTAATACCTCTTTATTTTAATGTAACAGTATAACTGTTTTTGTACTTAAATTAATGTCCCCCTTTGGGAAAATGTTACACCTCAGAGGCGTTTATTAGGTAATACATGTATATTGAAGTTCTTATGTACAATAGAAATTAACCCTTTTTGATGCCAGATTACTAATTAGAAGATTGTTATGTATTTTCCAGGGATATTTCTAAGAATATAGTGGACTACTATAACGGATTGACGCTAATTTTTCTTTTAATATGAAATAATTATAAAACATAATTTTTTCAGGGATGGAAATAATTTAAAGATTCACTAACATTTTATTTCAGCTTCAAACAAAATATATGACAAAAATACCATTTTAAATCAATATTTATCAAATGTCAACACCTTAGTGCAGTAAAATGTTAAGTCCTTCTAAATTAAATAGGAGTTAACCAGTAATTGCACTAAGGTGACAATATGCTCTAAATAACAGGTAGGCACATGATTTTGGTATTTTAATGGACGATACTGTGAGTGGGATGGGTATTCAAATTTTTTGGTGTCCATCTTTAAGGCAGTGAAAAAGGTAAATACATGTATCTTACATATCTATGTCTCCACTAGGGGCTTGACATATCTTGGTGATAGATAGATATCTGTTAAAGTTACAGAAATGGCCTACATGTATCTGTTACAGTTACAGACATGGCCTATCTGTTAAAGTTACAGGCATGGTCTATCTGTACAGTTACAGACATGGCCTATCTGTTACAGTTACAGACATGGCCTATCTGTTACAGTTACAGGCATGGCCTATCTGTTAAAGTTAAAGGCATGACCTATCTGTTACAGGTATGGCCTGTCCGTTACAGGCATGGCCTATCTGTTACAGTTACAGACATGGCCTATCTGTTACAGTTTCATACACATCCTATCTATTACAGTTACAGACATGGCCTATCTGTTACAGTTACAGGAATGGCCTATCTGTTACAGTTACAGGCATGGCCTCTCTGTTACAGTTACAGACATGGCCTATCTGTTACAGTTACAGGAATGGCCTCTCTGTTACAGTTACAGGCATGGCCTCTCTGTTACAGTTATGTTACAGGCATGGCCTATCTGTTACAGTTACAGGCAAGGCCTCTCTGTTACAGTTACAGGCATGGCCTATCTGTTACAGTTACATGAATGGCCTATCTGTCACAGTTACAGGCAAGGCCTCTCTGTTACAGTTACAGGAATGGCCTATCTGTTACAGTTACAGGAATGGCCTATCTGTTACAGTTACAGGCATGGCCTCTCTGTCACAGTTACAGGCAAGGCCTCTCTGTCACAGTTACAGGCATGGCCTATCTGTTACAGTTACAGGAATGGCCTCTCTGTTACAGTTACAGGAATGGCCTATTTGTTACAGTTACAGGAATGGCCTCTCTGTTTACAGTTACAGGAATGGACTCTCTGTCACAGTTACAGGAATGGCCTCTCTGTCACAGTTACAGGCATGGCCTCTCTGTTACAGTTACAGGAATGGCCTATCTGTTACAGTTACAGGAATGGCCTATCTGTCACAGTTACAGGCAAGGTCTCTCTGTCACAGTTACAGGCATGGCCTCTCTGTTACAGTTACAGGAATGGCCTATCTGTTACAGTTACAGGAATGGCCTATCTGTTACAGTTACAGGAATGGCCTATCTGTTACAGTTACAGGAATGGCCTATCTGTCACAGTTACAGGCATGGCCTATCTGTTACAGTTACATGAATGGCCTATCTGTCACAGTTACAGGCAAGGCCTCTCTGTTACAGTTACAGGAATGGCCTATCTGTTACAGTTACAGGAATGGCCTATCTGTTACAGTTACAGGCATGGCCTCTCTGTCACAGTTACAGGCAAGGCCTCTCTGTCACAGTTACAGGCATGGCCTATCTGTTACAGTTACAGGCATGGCCTATCTGTTACAGTTACAGGCATGACCTTTCTGTTACAGTTACAGGCATGGCCTATCTGTTTACAGTTACAGGAATGGCCTATCTGTTACAGTTACAGGAATGGCCTCTCTGTTACAGTTACAGGAATGGCCTATCTGTTACAGTTACAGGAATGGCCTCTCTGTCACAGTTATAGGAATGGCCTCTCTGTCACAGTTACAGGCATGGCCTCTCTGTTACAGTTACAGGAATGGCCTATCTGTTACAGTTACAGGAATGGCCTATCTGTCACAGTTACAGGCAAGGTCTCTCTGTCACAGTTACAGGCATGGCCTCTCTGTTACAGTTACAAGAATGGCCTATCTGTCACAGTTACAGGCATGGCCTCTCTGTTACAGTTACAGGAATGGCCTATCTGTCACAGTTACAGGCATGGCCTATCTGTTACAGTTACATGAATGGCCTATCTGTCACAGTTACAGGCAAGGCCTCTCTGTTACAGTTACAGGAATGGCCTATCTGTTACAGTTACAGGAATGGCCTATCTGTCACAGTTACAGGCAAGGTCTCTCTGTCACAGTTACAGGCATGGCCTCTCTGTTACAGTTTACAAGAATGGCCTATCTGTCACAGTTACAGGCATGGCCTCTCTGTTACAGTTACAGGAATGGCCTATCTGTCACAGTTACAGGCATGGCCTATCTGTTACAGTTACATGAATGGCCTATCTGTCACAGTTACAGGCAAGGCCTCTCTGTTACAGTTACAGGAATGGCCTATCTGTTACAGTTACAGGAATGGCCTATCTGTTACAGTTACAGGCATGGCCTCTCTGTCACAGTTACAGGCAAGGCCTCTCTGTCACAGTTACAGGCATGGCCTATCTGTTACAGTTACAGGCATGGCCTATCTGTTAAAGTTAAAGACATGGCCTATCTGTTAGAGGTATGACAGGCATGACCTTTCTGTTACAGTTACAGGCATGGCCTATCTGTTACAGTTACAGGCATGACCTTTCTGTTACAGTTACAGGCATGGCCTTTCTGTTACAGTTACAGGAATGGCCTATCTGTTACAGTTACAGGAATGGCCTATCTGTTACAGTTACATGAATGGCCTATCTGTCACAGTTACAGGCATGGCCTCTCTGTTACAGTTACAGGCATGGCCTATCTGTTACAGTTACAGGCATGGCCTATCTGTTACAGTTACAGGAATGGCCTATCTGTCACAGTTACAGGCAAGGCCTCTCTGTCACAGTTACAGGCATGGCCTATCTGTTACAGTTACAGGCATGGCCTATCTGTTACAGTTACAGGCATGGCCTCTCTGTTACAGTTACAGGCATGGCCTATCTGTTACAGTTACAGGCAAGGCCTCTCTGTTACAGTTACAGGCATGACCTTTCTGTTATAGTTACAGGCATGGCCTATCTGTTACAGTTACAGGCATGGCCTTTCTGTTACAGTTACAGGAATGGCCTATCTGTTATAGTTACAGGCAAGGCCTCTCTGTTACAGTTACAGGAATGGCCTATCTGTTACAGCGACAGGCAAGGCCTCTCTGTTACAGTTACAGGCATGACCTTTCTGTTACAGTTACAGGAATGGCCTATCTGTTACAGTTACAGGAATGGCCTATATGTTACAGTTACAGGCAAGACCTCTCTGTTACAGTTACAGGCATGACCTATCTGTTACAGTTACAGGAATGGCCTATTAATGATATGGTTTTATTTGGCAACATTCCAAATAATAACAATAATAATTGGTAGAAAGTAGGAGCATTGGATACGTTATATCCTTTATATTTGAAACAGTGATGCTTGTTATTATTTCATATATCAAATTTATTAATAAGATCTTGTTTGCATCCTCGTAAAACTATGATTTGATCTTATCTTATCATTTATTTCATTCTTGTCATTAAAGCATGAAATTTTCGTGCGCACGTAAATTATATTTTGCATCTTCTTTATATTTTATTACGCAATATATGGAATTTTTATGCTATGCTTGTGCACAAATTTGCATTTTATAGGATGTAAAATTTTGACAGAATGGATATTTAAGTAATTTTTGATCGTCAAAAAAACTGTTAAATTTTTTTTATTATTTGTGAGACGATACACATTATAAATCAATTTAAAATGATACATTGAGAAATATTTCACAATTTTATGTTTTAAAGGTGTGATTAAATGTCTACATTATGATTTATTCATTCTTGTGTTTGTCATATCTCTTTAGATTTGAAGTTTAGGTAGCAACAAACTGGATACATTGCACATGCAGAACTTTGGCCCTCAATTAATTTCAAATTCAACTTTTTTTTTGTCAATGTCAGTTATATTTCACAGAAATGTGATAGAAATTCAAACAATCTTATTTTATGTTTGAACTTGCCTTTATTTTCACTGATATTGGACTGTACTGTAGGTACTGTATCATTAATTCAAGTGGCGGCATGGCTAAGTGGTTTACACCTGGGACTAGTAATCTAATGATTGCTAGCCATACAGGTTCAAACCCTATTAGGGGCATGTCGTTGTTTCCTTGAGCAAGAAACTACACAGTACTGGTTGGTTCCAGGAGCTGATTTGAAAGTGCATCTATAAGCTTATAGCTTCCTACACAATCAAACTAAAATAAATTCTGTATAAACCAAGTGCTGTATCAACCAATGACTTGTTTTTTAAATAAGAAAAACCAGTTATAAGTGATTTAACTTTTAGCCTGCTGGAGGTCAGAGATTTTACCCATGTCACCAGTGGCAATCAGGATCAGTGCCAATTGTGCTGTCTGATCTTGGTCTACGCTGCTTGAAAATATATATCCCTATAATTGATGAACAGATATGTTTCCTGATCGAAAAATGGACAAGATTAAAAATATAAAGCATGGCGAGGGTTGTAATAAAACAAATTTAAAATTGAACCACCATCAAAATACTGGATAGTGCAGAATTGGGGGGGGGGAGTATCTGATTTTATACTAGTTGTAAAGCCAAGTGATTATTACAATTTTGTCTCCCATTTTATTTAAGATTTTCAGACTGATGTTTTTTTTATTATCTTGGTTGACAGTTCAAAGAATAGAGGGAGCAGTATGACAAATTGACATCAATCTAGCGCCTTTTAATCAATGAGTTTCTTGCGTATGAATGATGTCTTTCTGCTATTATGAATGAGAGTATAAATTGATAAGCCTCTGACTGAGAAAAAGTGCTAAATAATAATTTATTATCGATCTTATTCGTTTTTGTATATTTTTCTTATCAAAATATATTGCAAGAAAAACAATCATACAGTGGGTGTCGTCACAGATTGGAATATCTGGCACTTGTAAAACTGTTAAGTGAACAACTTGGCAAAGCCTTGTTACCACTGTAAATTGTTGCCCACAAGCTAGATATTCTGGTTTGTACCGACACCTGTTTAAGATGCTAATTATTTTACTTACCCATACATTGGAATCCATGTCAAAGTTGTGCCTTGTACAATCCCATTATTGCATTGAATCTATGTCTTATTTCTAATTAACATCTCTTCAAGTTGAAGACAAGGGCAGCTAAATCATTGAGTTTGATAGAGTTATTCCCCCTTTTTAACACCTAATACTTATAAATGTATACATGTATATGACAAATACATGTATCTCCAATTATAAGAAGGAATATACAAGTAAAACTTGATGTACATGTATTTTGTGAAGATAACAGAATTACTATGCCCATTTTCAGTTGTATTTCATTACAACCAAAAAGTTTTTTTATCCCATATTGTCAGCTCTGTGATGAAAAAATAACTATGAAAAGTTAGGCCTGTAAATATGAACATTTATTCTGATATTTTTTTATTTTTGTTACTTTTGAATGCATTCTTTGATCCACTTACCCCTCACCTCTGTAGTTTTGAATCCTAGATTGTTTCATGTGAAAAAGCTATACAGCTGTGAAGAAGCTATACAGCTAGCTTACATTCATGCCTGGAATAAACACCTCTTCCATCAATAGCAAAGCTGGAAGGTCACCATATGACCTTAACACTATTTGACCTTGACAGTGTCATTATGAATTAAATACCAACAATTGTATATTAAATGGCAACAAATCATTTTAACACATCCTGCCCTTTAGCAATGTACTTTAGTTATTGAAGATGCGGATAAATTTTCAAAATCAAATTTTTGTTGACCTTGACTTTCTTGAAATGAAATTTGAAAATACCTGAACTCCCTAAATTATTATTATGCCATAAACTGATAAAATTATTATGTTTTACATATAAATATATTTGCTTTTTTTTGAGGAGATATATATTTATGTTAGTAAAATCATATTGATAATATCTTATCTATTGTAGATAAGCCAACTGATAATGTGTGCCTAGTTTGTGCTAGTTTATGATTCTACCACTCCTGTTTGATTGAAAGAAGCAAGTTTGTGGTTGTAATCTTAATTCCTTTCACACCTTGAGTATTCCCCCACACCTTGGTTTTGCATTGATCAGCATTCAGAAATAAACGGTTTACAAGATACTATAAAATACTAGTAGTTGTTAGAGTTAAGTGTTTTGTACTGTTTGACCTTTTGAGTACCGCTAATCCATTTGATAAAAACCAACAACAACAATAACAAAATTGGAAATTAGAATGTTTGCTTTCATAAGCTTTTAATTGTTTATTTGATGATGAGGATGGACTAAAATGTTTAATAAAAGCCATATGAAAGTAAAGGGTTAATGAAATATGAGTTCTTGAGATTTAAGCAGCATGCCTCCAGATTCATGCCAAGTTTTATCAAAATTTTAAAAAAGTATTTAAAAGTAAAATATTGTGAGGTGAACATAGAAAGTAATTTACACATGGCAATCTGCACTTACAATCCACGCAAATAACCAAAAAGAGGTCAAAATATGCAAAAATAGCCCTTATTGCATTTGTTACACACTAAAAATATGGTGTTAGATACTGCAAAAAAAAGCCTTTAATCGCACAAAACATGTAAATTGTTACTTGAATTTGAAATTATTTACCTTTCTTAAAATCTTACTGGAAGTAAATTTTTTCTTAAGTTTGATTTTCTTGAAATAGTTCGGCTCATCTTTAGACACGCGTCTTTAAGACAAGACTATTACATCATAAAACATGGTTTAATTGGTTTGCGACATATAAATGTCTTAACTGTGACAGTTTCTAATTAATTTATTTTAATTTTGCTTAAAGCTGCTTTCCGCCAGAATTTTTTTTTTTATTTCAAATGTTAAGATATTTGAAATAGCAATGTTTTTGCATGATGTTAATGATGCAGAAGATGAGTGTGTTTTAAAAAGTTGCTGCCATAAACGTCACCATGCTAAACACAATCTTAAATGGAATTTGCATCACTTAAATCCGGACAAAACCATTCATCGTTTGTAGGGACTATTTTAAAATATACATATTGACTGAACTGTGAACAGTGCAAATAATGATCAGGCAGCATGGATTGATCTTGCTTTGCATTGGTCACATGTGTAGAATTATTTGCCACTAACAGGCTGCATTGGTCACATGGGTAGAATTATTTGCCACTAACAGGCTGCATTGGTCACATGGGTAGAATTATTTGCCACTAACAGGCTGCATTGGTCACATGGGTAGAATTATTTGCCACTAACAGGCTGCATTGGTCACATGGGTAGAATTATTTGCCACTAACAGGCTGCATTGGTCACATAGGTAGAATTATTTACCACTAACAGGTTGCATTGGTCACATGGGTAGAATTATTTACCACTAACAGGCTGCATTGGTCACATGGGTAGAATTATTTGCCACTAACAGGCTGCATTGGTCACATGGGTAGAATTATTTGCCACTAACAGGCTGCATTGGTCACATGGGTAGAATTATTTGCCACTAATAGGCTGCATTGGTCACACAGGTAGAATTATTTGCCACTAACAGGCTAAGCATTAAAAATATTTTTAATATTTGCAATCTTAATGGCATTTTTGCATGAAGTTTGATGCAAAGGATAAATCTCAGAAAGCCTGCTATAAAGTTCTTTTGTATGCATTACATGGAATTTATTTAAAATGTTTGGAAAAAAATATCTGTGCCTAGTCATGCATGTAGCTATTAAAAATATTGTGGCCCATAAAAATACCACTATATTTGTTACATTTATTTTAATTGCACACATATCATAAACAGTTACTTCCCTTGAGCAATATAGAAGCTATTTTTTTAAGAATTAGTTTGTTTTAAAGCAGCAGGCCTCCAGATTCTTGTTAATTTTTTTGAAAACAAAAATTCTTATTATCAAAAATGTTGTCAGGTATACATATTAAGTGATTTAAAGTTAACATTTTTGAAAAATTTGTTTACAAATCTGTGGGTGTTCTGCTTTAACCCTTTAAAAATAACCTGGTGGATCCAAAATTAACCTTTGCTACCCATAAAAAGCATGGCCCATCTGCATGTCTGCAGTTTGGTAGCTCAGTATTGTAATTTGATTTCGAAATCTGTAAAACTTTGAATGGACTGTTCCAAATTTAAAGTAGGGCAAATTCATTTCACAAATTTAGCAGGTGAAGAGTAAGAACATTTTTGGTGTATAAATTTATATAATGTTATACATATAAAATGATTTGATTTGAATTTCAGGGTAGTAGCTATAGACCAGCGAGGGTATGGCGACTCGGATAAACCGTCCGGATATCAAAATTATTCATATGATCATCTTACTAAAGACATTCAACAACTTATACCAGCACTAGGTAAAATATTGTAATCCAGAGCTTTATATATAATTGGAAACTATCATAATTTCGTGGTCTTCAACAAAATATGAGCAGCGTCATGACAAAACCAACATAATGGGTTTGCGACCAGCATGGATCCAGACCAGCCTGCACATCCGCGCAGTCTGATGAGGATCCATGCTGTTCGCTTACAAACCCTATAACAAGTAGAGAAACTGATAGCGAACAGCATGGATCCTGATCAGACGGCGCGAATGCGCAGGCTGGTCTGGATCCATGCTGGTCGCAAACACATTATGTTGGTTTTGTCGTGGTCTTCAACAAAATATTTATAAATCATGTCACTAGGGTCAAAATTGTGCCTTTCTGGGTTCACTTGTTTTACATACACTTATGGCATAGACTTACATCTTCAAATCCGATTTCCTGTACCCTTGACCTGTCAGTTGGTCACCTGATTGGTCCTTTTTTGGTCATAAGTATACCATACCATGTCCAGTCAATACATAGAGGACACATTAGTCATAATCTGTGAATGTAAATCTATTGCCAAAAGTTAAAAAATGTACAAAAATTAAAGAAGAAATAATGAGCTGCTTCTTTACAACTTCTTTACTATTTGAAAATTGGGAAATAGTGTTTAAATACTAGTATTTGTAACTTAATAAAGAAGATATTTATAAACTAGTTTTAAAAATGCCTTAAGCAAAAGGAAAACGGTGTTGATTTTATATGCTATAAAAATTTCATAGTTTTAAATTTCATAGTTTTAAAGAAAAAAGTCATTTTGACCTTCAAAATAATGATTTTAATGATTTTTTTGGCAGGCTTTTGTCAGATAAACCAATATTACCTTTTGTAGTTTAATCAAAGTTGGAAAATAAATCAAAATTTCATGCAAAATTTGAATAGTATGATAAATAGACATTTGAATGATGTAATTTAATATAGATTTACGTAATCTATTTTCTGAGAAGATAATTTTAAAAAAACAACCTCAAAACAACTTAATTAAATCTAACATAAATTCATCAAGATAATGTGAAATTTTGACGGAAATAATTTTAATGTGAATAAAACAATGGACAGTATAAACAATTGAAGTGAATAAAATGAAATTTAATATCAGTAATTGCACAGTTGTATGGGCAATAAATGGTTTGAATTTACTGTATTAACTTGTATATCTCAAATATACAGCCGTTTTCAGTTATTGCAACTCACATAAAAGTTCATATAACTTAATGTGAAGCTATTTTATAGTGAAATGTTAAATATTTGAGGTTTTATTTTTGAGCTTGAGCAAATATTCTAACAAAAATTGATGTGAGAGAAATATAATAGTAATGTATATTGAATAAATTATAATGTATAAGTTTTAAAGCATGTAATATTACCGGTACTCTTTTCCTTGGAGTGAATGGTATATGCACTAAATGGTAAAAATCCTACCGTGCTCAAAATAGCAGAATAATAGGTTAACCTGTACTTCAGCTGCTGAAAAAAGAAACATTCTATGACCATGACCTTTACCACGAGGATAATGCTGTTTATTCATGATACATGTTAATGTTATTGTTATTAAAAATCATGTTTATTTATAGGTTATACAAGTTGTACATTACTGTCACATGACTGGGGTGGCGCTGTTGCCTGGCAATTTGTAAGCCGGTATCCAGAGCTTGTTGATAAACTTGTCGTCTGCAACTGTCCTCATCCAGCAACCTTTCAGAAATATATACGAACACATTGGTCACAAATTAAGAAATCATGGTAATGTTTTCATGTCTTTATTTTTCCACATAAAGCATTTAAAAGTAGGAAACAATACAACCTGTAATATTTGATAAAAATTCATTTTTAAGAAAAATATTATATAAATAAACTTTGAATTCTAGGCGCAAGAGTAACATATCACTAGTAAAGAGAAGTTTATACCAAATATTATCATTATGCAAATTTTATTTCAATATTTATCTGAGAAAGTAAAGAACAAAGATTTTCTCTTTAAAGAATGTTAATATGTAAATTATTATTTATTTGCCTCATTTTTTCTAAATGAGGCAAGAAGAAATGAAAAACTTATTTGGCAATAATCAGCTCTAATAATAATCTCTGACTCAATAGAATATCCTAATGTATAATTCTAAATACATTCAGGTTTTTCCCCCTTACTTAATCAACACCATTTGTATCTGATGATGTCTAAAATCATTAAACTGTACAGTTACGCAATAAAAACATGAAACGTTGATTCCTTAATTGTTTATTTATATCTGTGTATATTTTTATTCAGGTATATGTACTTATTTCAAGTGCCTTGGGTCCCAGAGTTTATAATCAGATCAAACGATTTGTCGTTCTATGAGAGGGTGTTTAAAAGTTTTAAAAACAACAAGCCCTCAGATGAAGATATAGAGGCGTACAAGTACACATTTGCACGGAAAGGTAAACCAATCTGCAGTAATTCTTTTAACTTAAAATATAAGCCCAAAATAGGACTTTTCTTACCTTAAATCTTAAAAGATTTCTAAATTAATTTTTTAATTGAAAATTAATTTCCCCCAAAAACCCAAGTTTACCAGACAATAGACAATAATTGATAAGATGAAAAGGAAGAAAAAGGGTTATTTTATTTAAGGAACCTAACCAGCTAGCTTACAGAGTATCAGTGGTTCTATTTTTGTGTGAAATAATGCACAGAAGAACATCTGAGGTGTTCTTCCACCAGTAAAGCTGGAAAGTTGCTATATGATGCTGTGTTAGTGTGACATAAAAATATAAAAAAAAATAAAAAAATGAAAAACACCTTTTACATAATTATGTTTTTATGATCATCTGAAAAAATATGTTGATGTTTATAACACTTTTAATTTTTAGCTCACCTGTCACAAAGTGACAGGGTGAGCTTTTGTGATCGCTTTTCGTCCGGCGTCCGTCCGGCGTCCGTCCGGCGTCTGTCCGGCGTCCGTAAACTTTTACTTTAAATGACATCTCCTCATAAACCACTAAGCCAATTTCATCCAAACTTCACAGGAATGTTCCTTTGGTGGTCACCTTTGAAAATTGTTCAAAGAATTTAATTCCATGCAGAACTCTGGTTGCCATGGCAACCAAAAGAAAAAAACTTAAAAAATCTTCTTTTAAAGAACCCAAAGAGCTAGAGCTAAGATATTTCGCATGAAACATGTTCTAATGGGTGTCTACCAAGTTTGTTCAAATAAAAGCCCTTGGGTTAAAATTGGGTTAAAATTGGCCCCACCCCAGGGGGTCATTGATTTTCCAAATATGCATATAGCAGGCTGTCAACCAATTCCTATATATATCAAAAATCCTAATATTTTTCAGTTTGGCTAAAATTCCTAAAAAAGTGAAAAATTCAAAGGGAATTCCTAAATATGCCCTATTTTTTTCACTGAAATTCCTAATTTTTTTTATCTTTTGTTATAATTATACTTATAACTTGTAACCCTGTCAAAATAATCACGGACATACCTAAGTGGACCATGTTTTGAACATGGTCAAAAATGATTTGGCCATGATTTGCCAACTCAAAATTTATGACATTGAAATGGTTTCGTTTTAACTAAAAGTTACTTTGACTATTTCAGTAACATTGCTATTTCATAATCAAAGCAGTTGTTGATTATCATGTTGACAGTTAGCAGCAAAAATACTACCATATCATGGTCCTGAAACTCAAATCATAACCATAAGAGTCCACTTATTCTGGAATATTTTGACACTGTTTTGCCAACTCCAAATATCTTTTTGTGTTTGTTCATTTTATCCAAATTTCTGAATTGGTCCATTTATATCATATCATATTTAAAAATGATCATTATGAAGCTGTTGTAACACAATCTTAATTAAAAACATGTATAAATAGTTGTCAAAAATTAATGTACAATTTGTTTACTCACAACTCTTTTATTTAAATCTGCATATTAATATCAAAACAACATTGTAAAGTACTGAATGGGTTAACATAGACTTTGAAAAATTAATTCTTTCCCTCATACTTATTTATCCTTTTTGATTTGATTTGTAGGAGAAATTCTTATTTTGCCACAAAGTTATCAATTTCATTCAATTCTTGTTCTTTCATTCATATGGTACAATTTAGGAAAAGGCAGACTCATATAATTAATTGCACTCAAAAATAATTTGGCAGTTCAGCAATATAAAGCTCATCAGGGCTGGGAATCAAAACTGCGTCGTATCCTACAAAATGTAAACAAACGCCGCCATCTTGGAACGAAAAACGTATGTTTTTGTTTATAACTTTTTTTGTTGGAAATGACTGAAAACCAGATATATGTATTAACACGCTACACTATTTTCCGCTTCGTTTGGTATATGTTGCTTGCGCAACTATTTTGTAAAACAAAAGTTATAGCGAACTTGCATCTTGAAGCGGGGCAGAATTTTTATGAAAATGTGTGGATACGACGCAGTTCATATTGCTTTATCTATTGTTTTTTCCTTAAAATCATTTATATATTTGTTTCAGAGTTCACCATAAAAATTGAAATATAATTTTGCATCATTTACTAAAATTTCATTAAAAAGAGATGTTTATTTTCATAGAAAATAATGATTTTTACGAAATGATACGACGCAGTTGAAAATAAAATATGATACGACGCAGTTGTATTTTTGGCAGTCTTTTCAACAGGGATAATTTTGGCAAAATATTTCTATTTTATGGAATAATCACTTGCGCTAGATAAAAAAACCCAGATCATTTGCGATGCATAGCAATGTTCTGTTGCTTTTGATTATTTAGAATACATTGTGTCATGTCCAATATAACATTTAATTTGAAAGTTTACGTTGCGGAAGCTACTTTTCAGTTAAACATGAACATGTTACCTTATTGATCATAATATCTGAAATAATTTCTTATATTTTCCTGTAGGTTCAATATTATCCCTAATTTTTTGATTATTTAGAATACATTGTGTCATGTCCAATATAACATTTAATTTGAAAGTTTACGTTGCGGAAGCTACTTTTCAGTTAAACATGAACATGTTACCTTATTGATCATAATATCTGAAATAATTTCTTATATTTTCCTGTAGGTTCAATATTATCCCTAATTTTTTCGCAAAAAATATAGAAATCTATTAACTTGAATTTATGTTGGCTAGCTACCCTCTAAGTTAACTGTGGTTCTGCATGTTCTGGGTAATAACTGCTTTTTTGTGGTTTGTTTTCAAACTTTCACTCTACACATTAGCTTTACTAAGGGCGAGGACCTCAGGTGCGCCTTTGTGCATTATTTCAGGCAAAATGTTGCACCTGCAGAGAACCATCGACATTTTGAAACTAGCTTGATAGGTTTTCCACACGGAAGAATAAAAAGAACCTGGAGGTTTTCGAATTCATAGCAGTTCAGTTCAAGTGATTTGAATTCAGTAAACATAAACAGCTCGGCCACGGTCGGACACACCTGTCTGATTTTTTTTTTCAACAAAATTTGTTAACGTCAGCTGTAAAAATAAGCAGCTTTTTTATTAACTTCTGGCGTAAAGTTTTAAATAATAAATATTTGAATTAATTATAAAGAGAATAACATTTATATTTCTTATTTCGGTATATATGACTAGCAGAGAAATTTTCAATGTAAACGGGGGGTAATCCTCTGTGAAGTCATTTTCTGAAAACCTTAATTTTGTTTAAGTTTTCAGGCAATTCATTATCAAATAAAAATCACACTTTAGTATGAAGGTATGTTAAGATGCCATGTCTCTAGTCTGTTGAAAATTCGATGCGATAATCTGACCTAAACTTTCTGTTCAATATAATTGTGAAAACTTCTTCAATACTGTTGAAAGATCATGTCTGCCTATATCTGTATCAAATTTATCGGTGCACAGCGTGAAATACCTTTGCAAAACGGTCACCTTCTTTACAAAATAATCTGTAGTTGTATCATATGTAGCTCGATTTTGAAAATTTAAAGTTTTTTAATGGAGAAGAATGAGACTTAAGTGCAAATATAGAAAATACATTCCGTAGACCTTTCCTCATCGGCGATAAAGCCATGCAATACGACAAAATCAGAAGCAAAGTTTCGCGGCGCTGAAAACGGAACGCATAACCTACTTGCAAAAATATATTGTAGCTTAACCATTTATAATATAATTTTACAAATTTAATGTTCAGTTTTAAATGATAACGCTCATCTGTTCTCATCGATTATTAGAAAATGAATACAATAAAATCGGCACGTAAAAGATATAAGTAATAACGGAATTGACGGAAATTGTTGCTAACTACAAGTAACAAAGGTAGGCATGCAATTTGCGCATAGCTCTCTTCCGATAGCAAGAGACCTTTTCAAATTTTGTAATTCTTTTTTTTTTTCTCTTTTTTTTTTCTTTAAAAGGTCATTCCTGATTAATACAAGTGCATGGTCAAGGAGAGGTTACACTGGAATCAAAAATAGTAATCACTCCCATTTCGAACTCACGGGAACAATTTTAGAAGCATGCTAAGGCAACACTGGAACACGTTGTCATATGGGTGTGCGATCTTGTGTTTCAAGTGTTTCAATGTATAAGGCATTTGATACAGCTTTTCGGAATTTGTAGATGCTTATGATGGGTATTTAAATGCGACTGAAAAATGCAGCCTTAATAGAATTGTATTACATTTCCATTTTTATGGAACCAATGAGTGACCTCTGCTTTTGACTTAAGTTTTGTAAACAAGAAATGTTGTTGGACGTTATTAGCATACCTAGCACATAATTTAAATAGTTTAAAACCAATATGCAGCCTGCAATGAAAATACAACTGCGTGGTATCATACTTTCTTTTCAACTGCGTCGTTTTATTTCGTAAAAATCATTATTTTCTTTCAAAATAAACATTTTTTTTGTAATGAAATTTTAGTAAATGATGTAGAATTATATTTTGAACTTTATAATGAGCTCTGAAACAAGTATATAATTGATTTGAAGGAGAAACGATAGATACAGCAATATGAACTGCGTCGTATCCACACATTTTCATAAAAATTCTGCTCCGCTTCGAGTTGCAAGTTCGCTATAACTTTTGTTTTACAAAAATAGTTGTCTAAGCAACATATACCGAACGAAGTGGAAAATAGTGTAGCATGTTAATACATATATCTGGTTTTCAGTCATTTCCAACAAAAAAAGAGTTTAAACAAAAACATACATTTTTCGTTCCAAGATGGCGGCGTTAATTTTGTAGGATACGACGCAGTTTTGATTCCCAGCCCTGTCATTTCCAATTACAATGTACACACATTTTTGCAAATTATGTGATCTAGATGAACTGCAATTGAATGGCGGGTCTGTGTGATGAACTTTTTTGATGTGCAATTTTTGTGTTGATTATAGATGCTTCCCATATCCAAATGACTGTACTAAGGCAAATGCCTTTTTTACTTCCTACTTGTACAAAAAAATTTCATTTGTCCATATTCAAAAGCTGCATTGTGCAAGAAATTTCACTGTATAAGAATTCCTTTTAGACACGTGTGGTTATAACATTTCCCAAAACATAGGTAAAAAAATGTTTTTTTTGACATGTTCAGCCATTGTTTAAAAAATACGGTTTGAACATGATTTGACTATGACCATTTCCGCAGGGGAGGCAGTTGACCAGCAAGTCCACACTGGTAGCACCTTTGCTCTAACTAAACTAGAGCTTGAGTTGTGAGTTACTTTTGTGTCAAATATGCAAAGGTTAGCCCACATCATGGTCCTTTGGGACCTTAGTTTATTTAGTTATAAAATTGCAAATTTTAGCCCTAACATTCCTAATTTTAGCCCTAAAATTTCTGAAATATTACCCTAAAATTCGCCCTAATTTTATGTCGGAAGGTGCTGGACAGCCTGCTAATAGTGTCCTTAACTTATACGGTAGACATTTTATTGTAGAAACAGCATGTGTAAAAGTAAGAATAATTTATATTAGCATTGGTAAGTAAAACAATTTAAGTTGAAAACTCCTATTTTTTGCCTCAAAATGGTCCAAAAACTCCTATATTTCCTGCTAAAATATTCTAATGGTGTCTACCAAGTTTGTTCAAATAAAAGCCCTTGGGTCAAAATTTGCCCGGCCCTGGGGGTCATTGATTTTTCAAATTTCCTTATATGTGTATGGGAAAAACTTAAAAAATCTTCTTTGGAAAAAACCAAATAGCTAGAGTTTAGATATTAAGCAAGAAACATCTTCTAGTAATTGTCTACAAAGTTTGTTCAAATAAAAGCCCTGGGGTCAAAATTGGCCCCACCCCGGAGGTCATTCATTTTCCCTATATGTGTAAAACTATAGCAAAAATTGAAAAAATTTCTTTGAAAAAACTCAAATAGCAAGAGTTTAGATATTAAGCACAAAGCATCTTCTAGTGAGTGTCTTCAAAGTTTGTTCAAATAAAAGCCCTGGAGTCAAAATTGGCCCCGCCCCGGGGGACATTGATTTTCCTTATACGAGTATAGCAAAAACTTCTTTTAAAAAACCCGAATAGCTAGAGTTTAGATATTAAGCATGAAACATTTTCTAGTAAGTGTCTACAAAGATTGTTCAAATAAAAGCCCTGGGGTCAAAACTGGCCCTGCCCCAGGTGTGTCATTGTTTTTAACTATATGTGTAAAGAAAAAACTTAAAAAAATCTTCTTTTAAAAATCCCAACTAGCTAGACCTTAGATGTTTAGCATGAAACATCTTCTAATGGTTGTCTACAAAGATTGTTCAAATAAAAGCCCCGGGCTTTAAACTGGCCCTGCTCCCGGGGCCTATGTACAGGTGAGCGACTTCAGGGCCATCATGGCCCTCTTGTTTCAATTTTCTTATTGTAACATCTTAGCACTGGTTATGGAGACAAGACGTTTGTGCCACAGGTTTTGGAGTAAAAGATGTTTTCATATCTTTTGTTTCAGGTGCACTCACCGGTCCAGTAAATTATTACCGAGCAGCATTCAATTTATCCAGGCAAAGGCAACAGTGTAAGACCAAAATCAATGTACCAACATTGGTCATTTGGGGCGACCCCGATCAAGCCCTGAATACAGAGTTAGCGGAACTTGCTGGGGAGTATGTTACTAACCTAGAGGTCAAGGTCATTCGAAATAGCAACCATTTTGTCATGATAGATAAACCTGAAGAATGTAATGCAGCAATAAGAGAATTTTTGCAGGGAAAACAATAAGTTATTGTTATTTTGTTAACATTTTTTTATAAAACTTAGATTTTCTATTTTTTGTAATGGTTTTATAATTTTTCCATTTAATAGTTTTCTGCTGTCTGTTTTACAGAGTTGAACATCTTATTGACACTATTAGAATTAAATGTTTTTTTTTTTTTCATTTAAGTTTTGTTAAAATTTATTTCTTTTATTTGATTTTCTTTGAAACTTTTAAGACATACAAAATGTACATTGTTTGTCAAACAAGGTGTTCAATAATTGTTTTTACTTAAGAATACTTTTGATACATCAATTTCACAAGAAAATATTTTTTGGAAATTTAATGGAACAAAAGGATGCCATAATTATTCTATAAAAGTTAAAGGATAATTTTTAACATTAAAGACATTTATATTTTTGATAGTTGAAGCTTCGGGAACATTATTAATTTTGCATATATTATATACATTATAATATATTATGCACAGTACAAAAATATGATGTCAAAAAACCAAATGACGTCAGGAAAATTAATTATACACTTAACTTAGTTCAACAAATTTTATCAATTCTCTTTTTATTAGCATTTTAGAATGGAAATAGATATGAATTTTTTTCGTGCATAATAGTATAATAATGCACAGTTTTTGTTCAAATGCTTTGTAATTAATCATTCAGGCCTATCGGCCTTCTTGATTATCTTCTTAACTGGAACTCGAACCATGCATTATTCTATAAACTATGCACTCACTTTTGTTATCTATTTCCTAAGGTATATCGCTGTGAAATTAAAGAAAAAGTTCTGTTAGTACTGAGATATCATTTACAAATGGCGAGGTTATATTAAGTTGACATGAAATAATGTTTAGTTATATTCATCTTTATATCATTTTATCACTACCTCCAGTAATGGTCCTATTTCGGAAACATGAATCGTAAACTGTCTCTATAGGGAATGTTATTATAATGGAAACATGGCATTAAAATGAAAAAGGACACTTGTAATAATGTGTTTTACTCTAATCTGTGTATTGATTTCTGGGGATAGGGAGCCATAATATTTTCAAAATTCTATCATATGTCAGTTGTATTTTAGAGAAGTGTGTATAGCAGAAAAAAATACATGTAATGGGAAATTCTATCTTCTCAAATATCAAATAAATGATATTTTATGGCTTTAGGAAGCTGCATTTTATACACATTGTTTAGAAAATAGACAAAAAGATGCCTATATTAGATGCATTAATATAGTATACTGCAAAATCGTTATTATTTGTGGGATGCTGATTTTTTCGTAGTTTTCTTGGATATGTCAATCTACAAATTTCAGATCCAATGATATTTCAGTTTGTCTTCAGTAAGATTATTTTGAATTGCATTATTAGCATTTTTTTGCACTAATAGACAATCCACAAATAAAAAACCCCGTGAAAACACCCTTTGTCACAAAACTATGGAACTTCATGCCCACGAAAATAAGTGAATTCACAGTAGATTTTTTTTTTGCTTTTGCATCATTGCTAAAAAGTAGTCAACATTGGTTTTATTTGTATTGATTTATATATGATAAGTTATAGATTTATAGCTTTTTTTTCATATACATTATCGTAACCAGAGTTATCACTTTATCTTAGTCATTATGCAAACAAATTTATTATCTGACTGCCCATCCTTCTGTCTGACTGTCAAGAGTCTAGTCAAGTAAGATTCTTTTTGAAATTAGGTTTCACCGTTCACGTTATTATCAGATTTTGTTATTTCATAGAAATTCTTAAATTTTTATATGAAGTTTCAGTTTTAAATGCCAAATTAAAATTGCCCTAAATAGTGCAACAACATTTGAAGTTTTTGGGTTTTTTTGCTCTTGTCACAAAGTGACAGGGTGAGCTTTTGTGATCGCTTTTTCGTCCGGCGTCTGTCCGTCCGTCCGTAAACTTTTACTTTAAATGACATCTCCTCATAAACCACTAAGCCAATTTCATCCAAACTTTACAGGAATGTTCCTTTGGTGGTCACCTTTAAAAATTGTTCAAAGAATTTAATTCCATGCAGAACTCTGGTTGCCATGGCAACCGAAAGAAAAAACTTTAAATATCTTCTTTTAAAAAACCGTAAGAGCTAGAGCTTAGATATTTGGCATGAAACATCAGGGGGTCATTGATTTTCCCTATATGCATATAGTAAAAACTTAAAAAAATCTTCTTTTAAAGAACCCAAAGAGCTAGAGCTAAGATATTTAGCATGAAACATCTTCTAAAGAATGTCTACCAAGTTTGTTCAAATAAAAGCCCTGGGGTCAAAATTGGCCCCGCACCAGGGGGTCATTGATTTTCCCTATATGCATATAGTAAAAACTTAAAAAATCTTCTTTTAAAGAACTCAAAGAGCTAGAGCTAAGATATTAAGCATAAACATGTTCTAATGGGTGTCTACCAAGTTTGTTCAAATGAAAGCCCTGGGGTCAAAATTGACCCCGCCCCGGGGGTCATTGATTTTTTCTTATATGTGTATAGCAAAAACTTAAAAAATCTTCTTTGAAAAAACCCAAAAAGCAAGAGTTAGATATTAAGCATGTAACATCTTCTAGTGAGTGTCTACAAAGTTTGTTCAAATAAAAGCCCTGGGGTCAAAATTGGCCCCACCCCGGGGGTCATTGATTTTCCTTATATGTGTATAGCAAAAACTTAAAAATCTTCTTTTAAAAAACCCAAATAGCTAGAGTTTAGATATTAAGCATTAAACATCTTCTAGTAAGTGTCTACAAAGATTGTTCAAATAAAAAGCCCTGGGGTCAAAACTGGCCCCGTCCCAGGGTGTCATTGTTTTTAACTATTTGTGTATAAAGTAAAAACTTAAAAAAACATCTTCTTTTAAAAAACCCAATGAGTTAGAGCTTAGATGGTTTGTTAGCATGAAACATCTTCTTATGGTGTCTACCAAGTTTGTTCAAATAAAAACCCTTGGGTTAAAATTGGCCCTGCCAGGGGGGGGGGGGGGGCTATATACAGGTGAGCGACCTCAGGGCCATCATGGCCCTCTTGTTTGCTCTTGGTAGTATAACAAAACCTGAAGTTTTGGTTATGTGCTATTGTTTAACAAAACCTGATGTTTGGGCTATGTGACAAAACCTGAATGATCGGGGTATGTACCCTTGTTTGTGTAACAATATCTGAAATTTGAGTTATGTGCACTTTTTAATGTAACAAAACCTGAAGTTTGGGTTATGTGCCCTTGTTAATGAAACAAAATATAGTATATCATTGATATTGCCTCGTTGATGTTGCCAGAAATGTATACATAAAAACATGGAACAAACAGTATTTTATAATACACATTAAACTACAATCTTACCAATAAGAAATTACAGTCAGTATTGTTTTGTGTTTTCCCCCTTGAAGACATGCCATTTCACTTTGATTGACAATGTTATCCCATTGTAAGTGTTTCTAGAAATGTAAATAAAGAAAACAAAACTTGCTTTGTCACTTGTAAGTGTTCTTCAATTTTGTTTTTATAATTATAGAAAATAATTAGTGATGTGGAATCAGACATTTAAGTACAGATAGTAGATATAAGACCTTAAAGCAACACAACCCAGGCTATATTTAGATATTTTCACTTTTTAAAAATCTATTGAAATCTTATGTAGGTCAAGGTCAGCTGGGCTTAATATTATTGTTTTAGTTTAATGCATAGATGCTTTATTCATAAATTTACTTTTTTGATATCTTTGATATTTGGTATATAGGTCAAGGTCACCAAGGCTATTTATAGATTGTTTTAAATTTGCCATAAAACGTCTAAAGTTTGTTTTAAATTTGCCAATGAAACATCTTGGATATATAATATATAGAAACTTTGCATTGACCTCTATCCTTTGATCAGGTTCAAGGTCACTTTGTTTAAGAACGAGGTCACTGAAATTAATTTTTCCAAGTGCCTGCCTGAATTTTCAGTAATATAAGTGGTACATTGTAGTTACTTACTAACACAATTAAAGGGACATCATTGCTTTCATGATAGCATGCAGTTTAAAAATGTTTGAGAATATCTTTAATCTCTAATTCATCGACTAAATTAATGTTAACTGTTAAGATATTCATATCATATTGTGTGTTGATACTTGAAAATTCTTGTAATTTAGATTTTCAAACATAAGTGAAAGTATCAATATTTGGTAATAATTTGTAAAAAGGAACACTTGTTTACAGTATAAGATGTACATATTAATATTGCTATAGAAAGTATTTGTTGTTGTTGTTATTAATTTTACAATTTTGGTTGATTTTCATGATATATATATCAGGGATTTGTTACTATTTTTAACAAATTTTAGAGTTGTGGTTTTTTTTTCTTGATTTAGCATTAAAAGATAATGATAATGGTTAAACACTTTTATCACATAAACCGCCATGCAGGAGTGTAATTAAATATAAAGCCATTAAATTAAAAAATAATATTACACTAGTGAAATAACACTGTGTGATTTCATTTGTGTTATATATAAACATTGCGTTAAAGCGCGCAAATGTTAGCATTACACTATAGGTGCGTTAGTGAAAAATTACTCTTTTTATTAGTTTACCGTTCTTATTTTATATATGTGATAAATAAAATATTATATTTGTGTAGATTCAATACAAAATTTATTGAACTCGTTGAATAAAACAATATTATCTCGCCAGAGGATCGCATGACGGTAATATGATTTTATTCAACTCGTTTGATATCCTCTATATGTTTTGATAAAGTTTGCAAAAGTACTATCTAGACTTTTTGAGAACAATTTATTACCATTTTAAGTTTGATGAATATGTATTTATACAATGACCAAAAGTTACGCTAGAAATATTACAAATTATCTGTTTTTATTTTAAGTTTTCAGATTGCCCTTAATGAATAGATGGACCTAGTTTGTATTTATGAACTTCATTAGAATTTATCAAAGCCTGCCATTTATAGTAGTGCCTTTATTTTTGACTGCTGTTAAAATTTTTTATATTTATGTATTGTACCTTTATTTATATATATGCTTTATTTATGCTATATCATAAATAAATTACATCTAAGTATTCATATATTTTCCCATCAGTAAATTTAGACGGCAAATAGCATATTTATGGCCAAAGTATCTGTCTGTTGGACTTGTTGATCTTTCAATCTCACAAAACCAGTCATCATATTTAGGGAAGCCGTCGAAAAAGTAAAAAGATTTTTTTTGTGGCCAGCAGGCTAAAAGTTAAAACCTACAAATTATAGATTTATTTTCACATTTTCATGAAAATAATCACAAATCTGGATATATGTAGCTTTAAAATGAGTTAACTAATATGGTGCCGATACATTAGCTGCTTTTGCTTGATAATATTCCTGTTTCTTATTAAATAAAAACAGGCAAGAGAATATTACAAACATATTTATAAAAAATATTCAAATATAGTCTTGGCTTTAATTGAAGTTGGAATTCGTACAAACCCATATTAAGTCTACAAAATGTTGTGTAAAAAAGGTTGTTTATATAATGTAGTTCTCAGTAAAAATACATTTTTAAGTCAATATTTGGATGTGTCATCATCTGCCATCACATTTCACCTTAGTCCGCTTTGTGTCCCTATTTTTAGCTGAATGTTTCTTTCTGATCCTTTCTATTAAAGCTGTGGTGTAGTTTATAATATTAGTAAACTACATGTTCAAATTAGATTTTTTTTTAGTTACGCAGGTAAAACATTTGTAGAGAATATATTGAATTGTTTCCTGATGTGAAAGAGGCTAGTTGTTGTTTTACATGTTTATATCATTAAGCAGTATTTTAATGTACATTGCAAAATAAAGTATTCAGGTATATTGTTGTATTTGTGCTTAAGAAAATATATACATTAAAATATATTGTTTAGAAATATGACTTTGCTTTGTCACTTTGTTAATCCAGTGCCCGATAATTCTGTATTTCTTTGTTGAAATCCATATACAGTCAAACCTGTGTTTAAGACAACCTCCAAAATATAGACCACTCTGAAAATAAATGCCACTTGTGACAACAATTGATTCAACAGAAAAGAGTAATTAGTAACTTACAAATAAAGACCACTTGTCTATAAAGGTCATCTTTAGTCTCTCCTTTGACTGGCCATTGTTCACAGGTTTGACTGTAAATGACAGAATGTGATACTTATAAGTTATAGTTCAACTGTAATGGAAGCTTCAAGTTTATTTGAACAACTCCTGAACCAGCGACTACTTGTGTCATGAAAGCATAATGTAATTGTGACTCCTGTAGTTTTGTTAGATAAACTTACATGTATATAGGAAGCTTAATAGAAACAAAATTGCCAAGAATTAAGATATTTGGCATTTAGCATCATCTTGTGGTCCTCTACAAAAGTAATATAAATCATTATCCTAGAACTGTATTGGAAATATTTAAATCTTGTATTAAGCTACATGACCTTGAGGTTTTATTTGGCACTGTCAAATGACCAACATCTGCATTGAAGGTTTATGGTCTTTCCCAGCAAAGTAATTAAGGTGAGCAATGTAAGACCATCATGGTCCTCTTGTTGCATATTTTCAATTGAAATAGGTAATTGTGAATCCTATTTCTTTTTCACTTCAATTCTTTAAATATGACATGGACATTCAATGCAAAGAAGTTTTGTTATAAGTTTGTATTTCAAGTTTGATCTACAACACTTACATTAGTCTGGAGTTCCTTCCCCTTACACTATGTAGACAGGGAACCAGATCACACTAACATATGAATAAACACAATGATGCTAGATATGTAGAGTTTGTCAAATTTGTGAAGTTAAAATATGAAAAATGTTTATGACAATAATGAATTCCAGAAGTAAATTTAGAACTGTAGCCATAATATAGATGAAAACCAACCTTGTGACTTGCATATAATCCAAAGAAAAATTCTTGAATGTTTCTTTTCATGAATGCATTCTTGAAGGATTTTAGAGCTCAACAACTTGTGCAGTCAGAGACTCACATATCCAACGAATTAAATTTTGCCATTTAGAGCACTAGAAGATTATGTATGGGTAAACTTTAAACTCAAATATAGATAGATGAAGACTAAAGTACAGTGTTAAAGAACTTAACTCTGCCTGGTCTAAAATTTTAAGTACTTCCCCTTAGTATTTTCAGTTATTGAATTTAATATATCAAGATTCATGTCTTGAAAGAAAGGTTGACTTCAAATTTAAAAATGTTTCTGAGAGTGGTGCAACTTTTTTAACAAAGGCAAAGAAGGAAAATTTAAACTTGCACAGATAATTTTCTTCAACTTTTGCATGATTAAAATAATCTTAATTGAAACAAATGGTAAAATAATATGGAGGGGGGAGGTGGGGGTCACCATCCTATTTTTTTGAGTTATCTGCCCCTGAAAATGAGTTTTTTGGCCAATTCAAGAGCAGATAACTAAAACTTGTTTGTTTCTAAATTTGTGTTTGTTACTGATTCCCTGGTGTCATGGTGCAAAAATGTTGCTGGTGCGAATGAGATCAATTTTCTTTGAATTATGCCCCTTTTTAAAGAAAAGTTCATTGAAGCATTGCAAGATATGTTTTACATAAAAAATTTGCACTATTACTTAAAATCTGGGACAAAAAAATTATTGTTTGCCCCAGTAAAAATGAAATAAAATAACAAAAACCAATTTGAAATAAAATAAGGTATTGGTTCTTAATTTTGAATTATCTGCTCCTGGAAGTGATAAATTGATTAAAAAACTTAATTTATGCAGATAACCAATAGAGTAGGATGGTGACTCAAGTTTTCATCAATTTGATTCATTTCTGATTCTTTTAAACCATGCAAAGTTTTAGAACATTTATTGAGCTACTTTAAATTTTGCTTATTTGTCTTTGAAAAAAAAATGAAAAAAATTGCATCCAAGTAACCCAGTTGAAATTTATGTTAACCAGTTTAAGGAAGTGCTCCAATAATGTTGATAAAACTTTTTCACAAACCCTTTTAGTATATCGTGTAAAATATTTATGCATTTATAATGTATGTTGATATCTGCAATAAAATAGTTAGGTTTATATGCCTTTTCCGCTAATTAGGTCCATTCCGTTTTTAACAAAATCGTGCACATGCGTGGTTGTCAAGATAAACTAAGATGGCTGCGGAAAGAACGTTGAGAGTGTTTTTCTGTGAATTGAATTAATTTTCAACCTCATTATTTCTTTTTAGGATATGACAACTTGTGAAATTGATTTAAAATGGCGATGGAAAAATTATATGTTGTAAGAGAGACTCACACGCGCTCCATCACTGCACTTGGTTATAACCCTGCTCGGAGAGAAATTTTAATGGGATGTGAGGGTATGTATTAATAAAATGTAGTTTATATTTAGTTGATTAAATTTTAACAGCCAGAAGTGGGATATTCCCTTTAAGTAAAAAAAAAATACTGACAGGTTCTAATCATTATGTATGAATTTGATTTTAATAAGTTCTCTACAGAGTTTATTTTTGATAACTTATCAATATTTTTAAAAAGGTTTATTTAGATCTAAATTTTAAAATACAAGAGCATTAAAACGTGTTCAAATTGCAAGAACATTACAACATTCTTGTGTAGTGCAATAGGGTGAACTCTAGTGAATGGGTCCTGCAGTACCGTGAGAAATTCAAATGTGAAAAAATGTCCAATTGAGAATGGTTTTACAGTTTTAAAACTAAATTGTAACTATTGTTAGCCCGGGTCTCCACGATTCCGGTGTACATATTTTATACAAGGCGTTTTTCAGATAAATTTTTACTGACTTGAATAAAAATACATTGTACAGTTCTGTGACTCTGAAATTCTCGCTCACTAAGAATGTCAACAATGGTCGACCATTTTGTATGACATAGTTAAACAGACTTCATGCTACCGGTGCACTGGCAAAAATGTTATTTAAATGGAAAGCCATTACAGTTTTAATAGCAAAAATATCATTTTAGCATTCTTGTATTCATATCTGAAAAAGTTGAATTCAAAACAACTTAAAAACGTGTGTTTCAATAATGTATTGTTAATCTTTTATTGATCCCAAGGGATCTCTGTTTTAGAATCTTTAACTCCCGCTAACAGGTGTATATTATACCATGAGGCTGGATTCAAAAATTCACTTCAATTAATTTAAGTGTTGTTGTGATTTTCTGGTCCTTTTATATCATTGAATCTATTTTATTTCTATATGATGAAGATTAAATATCAATATGGCACTTTACAAAAGACCGAAATCAATGAAACTGACTTTTTAATTTTCACAAACTATTAGATTAATTTTTTCCCGCCTAAAATGGTGTCAAAAGGTCAAGTGACATATAATGGAGGTATGAATGACATCAGCACCTGTCATTTTTTATCTTTGGAAAAAAAAAGTGTTTTGTAGAGAGACCGATTTATGCAATGGAGGAATAGGATATTAAAATAAAAATAAGGTACTCTGGATATGTGAAATATTTTCTTCAGAAACTCATAAAAATGTTTAAAAACTTTGAAATAGCAAATATTACTAGAGCATGTCAATATAAACAGTCGGTATGTGGCGTTGACAATAATATCGCCAGATATGTGAATTCATACACAGACATTCAGATAATTATGTACACTCAGTATACATGCTGACAAAGTCTTAATTTTACTGGTTTGCTCCATCTGTGGTTATACAATTACAAATTTAATCAATAATTCCCTTGCATGGCTATAATACAAACACCATGAACCTAATTTGGGTTAAAATTTTTGTCCCTGCTAATTTTATGATATTGGCTAGGCTGTCATCAGAGAAAATAGTCGCATTAAAATAATTTTAATTAGTACATAATTATCTGCATAGATGTGCACCCTGTGCACTGTCTCTATACTGGTGGCAAAATCAGTGCTTTATACTTTTGGCAAGATTAATTACCTTTGTTTCCACCAGGGTATGGGTGTAACTAACTCCTTTTCCACCAGGGTACGTGTGTAACTAACTCCTTCAAACTATACAGAATGATTAAAATCTTCTTGCTAACCAAATTTCAGAATATTTTTACATTATTATAATGATTTACTTAAAATAGTCAGATGTGGCAGACTGGCAGTCATAATCTTTTTTTTTCCGAAAAGCATTGAAGTATTGGTAAAAATATATTTTTTCAAGTGTAATAGTTTCTAATAAACCTTAGTAATGTATTAAGAGACAATGACTTAAGGTAAATAAATACACAAAAAATAAAATATTCACAAGACAAGAGTATGCAAAATGTTTTTCAATCTTCTATTTATTTTCAAGGATATGATATGGAAGAGTAAACCAATTTTTCCTTCAACCACTCTTGTTGAATGTCAGAGACATTTCCTAAAACATTTTTGTCTCTATAAATTAATTATTGTCTAAGAGATTCATGAATTCTTTGGGTGATCAGTCTAAGTATAAACAACAAAAAAAAAAAAAAAAAAAAAAAAAAAACAAGGGTCTGGGATTTTCATAATGACTTTCTATGTAACTGTAATATAATTCTCTGTATACTTGTAACAAATGCCTCAAGATCTTTTAGGCTGATTTCATATCTATTTAGTGTTTGAAAAGAATATAATGATTTTAGAGTTATCTTGTCATGTGTAAAAGGATTTAAAGAAATTGTACTGTACAAATTAATAGTCAATACCTTCAAAGTTATATATGTTCAAAAAGCCTAAAAAACATAAAATTTGAATTTCTTATATAGATGAACTATATAGGGGCATTTAAAACAGAAATAATTATGCAAAAGTTATAGAGAAATATTCTCATGAAAATCATAATTGTGCTATTATTTGCCTGATTGGAATTAAAGTTTTTATTTTTTTTGGCCATTTTTTACAATGAAAATAACTTCAGAAAATAGGAGTGAATGTAATGAAATTTTGCACACAAGAAATTGGTACAGACCTTTATCACAGGAAAATATTTCCAGTCTTGTCAATTGTCATAAAAAAATGAAATGGAGTCCTTTTAATAATTATCATAGATCTATGAACTTTTTCACATATAAAAAAAGTGAGTAACAGTAAAATAAGGCTGAATTATCGGAATATTATCCATAGGTGGCTGCATTTTTCCCATTTGCATGCATTTTTTTAAAGACATTTTTCTGTGAACCTGTCAGTTATAAAATATAAGCAAATTTTCCCCAAAAATTTATCTATCATTTCATTAAGATTTTTGTTTTATAAAAATATTGAGCTGTTTCTCATCTGAATTAAACTTTGGACCACCTTCCTATCTTAAATGAAAATAAAATCCTGACCGACAGTTTGTTCTATTCATGAAAGGTTCGATCACTGGCCTAAGATGTTATTAGCTATGAAAATATCTGAACTGCTTTGCCAGGTTTTGAAGTGCAGTACCATTAATTATTTAAATTTTAGTCTTGTATACAATACTTAATTTGTAAATGATTGCATGCCAGTGATAACATCTGAAGGATAGGTTGAAAGCATGCAAAGAGCAGATATAATTACAATAAATCATGCTATATCCATTGATCTAGTTAATCTCTCACAAGATTTATCATCTATAAATAGAACTACAATTTTTTTTTTTTAACTCAACAGTCCCTGGTTTAGTTGAAGCTCAGGTTAAGATAAAGTAAGAATTAATCATTTGTCTGCTGGAAGCAAATGAATCTACATAAAGTGATCAATGTCTGTCCCTTCTTAATGTTAATTATGATAAAGATAACAAAAGTTAAATTTTATGATTTTTTTATTCATTTTATCAAAAATCACAATGCTGTTGTAATCTTAAGTATTTAAAAGAACTGTTTTTTTAATTAATAAATATTTAAGCAAAATTTTTGCAATATTAGCATCAAGTATATGCTACATGTACTTCAAAGGAATACATATATTCTGCTACATACACACATACTACCAAGTTATAAAAAAAAACAACCGAATATTTAAATAATGATAATGTTTCAGAATTCTTTCCAGTTGAAGAATGCACAGTTGGTTTTAAAATTACAATAAAAACAAAAACTACATTTATGCAAATGATCATAAAATACTTTATATTTTGTTTCAATGTTTTGATTTCAAATCTGAATAAAAAAAGTTTTAATCCAAGTGGTCTATCAAAGATAGATGGAATTATTATTGTACAGCCTGTTTGAAGAATTGGGACATTTTGTTTTTGGTCTGTCTATTTGTCATTCCATCTACAGTTTCCAAACTTTACAGGTGTTTGCACCTTGATAAGCTCTACTTGCCAGACCCACTTAAAGATCAAAGGTTACCAAGGTTGAGGTCCCCTTGGTGGCATGGCATTTGCTTGTCAAGTTCAAGTATATTCCTTATATTGGTAGAGTTAAAGTAATTATATGAACATTTTTCAGATGGTGTGATTAAGACATGGGAATCAGAAAGTGGAAAACAGTTGTCAGTGGCTTGTGAACATAAAGGATGGATCACAGATTTTCTTTATTGGTATGACGCTTTAATACATTTATATCCTTTATGTCCAGTTTTTAATGTTACATTTAAAATATCTTAAAAAGATTGTTGAACTTGTCTTATTCCAGTCTTTTCAGTTCATAAGCACAAAGATTAGAGGTTTAACCCATGAATTGCTACCACTTGCCCCTCACCACTGTGGTTTGAATCTTTGAGATTTTGGATTCTTTCATGTAGAGAAGCTATTGAACTACCCATGCAAAAAGTTTGAAGTTCTACATAGATGCCCACTTATGCCTGAAATATTATGCCCAAAGGGGCACCTGAAGTCTTCCTCCGCCATTAAAGCTGTAAAGTTGCCATAATTGATCCAACTTAAAACCCAACCATAAATTACTAATTCAAACTTAATGGTCATTTTTCTTTTCCTTTCTTGTCACTATACAGATACATATATAAGTAATACAAGTCTGAATAATAAAAATATGTTACCAATATATAGCCATCAGGTAATACATTTGTATTATAATATGTTAGAACAGATCGTCTGAAGGTTATCTAAATAATGATTTGAATATAAAATTTGATATTAATTTATCAAATATATGTCACTCTACTTTCATTTCTTTGTGTTATTTTAAAAATTATTGAATCGAAAGTTTATAGGTGATTGCTTGTAAAATTTGTTTACATAATATCTCTTTCAAGTTAGCTTGAATGCTTAGTTTGAAGTAATATTTATTTGAACATGTTATTAAAATGTGCGTTTATTGCTATTAAAGAATAAGGCCATATAATGACAGTATATTATGGTTTGGTATTAGGACTACTTAATGTATGAAAGGTTTTATAGAAATTTGATAGACTTCTAATCCATTACTTTATTACTGGAAGTAGCATATTGCAAATTTTTGAACGGGTCAAATATTAGCATTATTACATTTAAAGGCCCATGACTGGTGAAATTTCTGGCTTACTGCAGAATGGACTATCAGCAGCTACTTTTGTCAAAATTTATACCAATGATATAATAAAATGCATTAAATGCTCCTCAGATACGGCTACTTTGATATTTATTCTTTTTCCAGAATATTTTTATTGCAAGACATATTTTCTACAAATGTGATGTAAATTTAAACTAGTAAATAGAATACATGTCTCTTATCATTTTGTGAATATTTTAGTGATAAAATTGCATTTAGATATTCATTTAAATCAATATCTGAATATTGTTTGTCTTGTCTAATTTATAAACATTTTGAATGGATCTGAATCGTAATTTTATTTATTAACTCTCTTTTCCTGTACACTTCCTTACTTAATAACTTGCCCTATTCTCATGTGCTATTATTACTGCCGGCTGTATCCATGGATTGACTGTTATAATTACTCCACACAAGTGTTCAACATCCTGAAAAGTAATGTTGCCGCAATTTCTTGACCTGAAAGTTGTAAAACTTTTCCTGAACTTGGCCTCAGATCTTAAGATTTTTATTTGTTTGTGACTTAGTGTATTTTTATTTGTTAGTGACTAAGTGTATGTGTCGGTTTCTGACCATTCAAATATCTGAGATAGGAGTTTGAGCTCAGAAACTTTCTTTATAATTTTAAGTCAAGGTCAAACTTAACAGTAAATGAAAAACACTTGTTCAGACTAAACTTTTACATGCATTGAGGGATTTTAATATAACTTTGCAAAAATGTATATTCAACTTAAATAAGGCAGAGTGTGGCATGAAATGTTTAGGCCCCTGTGGTCAATGTCACATGGAGAGTCAAATGTCTGATAAAAGTATGAAAATATGCATAAGGATCATTAGATCATTATGAATCAAGGGATTCTATCTCAGATGTTCACTATTATGAGACTGAGCATTACATGATTAATCCAGATTCATATAATACCAGGTCAAGGTCATTAGAAATGGTTTTATGTCCAGGTTTTATTTGGAGCATATCTTCTTAATACATTGAGGGAGTTAAGTATTTCTTGAAATAAGTGTTCACCATTATGAGATGTAATATCAAGCTCTTGAGGTCAGTAAGTCAAAGGTCAAGGTCACATCAAAGGTCAGAGAAAAAAGTTGTCCACAGCATATCAGTGCTATGTGCATATTCTGAGGACCCTGTCTGGGTCCTGATGGGCATATTGTTTGACAATGGCACCCTTGTTTTCACATATTTTTCTCTTCTTTTTTTTTCATAGTAATTTGTGAAAGCAGTTAAATTTATGTATTCCTTCATATTGTTTTCATGATTTCATTGAAGTGTCAGAATTTTTTTTACCATCTTGGCTGTTGTGAGACACTTATGTGACAAATGATTAAGATTAAAGACTTTGCCCCTTCGTATTTGTATGTTATCTGTTTAAGATATGTATCTTAGTACAATAGTTATCAAATACTTTGCCAAAATATTAAATAATTCACATGGTATAGTGGATACTGTGAGAAAATCTTTGTGTAAGCGTTTGAAATATTCAAAACATTTTTTAAAAGGCCTCGTTGTAAACAAAGTCTTAATATAGTAACTTGTGAACAATAGCCATTTCAAAATCTGAAATAAACAAAAAACGAAACAAAAGGAATGATCCAGTTTAGACTTGAGTTGATATTTTTACACTAACTGATTGACTCTGTTTATTGCTGTGCAAGCTATGGTTTGATTGTCTGAAGAGTTCCTACTTAGAGATAAACTTAGTCTAGAAGTATATGGCAATGAATCGAGATAAGATAAAAACATGTACTCAAGAGCCAGAATATACCTGTTTTGTGTGTTTAAACTTAAGTATCAATTGTCTACCCAAAACAAAGAGTTCAATAATTGAGAATGAATTTCTATCAAAGTCATACTTAATGACCTCCCCAGGACAACATGATTCAGCATACAAAAATACTTAAATTTTCATGTGTCATGAATAACTATGTAACTCATTGTTATTATATGTAACTGTCTTTGATTATATGTAACATATTTCAATTATAGACTTACTTTGATTATATGTAACATATTTCAATTATAGACTTACTTTGATTATATGTAACATATTTCAATAATAAACTGACTGATTATATGTAACATATTTCAATTATAGACATACTTTGATTATATGTAACTTATTTCAATAATAAACTTTAATAATAAACGTTAAAATTATGCAAGTTATAATGCAACTTACATTTATTATTATGCAACTTATTTCAATTATATTTACATATTTTACATATGGCTATTACATATAACTTATTTGGGTTATATGTAACTTTTTTTTTTTTTAAGTTAAGGATGGCAGCTTATAATTGTTTGTACCAATGATTATCCTATGGTTATAAGGTGATACATAGTTACATACAAATGATATAGATATTGTCTTAAAGTTCAAGCAAACAAAAACAGGACTACATAACTTTTAGTTAATGATTAGCCATTTTAGTTGTCATTGCATGCTAACGGCACATGATTCCACCCATACAACCTCTAAGGACCTAGATCGGCGAGTACTTCTGTGCCATTTGAACTTGGTCTGCACTATTTGCTCTTTTAAGTAACCACATATTTGGAAATTTCCCTAAAAATGATAAATAGTTTTGTCTAGATTGAAAGATGGACTAGTTCATTTGAAATATTTAGAGGGGTAAGGGTATAAGTAATTGAAGTAACTTTTCTTGTAACAAGAAGAATTGTGAAAATCTGAAATCACCTAATATTTTACTGCATATGTAAATAACATTTTTTATTGTTTTATTTATTTCAGGAGTGAAGCAAAGTTGATGTTATCATCTGCTAATGACAGAAACATTATAGCATGGGCACCCGGTGGTGGTGTTTATGACAGAATTGCCGTAAGTTTATTTATATAGTGAAAACTAAATCTTAAGTGGTATAACTAAGTTAAAACATGTGCTTTAATAATTAAATGAATTAAAATTTCATACATACAGATATACATATTATTCTGGTATATTTTACCATACATGCCATAAAGTCCCGTAGGTCCAGGAATGTCCCGGAAATCATATGACTGTCCCGGAGTTGTCCCAGAGATGATTTATTTCCTGGTATGAATAAGACCTGAAATAATCTCCTTTGCAACAAGAAATAACACATACTTGTTTGCATTTTTTATGTTAGATTGGTGTTCCTGTTTATTGTATGGCAATAAACCTAAGACGGTATCAATTAGCCTGTGGCGTTAATGGTGGCATACGAGTTTATGCTCTTGATGAAAGTAAGTTATGTTAATTTCGTGTTTTAGGGTTTTGGTTTTAAGTCATACTAAGACTGTAAAAGTCATATAGCAACTTAAGATTTTAAGTGTTTAAGGAAGACTTCAGGTGCCCCTCTGTGGCCTATTTCAGGCTTGAGCTAGCACCTGTGTTCTTTTCAACCTAATTATGCTAAATATTTTGAATGGACTTGTTCCTCTTTTAATCTGGCAAAATGATTCATAATTTTTAGGGAAGTTTTTCAAAATATTCAGACTGCATAGTGAACAGTGCAGACCATGATCAGACAACACATTACTAGATGTTGGTCTTTGTCTGCACTGGTCGCATTGTAATATAGAATCAGTAAACTTTAAACATTCAGTAATATTTGTAGTTCTTATTGCAAGATTTCTTAGATTTTTTTTTTTTGGTCAAGATTTACATGTTGCAATATGTATTAATAAAATTTTCACAGAACAAATTTGATAGATGAAAAATCTCAGTATGAGCATAATTAAAGAAATAAGTAAACTATGTGAGCTGTAAGAGTAGACATTGTGATACAACAGGGTATAGCTAATTAGTTTATTTATCAAAATGAAAGAAAAACTTTACATTTTTTGTTTCAAATTTTGCCTAGACAAAGAATCGGGTCATGTGATCAACATTAGCAAAGTTCTATATATAGCCAAAGAACACACAGACATTGTTAGATGCCTTATCTGTACAGACACACGCACATATTCAGCAGGGTAAGAAAAGTACATGTATTTTTATTAGTGGTAATACTTAGTCTTTTATGTAACTAGTCATGTGAATCTCAGACACCATTAAAGCACTAGTCAATTCCAAATTGGGCTGCCTAAGGTTTGAACAATAATTCAGTCAAATGTTAGTGTTGCAGAATTTTGTATCCATTCTTATCTGCTCTTAACCAGCTATAGAATCAATTTTATTTATCAAATCTATTTATTATACATCTAAGCAATGACTATTGTTTTGTATATTACAGGTATGACCAAAGGTTGATCATCTATGACTCATCATTTACAGGGGATGATAGTTTAGAAGCTGTAAATATGTACGTATTATTTCTACAATAATAAACATTATTATATTTTACTAACCCTTCTTACTAAAGTGCTCTCTTTCATGGATATTTATTTACAAACATCATTCTTTCAAGAAACTTTTGGCTGATGTCCTCATTATTTATACCACAACTATTCGTAGAGTCTACTCACCCAGGCGTCAACATGACACTTTGGTTAAGTTTTTGTATGCAAGTTGGTATCTCTAAAACTACTGAAAGGAATGGGTTGAAACTTAATACTCTTAAATGAAAGCTTAAAAGAAGGTCACTGACAAAGGCCCAAAACTTTAACATAGATTTTGATAAAATTATGGCTGCATCCTCTTTAAGCAATGTCTTTATATACCATAATTTGTGAGAAATAACAATATGAGATAATGATTTGATGTTGTTTTACAATTTGAATGATTTTATTTCCAGCATTGACAATGCTCATGATGCAGGAATCTCATGTTTGCTACTTGCCAAAGATAATGAAAACAACTCATGGTAAGTTTAGAACATCTTGTCCTGACAGTAGCTATATTATCCATTGTAAATAGGGGGCATTAGTAGGTTTATGATAAATGTAGTCAATATCTAGTTTATGTTAAGTTTATAATGAGTGTAATCGATATATAGTTAATGATGAGTTAAGACAGTAGTATAGAATTTGGTCATTATTTAGTTATGCTGAGTTAAGTTAAAACATAGTTGATGATGATTCAGCCAATATCTAGTCTCTGATGAGATTGGTCAGTTTATTAATATAATGCTTTGAGTCACTATGTAGTTTATGATGATTTTAGTTAATATGTGATGTAGTTCATGATGATTTGAGTCAATATCTAATTCATGATAATTTCAGTCAATATCTAGTTTATGACGATTTCAGTCAATATCTAGTTCGTGATGATTTTAGTCCATATCCAGTTTATGATTTCAGGCAATATGTAGTTCATGAAGATTTCAGTCAATGTCTAGTTTATGATGATTTCAGTAAATTATTTAGTTCATGGTGATTTCAGTCAGTATCTAGTTCATGATAATTTCAGTCAATATCTAGTTTATGATAATTTCACTCAATATGTAGTGCATATTTACTTCAGTCAATATCTAGTTCATGATGATTTCAGTCCAAATATGTAGTTCATGATGATTCAGTTAATATCTAATTCATGGTGATTTCAGTCAATATCTAATTAATGATGATTTCAGTTAATATCTAGTTCATGATGATTTCAGTTAATATCTAGTTCATGATGATTTCAGGCAATATCTAGTTCATGATGATTTCAGTCCATATCTAGTTCATGATTTCAGGCAATATGTAGTTCACGACAATTTCAGTTAATATGTAGTTTTCTGTCAAAAATGTAGTCCATGAGTTTATGATGGATAAGTTTTCTATTTCATTGTGATCTAAGATCACTACCATTATTTAGCTCCCAATTTTGAATTAAATCAAATATTGAGGAGAATAGTGTGTCTTTGGTATAAACTTTTAAGTTTGATTTTAATTGCATAGATGGTGCATGTGTTTAAAATAATTTTTGTCCCAATTTTACTAAAGAGAAATAAAACTTTAAAACATTTTATTTTCATGAGTCAGAGGACTAAAAGTATCAGACAATTACATGTTGTACTAATCTGTCTATAGTTTGAATCCAAAGTCACCTTTTAAAGAGATTAATTCAGATTAAAAATAGCAGTCGTTGTTATTGATTTATTAATTGAATGCATGATTATTTGTGCATGAAGTTTATATTTTTTATTTTTTTCAAACAATGACCCTGAGTTCATTTTAAAACTATGTCCATAAATGATGTTAAGGGTTAATAATATAATTTTCAATGCAGTTAATACATGTATTTTTTTATTATCCCCCGCCGATGGAATCGGGAGGGGGATATAGTTTTGGCGTTCAGACCGTCCGTCCAAATTTCGTTTCCGGAGTAGTTCTCTGCAACTACTGGCTGGAATTCAACGAAACTTTATGGGAATCATCAATATCAAGAGGAGATGCGCATATCTTCGGCTTGTTCCGGTCAGACACTTTAACTCAGAGTTATGGCCCTTGATTAGTTATGCAATATGCATATGGAGTAAAAATCGTTTCCGGAGTAGTTCTCTGCAACTACTGGCTGGAATTCAACAAAACTTTATGGGAATCATCAATATCAAGAGGAGATTTGCATAACGTCGGCTTGTTCCGGTCAGACACTTTAACTCAGAGTTATGGCCCTTGATTAGTTATGCACTATCCATATAGAAAAATATTTGTTTCCTCGCTACTTCTCTGCTACTACTGGCTGGAATTCAATGAAACTTTATGGGATACTAAGAGGAGATGTGCATATAGTCGCCTTGTTCCGGTCAGATACTTATAACTCAGATTTATGGCCCTTGATTCGTTATGTAGTATGCATACATCTCATTGGCATTTCCAGATTTTACTATTTAACACAAAGTTATGACTCTTTTATTGCCCTTAATATTTATCAAGTTCAAAGAATATTACTGTTTATGCCATGATTAATATATAAATAAAGCCTTATGTCTTCAGTTGTTGTGTTAATAATAACCAGTACTCAGCGGGGGATATAAATTCAACGAATTTGCTTGTTTATTACTTGAGTTCAATTTAAAGGCAATGACCAAAGGTCATTATTTTAAATATGTTTTTAATGCCATTTGCATAAACTTGCTTTTAGGGTCAACAAGGTCAATAGATGTGTAAAAGATTTTCTGCAGGTTATATGGCACAGTATAAAAATCGTAAGCATATATAACCTGAGCTACTAGGCTAGGGTTATATGGCAAACAACTGTTTATATGTAGACATAAAACTTGTTAAAAGAAAATCATTATTACAAATTTTTTATACTGCTTATTTATTTATTTATTTATTTAATTAAAGTGAAATAGAATCTAGATTCATAAATTTTTGTCAGCACCTAAATAAAAGCTTCAACCTTCTGCATGCTAGCCTCTTCACATGAAGTATTCAAAGTCTGTAGTGGGATTCGAACCCATAGCACAAAAGGGCATTCAATTAAAAAGTCAATAGATAATATTTTCACTTGGCCACAGAGCCCCCCCTCAGCTAAGTCAAAGTATAGATTAACATAAGATTTAAACTATTAAAGAACATCTTGTTGTTGTTGTTGTAGGCGACAGGTTGTCAGGTAGGTCTTGTCTGTTTCAGTGTTCATAACAGAGGTTGTAAAATGTAAGGTCAAAGGGTCAATTTGTATGGAATATAACTTAGTACATGTAAATTAAAAATAAAGAATATTAAGATTTTAACTTTTCATTGGTTTTTTGGTACTAAATTAATGTTTTAACCTGAGAAAGAACATATTTGTTAACTAATCAATTATTGACTAAAGTTTCTTTTATTAAGATATTGGAATTAATTGTATGTGCCATCAAAGTTTTAGTGTCATGTGTCTGTTTGTAACTCTCGATTAAATTATCTCATTGAAACCCATTTGTAAAACATTATCTAAAGAAAGACTTTTCACTGAAATTTGCTATTTTCATTAACCTGTGTAAAACAATAATTAGATTATCATTGTAAACATGGTTGAATTATTTGCATCACCTAATTTCCCTTTCTACTGGTGATTCACTTTTTTGAGCACAATTCAAAAAATTATTTCATAGATAATTTAAAACTTAACATAAGTACTACAAATGTGATAAATAAATATGCAATTTTGTTATTTGCAGGATTCTGACTGGTTCATTTGATAAAACTGTGAAAATTTGGACAGCAGACGGCAAACCAGTCCACAAATTGGATAGTTTTATTTCGACTGTGTCTGGTATTTGCTATGTACCTAGAAACAAGACTGTCTGGGTGGCAGGTGGAACATCCTATGCCAGTCTCTTTGATCCCAAGTCTGGTGATAATGTAAGTTGGTTTGATTGATAATGTTTTCAAATATGACCTTGTGTCTAATGTCAAGGTCACACACAAAGGTGAAAGGTCAATTTTTTTTATATTTTTTTCACTTTCTTGATTAACCACAGCACTGTCATTAAAGAGCTGGAAGTTGAACAAGTTGTGAATTTTAATTCACCAGTATGATATAAGGTGGTTTTATAAATGTGTCTCAGGTCAAGGTCAATATGAAATATTTTTGGCTGGATAGCATAGAAATAGAATTGAGTTAAAGTATACAAGATTGGTTCATGAAGAGTTATTATGACTTTTAAAATGTGAATATCAACTTGTATTCTGTCATTCTTCGGAAAATACAATGTGAGTGTTTTTATTTTGTTTAAAAATTTTGATAGAAATTGAGGTTGAAGGTCATTTTCTATGTTAATGTTTTACACCTTGACCTAAGTATTTTACAAGGTCACATTATATAGAGGATATTTGTTTGTTTCAGTGTAAGATCGAAAAATATTTCACCGAGTGAACACCAGATGCAATATTTTCCACGAGTGGCGTAGCCACGAGTGAAAATATAATAGCTGGGGTTCACGAGTGAAATATTATTTGATCTTACATGTAAAACAAACAAATTTTCTGTTTATTTCATGATTTTTTAACGATTTTTACACCATTTTACTGATTTTTGCCGCTTAACGTCATGCTCTTATCTTCATGACGTCATCAAATAATGACGCAAAATTGACGCAATGTTGAAGCAAAATATAATTCCATGATTATTTTTAGATTTTAGATGTTTTTCAGCACAACGTTCGTAAATATTTACGAACTACAGTTATCACGTACATTTTTTATTATGCTTGACTACATTTCCGCTGAAAAAACATTCATTAATGATAAATATTTTATTTTTACGCCAAATATAGTTCGGCTACTGTGAAATTATATTTGGTAATCATTACTGTGAAATTATCAGAATATAATTAACCGTTATAATTCAGTAATCTACTGCAAAACATGTAATAAAGTGATTGTATCATCAATCTAAACATTATTAACTGGTCAGTAATTGGTAAAAATTATTAACTTGTGTGCTAAATCTGTGAATTTGGAATTCTATTTTTTGGCATTTCTTGACTTATTTATAATTGTTTTAAAGGTGTCGGATTTTATTGGAACTTTTCAACAACAAGAAGAAGAGAAGTATCACTTACAGATTTTGAAATTCTTCCCTGAACTTAATCAAGTTGTTGGTGAGTAGATGTATTTTAGTAATCACAACAATTGGTCTACTATGAACAGTTGTAAGTTTATGCATAACACAAATCAGAAGGCAATGAATATGTTACTGCAGATGAATATTGTAAATATCAAAATGATAATTTTCCAACTTCCACTAGGCAAATAAGATATCAGATGTACTGCTGTTTATAATTATTAGTCCAGCAATTATGCTGGAAATGTAAGAACTAAATTTGTAGAATAAAATAACCAGATATCTTCATTGAATTTTTGATAACATGAGTTCAAAATTTTGTTTTTATGTAAAATAAGATTTTTACTGATTTCAGCCTCTACTAGCAGACGACACTTGATTGTATGGAAGTATAATCCATCTGGGTGTGTTACAGCATTGAAATGTAGAGTGGCATTAGAAAGTCTCTGTTACAGTAAGTATTGGAAACAGTTTCTTGCTCTACTATTTGAAGAATAGTGATAGCTATTGTACCCACACCCCAGTGTTTGTATTGCTATTAACACTTTGGTTAGGTTTTTGTGGGCAAGATGGTATCTCCAAAAGTACTGAATGGGTGAAACTTCAGGCACTGTCTTGTTCTCTGTGATTTATCTAACATGACGGGCACAGGTCCCATAAGTTGTAAGTTACCTTTTACAGAGTTATGCCCCTTTTCTTATTCTAAAGCAATGAGATTAGTTGTGCATGCTGTTTTACAGGTGTTTTACAAATTGTTAGTTTTATGCACATTGTCATATTATATTGCATGGTCAATACCCTCTTCAATTAATTATTCAATTAATGACAACAGGAGAGATGTCTCCTGGGCAGGAACTTAACTGTGATATCAAATGGAAGAAAGCAAATGATGAACAGTGATTAATTTTAATTTTCTGTCTAATCTATTATATACTTTACAACAACGCATAATTAAGATTTATTTATATTATAGTGTACTTTTGCTGAAAGTGAAATTAATATTATACATAATGATCAATTTGTGTTGCTATCCTTGATATCTTACAACAACATCTTTTTCTTAACCACATGGCAGATTTTTACGGAACTTCACAGGAAATAATCATAGATGGCCTTCTGCAAATGTTCTATAAATGTTTCCAGGCTGATGCAAAAGTAGGTCACCAGAGCTACAGATATTTCCAGTGTAGTTCAAGTAATTTTTGACAGCAGGGATACCAGGCAGTATTGAAGGACTAAAACAACATACATGTATAACTTATTATTAAAATTCTAGATAAAATAGCCATATTTTATAAACATCTTTGTGCATCTTTTACGTAGAATGTATTGATTTTTTTCAGCGCGTAAAGTGCCAATATTGATATTTAGTGGAGACCACGAGGGTGCTATTGTCAAATGGGAACGTATGCAATCAAATCATTTCATGTACAGGTAAGCTCGTCCTTGTCTAAGATATATTAAACAATCATTGACTAGTGAACCATTGAATATGATGTGATATTCACCGGCAGATGACATATTGACCGAGGCGATAGTCAATAATTGTTTTATTATATGAATAGGCTAAGAAATAAAAAAAAATCACAAAAGTACAATCTTATATACATGTACAAATTTTGCTTCGTTGAAGCGCGGGAAAAAAGACGCACGTGTTAGGCGTGCAACGACTACGCGAACGCTGCGCATACAAAAATAATTCAAGTTTATACTCATCATTGCGGTGTAGCCTTTAAGTATAATAGTAAAGTATTGATATTTTAATCGAGAAATATGCCTTAAAGAACAAAAAGCAACAGTTATTTTTTAATTAACACGCGTTATTAACAGTGTATGATCATTGAATATGAGTCTCAATCTATTTTTAGACTGGGAAAATCCAATTCAGCCAGTGAATATGATACTACACCCAGTAAATATGATTTTATAAAAAGTTCTGTTGACTACTGTTTGGACCAATGAGATTGCAGCTATATTTAGATCATATAATAATATACAATAACAGAAAATTTAGAAATGCTATTTCTTCCCCCGAAAGGTTTGATTTATAGAGTTAGAATTACTTGACTGCCATGGCTGTAACCATGGAGATTAACGAATGATTTAAAATGTTTGTGCGACTTATTGTCCGCCATACACAAAACAGCAACAACAAAAATCAAACAATTGAAAATGATTCTTATCTACATCTCTTATTTCAGTAAAGAAACATTTGTAGTCAGTGATTCAAAGATAAAGAAGAAAAGAAAAACGGGCAGTAAAAAGCGTGAGCTGATGTTAGAACAGGAGTTGAATGAGAAGTTAAATAATCTGCAGACTGATGACGTAACGAAAACAAACAACAAAAATATACAGAGCCATTATGCATTTAATAAACCCATCGTCCCACCTGTAAGTTATGTTTTTACATTAGGTTGAAAGAAAAATATTGTTTTCTTGCAATGTCTAACTTACCCGCCCAAAATCCTGTCTGTCTGTAAAATGTTTTGGCTAAGCAATTTGTTTCTGTTTAGTTTAAACGTATTTATTTAAGCTTGATTGCAAAACAAGTTCTTGCAACTTATATTTATCACTTTCGAGTCCGCTTCCTGGAACCAACCAGTACTGGTGTCATATGATAAAAAAATGGTCGTCACCGGATAAAGGCTGGAACCCAAGATCCTTTGGTTGAGAGGCACACCTTAACCACTAGGCCACCGCTCCCAATTTCTGTGTTTTGCATGCTATGGAAATGTTCCTCAGCCTTTACAAATATAAAATAAAACTATTGGCAGTAATATGTCAGTATATGGAAAAATGTGTACCCATTGCAATGAACCCACATCATTTTATCAGAACTGTTACGGAAATTCTCTGTTATTGCCATGATAAATAATGATTTTTGCCACATTTTATTAAATTAATTAACCTATACTTACCTTAGTAGATGGTTGATTAGAATTTCATCTACTGCAAACTTTAAGAGATCAACAGTGAGATGACACAGTCCTGGTCTCGGAGAAGTTCAGACTTTATGCAGGAGATGAAAATCTGAATAATGCTTGTTTGTTGACTCAAAAATTTATTTTTGCTTAGTAAGGAATAAATTGCCTGGAGCAAATGTTTGAAATTCATATTAATAAAAATTAAACTAGAACTGTGTCCTAAGGACACGGATGCCCCCACTGTGCAGATGTGCTCGTAAACAAGAGCATGCATATCTGTATGTAAGATTTTTATGTGGAACTTTTTATTAAAATCTGCCATCCGGTTAAGAGGAGTTGCGTTCACAAAATTTCTATATGGTATATAGTGAAAAAATCAACAAAGGGCCATAATTCTGTTAAATTTGGTCGCAGCAAAAATTCCTTCCTTTACTTCCATCTACACATTAAGGTTGTTCATCCCTGGAAGTTTAAGCAAAATCTGCCATCCGGTTTAAGAGGAGTTGCGTTCACAAAATTTCTATATGGTATATAGTAAAAATCAACAAAGGGCCATAATTCTGTTAAATTTGGTCGCAGCAAAAATTCCTTCCTTTACTACCATCTACACATTAACCCTTTCCCTCATGAGCATATTGTGAAAAATGGACGTTTTCACTGAAAAGCCTCCTGTTACAAGTTCAAACTGCTATGAAACTATGAAAAATGCTTCAATACCAATCAAACTTGGCACAAGTGTTGACTGGACCATTGCCTTTGTAGCGACATGCTCAGTCTTAAATTTCCTGTTACCATGGCAACGAGGGGACATCTCAAAATTGCCAAAAATCACTATTTTGCCTCGATTTTTTCCATCAAAATTTATTTCAAAGTGCTGCACCTTCTCAACTTCAGGCCTAAAAAAAAGTGGGGGGGGGGGTCGAAAAAGAGCGTTGTTTCGCGTATATATGAGGTAAAGGGCTAAGGTTGTTCATCCCTGGAAATGGTCGAAGTTTAAGCAAAATCTGCCATCCCGTTTAAGAGGAGTTGCGTTCACAAGATTTCGGGACGTACGGACGGACATACGGACGGACAGACAAGTGCAACGCTATATGCTCCCCACTTTGTGGGGGCATAAAAAGCGCAGAATTTCAGTGTTATAAAATTGAAGTATTCTACATTATTTTCAATTTTCATTCATTGAGAATTCATCACTTTATTTGGCTGACAATCTTATTCTTTGTTTTCAGGCATCCACACACAATCATCCACATACTACAATATTAAAGATTCTATTTGTTGAAAGTTTAGACGTTATCTTGGCTGCATCAGAAGATACAAATATTTGTAAGTCAATTTTCACTTAGAAATGGGTCTATTTTAATAGACTAATTAACATAAAAATCCAGTAACATGTTTAGATGAGTACAATTTTACAAGCTCTCTTCAAAGAAAGAACAATGATTGAAATATACTTTACAAACTTTGCAAAGCAACTCCCTGTACAATTTGAAGATTTTGTTGTTCCTCTGAGATGTTGCACTGTTACTCTACAAAGGGTTGCTTTGCAGAGGTTTCACTTTTTGTATTAATAAAGTTATATAACATTGTATATAATATAAAGAATTGTGTTATAAAACATAGAGGATATTCAAGTTTTTTCTATAAATACATGATTTATTTTCATCGAGTGGTATGAAAATAAATATTTCATGAGTGGCAGTAGCCAGGAGTGAAATATGGTAATTTTCGTGCCACAAGATAAAAATAAATCATGTACTTATAGAAAAAACTTGAATTTTCTGTTTATTATATACATTTTTCTCTTTTTTGACATTAAAATTTAAAAGACTTTCCCTTAAATTTTGTGTAATGGCAGAATTTAAAAGAAAGTAGTCCGGCAAGACACCAGTGAAAATACGGAAAATATTTTTCACTGCAGTGAAAAATAAATTTTTACAGTGAAAATACGGAAAATGAAAATATGCATTTTATTTCATCAATATTTCTCAATACTTCATTTATAAGTATATAATAAATTTGGATCTTTGTGGTTACTTATATCCATTATATAGAATCCATACTTCATACAGTTGACTCCTAAATTTTAGTTTTTAAACTGACATATCTGACTTTACTTACTAAATGACTATTAGTATTCCAAATTCAGAGAGTGGTTAGTGCAGCAAAGAAAAGGTTAAAAGACTCACAAAAAAGAAAAACTAGAATTCCCCAGAACTTGTTCAGATTTATAATGTTTCTTGTGATTTGACAATTTAAGAAACAAATATTGTAACAGTTAACAGGTTATGTTTTACCTTTCTAGAATTTCTTTAACCTTTACTCTTTTTGCAGTACTGAATATGAAATATTTCAACAGATATATCATTGTTTTTTTTCTGTGTGTGAGAAAAGTTTCCCAGTAACATGATGCAAACATAGGGGCTTTCACAAAATATGCATATCCAACAATAATAATGTATATTATTTCTATGGTTCAGATGTATGGGGCTTTGATGATCAAGCAGTGTCAGTATTACAGAATATGAAACCTCAAGATATGGAGACTCTAGTCACTAAATATAGCATTCTCCTTGATTCTGATTCAGAACTTCTCCCACAAAATACCAAAGATGGCGTAAGTTGTTTTTCTTAATTTTTGTTGTGTTGGTGCAATGTAAAACCCTACCAACAAAAAAAAAAGAAGCAGTTCCTGCTACAGGTATAGAGCTAGACCAGCCTGTATTACCATACAGTTTGTTGAACAGGCTCTGTACTGTTGGGTGGTCAATATAAGACATTTTACAATGGTTTATTTATTATATACAGAGGTTGGCAATTAATTGAAAAAAAAATGGCAGATTGTTATTCTGTTTTATTTAAGAATACCGGTACCTGTGGTATGATAGTCTAAAAAATACTGTATTAAATAGTACCTTAATTACCAAACCAATTACTTACTATTGTGTTAAACTGTTCACTTAAAAGAAGGAAATATGATTTTAAATGATGTATATTATGTTTGTTGTTACAGGACAGTGATTCTGTAACAAACAGAGTGGCTGGATTTATCTGTAAATATGTGTTCTGTGAGCATGAGAGCTGCGTCACCAGTCTCGTAGTTATAGAGAAGGAAAATGGTGCCGACTCATCATATCTTGTGAGTATATCGTCACATTCTGTCAGTATATGTCTCTAAAATTATAATACAGAATGAATTTCCTGAATTTTCATTGGATGATACACATTGTATATTATTATTATAAATCTGTATCTACCAGACCCCATCATGCCTTGTAAGTAAATTTTCTGTTATAAAACTGCAGAATTGATTTCTATAATTTTTATTGGCTGATAATCTGTTTAAATAAATTTTTAAAGCATTTTCCACCCTTAAGTGCTCAGATTTCTGAAGGTATATGAAAGTTTGAAAAAAAAAATGGCAGGCATTCTTTGTTTTATCAATAACTATGTACAGATCATGTTATTTTTGTTCACTGATTATTTAAGATAATCTTAGAAATAGTTTTATTGAAAACCCCTTCCAAACTTTCACTGATGATAATAGATATAAAATGGTTATGTAATTCCACATGTTTTGCTTATGATTTAAAGCAAAACTCTTTCATTACAGTTAAGTGGTGGATGGGACAGAAGAATATGTATTTGGGACCTTGAAAAAGGGAGGTAAGCATGATAAAATTAATTTTAACATTTCAAAAGTATTCCTATTACAACAAAGTTTAAAAAACTAAGTCTTTGCAGTTGAATGTTCCAGGAGTTTTTGTAGGTGTCCATGGTTAATTTTGAGTCACTTTTAAGACTAACAATTTTCTCGATACTCTTTTATGAGCATTTTGTGAATTGTGGGTTCAAGTGTTACTTTGGCCATATCAATATTTCCTCATATGTTCTATAAGTTATAGAAAGAGCATCAAAACAAAGGTTATCTGAATAGACTATCTGATTTTTACAGGGCGCTAAATCACATAGTCCAGGGTTTTGATTCACTTACTCTTTTGTATCATAGGCAAAAATAAAAACTCGTTCCCTGTCGTCACAAAATGAAACCCCAGAAAAATGTACCAAATGTACGAGCCTCTGAATATGACTTTCCTGTCATTATCCCTTTCCATTTTCAATAAAAAGGTCTCCAACCTATGATACAAATGTTAATTGAAGACAAATGTTTGTCAGATGAGCGATCTTGGGTCTTGTTGACCCTCTTGTACTGTAACTTAAATTAAGACCAAAACATAGTGAAGAGAACAATAAATATGATTACACAAACTGCTTTCTTTTGTGGCAAATGTTTAAGCCTTCCAAATCTAATTATATTAAATAGACTTGTTCATCTTTTAATATAAACACAACAGTATTCGTCATTTTCTGATAAAATTTACTAAATAGCGATCAGTGCAGACCATGATCAGAAGACACGGTCACATGGGTAGAATTTGTTGCTGCCTGCAGGGTTAGGGTTAATTGCATTTAATTTTTCAGGAATAACACCGACCTATTATTGTTAAGGCCATTTACTGTTTTTACTGTTTGTTTTGTAGATTACATGACACATTTAGAAACACAGGTTCTAATGGACTTCATGAGAATGTAGAGCTGGCATGTGACGGTGTTATAATGGACATGGATTATAATCCGGGCAGGTCAGTAATAGGGATTGTTATCATAAGAAAACATAAGAAAAACAAATCAGAAACATATCAAAATATATTGTGATGTTGCAAGTCTGGGTTAAGATATATACCGGTATCATAATCGATGTTGTTGTGTTAATTGATTTATAAGAATACAAAGTTTTTTCTCTATTTTCTTGACTGTCTATTGTATTGATATAACCAATAAAGACTTTTTTTTTACCTCGTATCATTTTCAAATGTATCCCAATTTACCAATTATTCTGTTTACTGATACCCATGTAGTTCTTAACTTGTTATTTAACTTAATTTTGCAGATATACCAGTAAATAAAAACCTAATTAGCTGATACAGATATTGCACACTTCACTATTGTCATGTGAAATTGGATGTTACAAACATGCAGTTTTATAAGGTACTCTTATATAGGTTTTACATTAAGGTTTTTTTTTTACTGATATTTGTTTGCTTTACTATTTACAGGAAGGAGTTTGCATATTCATCCAGTGACAAGATGGTGTACATTAGAAAATTCTCAACAACTGGCTCAAAAATGACCTTGGTGAATACACTTCAAGGTCATGAGGCAGAGGTCACTTGTGTGAAGTGGAACAGTATAACACAGAAATGGGTCACTGGGTCAGAGGATGCTACCATAAGAATATGGGTATGAATATTTGTGGTCTTTTTTTAAAAATCAAATTTTATTTCTTTTGAAAGACTATTAGTCAAATAAAAAAAACTCCCTAAGTATTTTTTGTGTCAAAAATCCTGTAGCACTTTTATGCCATGCATAATTATGTTATGACTTTCAGAAAGAAGGAAATCAATCTTGCTATGAAATAAGAACTTCCATAAAAGTAATAAAAAATTCTTACAGTACTCAAAGTAAGATTGTGCTTCACAAATTTCTATGGAAATTTTATGAAATTTAAGTGCTTTGTTTCATTGATAGACGCAAATTCATGTTTATCTATCAATTTGTAAGTTAATTTATCAAGTGTTAGAATTTTACACTTTAAAGCTTACACTCATCATCTTCATGTATTTATTAGTCAGGAACTGGTTTGAACGAGTGTGAACAGATACTGGCAGCACAAGCAGGTGTGTCCTGTCTGTGTGTGGATAAGGTTAATGGAGCAATAGTGGCCGGTATACAACATGTTATCAGAGTGTATGACCCTGACTTATACAGACTTATACAGACTAATGTAGGCCACACAGATGCTGTTAGAAGTGTTATACACATTAGAGAAAGAAATCAGGTACTTTTAAAAATATAACAAAAGGGAGTTTGGATTTTGTATGTCATGCTGGCATTGAGATGTTCTTACTAGATATTCTAGTCATGGATGACATCAGATGACCCTGTGTGCATTATTTTAGGCAAAGGCATGCATGAAGTAGAACCTGTGAGCTTGCTTGGATAGCTACATAAAAATAATCCAAAGTCCCTTACAGGGTTCCAACCCACAGCAGTAAGTAGACAGTGTTCCATTTTGAGACTGCAACTTTAACCATTTGGCCATTGAGACCTGAGAAGAAGGGTGAATCATATTTTGTCTCTTGGTTACTGTTTCTTACTGCTATGTTATTAATGTTTATGAATATATAGCTTTTGCTCAATTGATTATGGTTGCTGAAATGAAATCTACTGGGAATGGGTTCAAATCTCAGAATTGCAATAACAAGACTTTTTAATTGCAAATGTTTTCCCATAAACCATTGCTTTAAATGATTTTTGTGAAGTATTTGACCACTACTTGTGAGGAAACAACTTATGACTGGTACAGAATCCTCAAACACTTGTTACATAATTGCATTCCAGTATTTGAATGAAACTGTTGAACTGCAAGTCATGGAAACAGAGTTTCAAATTCTTAATACTGGCGAAACAGATTTTTTGCAAGAGACCAAAATTTAGCAAAATCAACATTTTGAATTTTTTCTCAAGGCTAAGATATTCATGACTTTTTATTTTCAGTTTCATTTAATTTATATGGCAGATATTTGGCAAAAATGTTGTTTTGTAAAATTCATTTCTGCTAAAAAAGGGAAAAAAATTGTCTGACTAATATTTCTGATTTTATAGTAATCTATATATCCACAGTATGTTTCCTGTTCGTGGGACAACTCCATACGAGTGTGGAATGCCTGGAAGAAACAAGTGAAGCGGAAAGAGCCCGAGGAAGAAGGCGATAATAAAAATGGTGACAAGATGAAGAGAGTTGAAATCTCAGTGGATGTTGAACAGGAGGAGGAGGATGAAGGTGAGGATTCAGGGGAAGTCACTGCAGATGGGCAAAATACAGGGGAGGTTACTCCACAAGTAGAAAATAGTGAAGACATGACTCTGAGTGTACAGAGTTCTGAAGTTTCATTTCCTTGAGTTTTTGTTTTCTTGATGGTGAAAATCAAGAGAAGGTTTAAATGTAGTTGCGTTATATTTTCATTATTATTTTTCTGGTGCTTTTGAAAATGAATGCAAGTAATACATACTTTGATTGAATTGGTACCTCTCATTGGAGTAAAATAGGTCAATGGTACTTTTGATTCACTAAATGTACATCTACTGCATGTATGGGATGTGACTCAAGTACAGAAAAACGGTTTTAATTTTAAAATTTTGACCTTCCTTTTACATTGTACGTGATTATATTCCGTAGGATTGCAGATTTTTTCCTAGTTCTATATACAATTCAAGCTATACAGTTAAGCCCATTAGCTTTAGTAAAGTCTTGTTATTTTGATTTACTCTAAAGCACTCCAAAAATTGACAGAAATATTATGCTTTAGTTTTGTTTTGGAGGAGAGTTGTAATAAAGCCAAATTGTGATAAGAGGATAAAACTTTATTTAAATCTGTTTTTTTCCTTATTGTTACAGCATTTAAAATCATCTGTGATATATTATACATAAAACACTTACAAAAATTATAGAAGCATTATAATTCTACATTTATGTACATATTGTAAATTGTATGTTTTACAATGTAGATTAATGATTGAGTAGATATGAATAATAATATATATAAAAAGAATAAGGTAGTCATGTATGATAAAGCTTATACTATACATGTATATACATATAAAGAATTAATGATGTATGTAGAATTAAGCTTCTATTATATATGAAGAATTAATTAATATATTGTTGTAAAGTATCATTTGGTATGTGTAAAAATGCATTTAGATAAATTTCATTATAGCTTTAATATGACACTTGTTTTTATTGCACAATTGTTTTTGAAAAAATAATTCATTCAAGTTGCAGTAGTCAGCATCTGTATACAGATGTGTGAAATATCAAGAAGGGGATGCAGTCATTGGATTTTTTTAATTGATTTATATATATATTTATATATTCTGAATATTATAAACTTTATTGCAAGCCTAAAATTTATTGAATTTCTGAAATTCCTGATTCTTTGACACAGTATTTACAAATTTATTAAAATATTCTGCTTGTTTTGTTTTTTTTAAATGGCAACAAAAATACAAGCAAAATGATGTAACATGTGCCCCTGTGTAAATGTGTATGTTATATGTTTGTATAAACTTCACTCACTATTATAACATAGGTTATAGATGAGATGACATGGTTTCAATATTTTCAATATACATCCAGTATTTTATATCATATTGTTATGTTGATAATTAACATTGATTTTTCTCTATTCAAATAGATTATTAGGTGAGTATTGCGTGTTTCAGATAACTTTTTTTATTGTTTCTAAAACCAATAATACATTTTTTTTTTTAAAGTTATAACTATTTTTTGTTGAGAATTAATCCATTTGGTTAACATTTTCACTAATAATTTTGAAGTTTCATCAAATAATTGTCATTGTATAAAATTGTAAACATGATACGATGTTAATAAACACGTCAACATTTAATCGCCAATATAAGCTATATGTATTTTAAGGGTGTGTTTTGTGAACTAACCAATGAAATCTATTTTTCTAAGATTGAACAGGAACTCTATTGTCAAATGATTTAGGTTCCTGATTTTGCGTCATTTGCCATCAGCATCTAATCATCGCCAGGGTCTTGAGAAACTTTCTATGTTACCAGAAAGGTCAATGGTCCTACTCTTGTGCCAGCTAGTACATGGACAGAAACCTAACGTCTTATCTATCAGTAAAGCTGGAATGTCACCATTTGACTGTAACTTTTTATGTGTAACATAAAATCAGAACTCCTCCTCCCCCAAACAGACAAAAAAAGAAATCAGTAAGACTTTTTTTTTTAAAGTCAAGAACAGGTAAATTAATTTTGAGGCCGACATGGAAGGGCGGGAAACGAAATGTGGTATCCTCATAAAATAAAGCCTTTATTTAGTGACCGGTATACTAGTCCGTGTTTAAATTCACTCTAAAACAAAGCCTGTCTTGGTTCAGACCTTTCCAGGCAAGTAGGTATACCTACTTAAATACTTTCTGATATATGTCCTACAAACAGAACAATGCTTCTTTGGATATTTTTATATGAAAAATCTAGGTGCTCTTTAAAATATTTATGTCTATATAACTTTTGTCTTCTAAGTTTGTGTCCTTAAATGTTTTCTTTTGATAACAAGTAACTTTTATTTTTACATTTATTTCACTTTTTTTTTCTTGAGAAGCTAGAATAGAAAAGGATATTTATACTAAGAAATAGTACTTTTCTCTTTTTTATGTCTTCTTTTCAATTCTTAACATATAACTTGGAATTGCAACAAACTTTTGTTATACTTATTCTTAATGGAAGAATCTAAAAGAGGGAATTAATTATGAATTAAAAGTTCACTAATACCTAACAAACAAAAAACTTACAGGTTCATTCTTTTGTGCTCAATTTACCATCATGTATAGTGAAGATGGCAAATTTGTGTGCAGAACAAATTCACTGTAGTGACAGTGACCACCTGACGGGTCATTTACCTTGTAGTTTGAAAACTTGTTTTATCAATATTGAAGGATTGTTTGATGTAGTCATGCATGAGATTAGGCTTGCATACCATTTGCAATATCAGATGAAGCAAGGGATTTGGTGGCGTCTATTTTATGGCCATTATATTTGTGTGACATCGAGCTGATGGATAAAAGCAGAGGGTTTTTTTTTGCACATTTCTCTGACAAAAATTTACATTTGAAACTTTCAGAAGATAGAATGATTTTTTCCTTCTCATCATTTGTCAGAAAATTCTGGATGTTAACTGTAAAATTAATCATAATGATGTTGATTTTGGTACAAGATCCAATCATTGCCAAATTGTTTTATTTTTTTGGGAAAAAAATCCCAGTTTTAAGTCTTATAGGTTATGTTTCTGAAATGCAGATTATTCTAGGGTGACTTAAAAAATGGCTAATTGTTTTACATAACCTTACACGATTTTTTTTCAATATTTAAGTACTAATATTTTTGTGCTATTTTTAACAATACATTGTTTTAATATTAACAGACATTTGGAGATATTTGTACATATTTTGTTTTGCATTTGATCAATGAATAGGAATTTGCATACATTTAATACAAATTTGAATGTTGAAAACTTAGCATATTAAATACATAGTTACTTCTATATATAGAATTTGTTTAGAATCTTAAAAGAATTCATTTTATTAAGTCTAGAGAAATGGTTTACAGCAAGCTTGTGCTAATTTCTAGGACATTAAGTTAAATGAAAGTCAATACAAAATGATGACAAAAAGATTCTTTTTATATATGACTGAATACAGTTAGAAAATACTGAAATGGCCAAGTCACTCTTGGGCCAATTTAATAGTAAATGTGTGCAATAAAAGTAGAGTACATTGAAATCAAGCAATGTAATGTGATATACAGATTAAAGTAGGGGTTTTTGATTTCATGCATAAAATGGATTGTTGTAAAAATTTCTTAGTTGTTTTAAGTGTAAACTACTGTTAAATAAAACAAATGATGGAATGTGTAGCTCTAGACTCATCTAATATTCTTTTTACAGGGAGTTAAAATATCTTGACATGAAAATGGATTGCTGAGTTAGATTTACAAACCTTTTCAATAGCAGATTGGCTTTGAGATCAGAGCTGTATATATTTTTTTATGGTAAGAATTTGACCAGAACTATGTGTGGTGTTGAAAGTTAATATAAACAGATGGTGATAGCAAAGTGAACATTCCTTTTAAGCTGGTCTGTTTCAAAACAAAAATCAAACTATTGTGATAGCTGCAGCATCATCGTCGTTGCCATCATGGAAAAACTTTAATGTAGCCCATTATTTAAACATTTCACACGAAATTTGTTCTTCTTGCTTATCATGACAAGGTGCATTTGTTAAACAAGAGGCATAATTCTGAAAGCAATACTTTTGGAGTTATGCCCCTTTTTTACTTTCAAATTTTTTTAACAGACAAGCATTAACACCAAATGCAGTGCTCTTGTTTAGATTTAGCCATCATTTCATGAATTTTTTGTTTTGGTTCACATATAAATAAGATATTTCAGACCAATGTGGTAGAGTAGACAAATAATGAGTGGACAACTAAATATCACTGTTTTTGTTCTGAACATAAAATAACTCTTAAGATTATAAAATTTCTTTTCTGTTACTACTATCATTACTATTTTCATTATTAATTTTACTATTTATTATAATTATTACTAAAAATCCATGTTTAAAGAGTTTTTTTTCATAATTAACCACTGTAAAAGTGCTGAACAATAAAACAGAATGTACTTTGCTAATGCCTGGAATTTATATATGTGTATGGACAATCTTTCTAATTTGATAACTTGTGACTTTTCATGTATGTGTCATGCATGTATCCTATTTTGTATTGTCTTAAGTTATAAAAAAATGCATATTTTTTGTTTGACATGATTAAAAACCAGTACATTTCATGTATATGTTAGATTATTCTATTTTGTATTGTATTAAGGTATGAAAAATACATGTTTTTTTTATTTGATATGATAAAACAATAGATGTTAATTTTTTATTAATTAAAACTAATTACATTGTATTATACTGTAAAATTTATTTACAGAAGCAGAGCTTCTTGTTATGTTCTTTATTCATGATTTAATTTAATGTTACTAAGACAATTCTGTCTTCTACAATATTTTCCAGTTTAAAAGATGTAGGAGTTTAATTTCCTAATTAAAATTCTTTTTAAATAATAACCAAAAATTCCCATTTTAAGATCGTTGAAGATGATCATTGTTAAAAATGTGTGAGTTGTTTTAACCTGTAGACGACTTGGACTAATGTAGGGGACCACCCTACATGAAAATTCCCATTCTTATGTAAAATACTGCTAAAGGGTATTGGTCATGTTCCCAAATTACTTTGAAAAATGCTTCATTCATATATATTTGAAAGGCTGTCAAGGATTGTGTTTTGTCCCATTATGTTTTGTGTGTTCATTTCCGTGTTTTTCAAAAGTGACACTAGCAATTTAATATTGAAATTAATGAATAAGTTTTATCTGCCAATGAATAGATTTTTTTTTGCGATTCTTAGTTTCTGAGGTTATGCCAAGTGTGATATTGTTTTGTTTGAATAATTTACCTATTAAGAACTTTTCTTTTTTTTTTTCCTATTCTAATTTTGAA